TAACAAGGCTAATTTAAATTTAATCATATTCACAATTTCAAGTTTTTCGTATTTAGCATTTTATAAATTGCATTAAATCCCCACGGGCTAAAATTCGTGAACACGGCATTCAAATTTTAACAATGAGTGTTTTCAATAGTTTTCGGGTTTTTTGAGACACCCTGTACAACAGGTTCCAGTGCTTCCCCTAATGTTGGTTGCCACCGAAGTATGCATGGTAAATGTTTGTCTAAGTTAGGCCCGGCACGGGTTTATACAATCTAATTTTCTGTTTTTAAGTAGCAGTTTAAGGTGGCTCGATACAGTTTCTCGAATTTCTTTTGGGCTCATTTTAAACAGGGATATTAAGCACCTAAATCTTTCACTATAAGGCTAAAAGTTAATATACTTTGCAGGAAACATATGTAGAGCGGAAATATTCTCAGAACCTTTGCCGGGCACCCGTTACCATGGAAACAGAGACGTTTCAAAATGGCCGCCAAACAAGGTTTTATCGTGTTTATATCACAAACGAGTTCGGTGACCCCCAATTTTTTTTGCATTAAAAATTTACGTTATAGATTATTTATCTATGAAAAAGTTTTAAAAAAATTCTAACATGGGGGATTTTTTTTATAAGCAAAAATAACGTTTTTGTAAATAGAAAAAATTCCCCATGTTAGAATTTTTTTTTGCTCTTAGTGTAGTATACTGTGTAGCCATTATTATCTGACGTTTCGACTAGTCCCTGAAGATAACGACATTATCATGCCTAAATTGTCAAATATGCGTGGTGCATGCTATCTTACCAACAATATTAATCCAACGGTAGCTAAAAAGCTCCAAAACATCACACCACCAGCACGGCACCAACATGCATGCTCGGATGTTACATCAATTAAACCATTCACTCCGATTTGAAGCGAGACAATGATAACTGGAAAACCTGAATACAAAGGAAAGGGTAAACGCAAGTTCAAATCAATAATAATTTCATTTAACATACAACGATTTCAATTCATGCAAAAGCAAAATATTAATCACTGTCATGCTTCAAATCATTACTACATTAATTATTATATAGCATGATCTAATTACTGGATTCTGATTGGTCGGAGTACAGTTATTTCATGAATAGCATACTGCAATAGAGTTGATGATTTTGTCAAAATAAATGCACCATCCACCGACAAAAATGCATGTGTTTCAACTTTTGCGTAAAACATTCGTAAGGTATAGTATTTGCGAACATTAGCGTAGCTAGCCTGAAGCTTTGTCCTTTGCTAATATTTTGGTGTTCAATTTGGTGTGACTGTGAAAACAATAAATTTCTAAAGAGATGGATAATTATCGTCAGGCTATAGCTACGCCACAGTTTGTGAATAACTTTGTTCTCTTTTCATACACGGCCCTTCATAATTATGACAATGCAATCTTTCTGTAATAATTCTAAAACTTTTATAAAAGTTATTTTGAGTATTTTCAATTCCTTCAAAAGCTCTCACAAAAATTGGGCTTTTCATAAACCTAAAACGAAAATATTTTATAAACCACTATATCCTCACTATCCCTTTCACTGAAAGAGAAAAAATTCGCTAACGAAATATTTGCATATTATCTTTTGAATTGAAAAAGTCATATTGAACTAATTTATTTACAATTATGTTAAAATTATAAAGAAAATATGCAAATATTTCGCCAACAAATTATTTCTCTGTAAGTGGAAATTCAGCCTTACTTACCCCATCCAACAACATAGAATGCTTGCATATATTTACCACCCAAAGCTAAACTCGCATAGACATTGACAATTTTTAAGTAGATTACAATTCCTTGGCATAACATCCATCCAAAAAGAGCAAGAATGAAGAAATATAGAAGCAAGGAAACTGTTATACAGAATGGCTGGAAGAGAAAGAAAAGTAATAATGAAATACAATGCAAAAAGTAAAAAAATCAACAACAGTATAATCGGAATACCTCATGATTACGTGCCGGACCGGAAAGTATAGAAAGGAAATCCGCCATTCCAATTGCCACACAAAGATTCATGAGCACTTTTGAAGAAATTTTGCTTTTGCCATTTTTATGAAGTCTCTTCCACTGCAATACGTAGGCTAATATCGTCAACAACACACCAGCCAATGACAAAGAACTGCCAACAGTAGACACTATTTCCAAAACTTGTTGCTCACCCTTGGTTAACTTGGAATATAATAATATTTTATTCTGTGTAAATCTCATAGTAAAGCGGAAAGTTATAGCTATATATCATTATAAAATGTACATAATTTCATGACTGAAAGCTTACCAAATCTTTCTTTCCAATGTCTATGTTCGCAAAAGCAGTGAGGTGATAACATTCACATATCGAGTGGTTATTATTCGACTTTCCTATTTTACAGCCATCTGTTTTCCACTTACTTACACCTAATTCTGGTTTCCAATATCCACACGTGGTCGCTTCTTCCTGCATGGTCATGAAATTAAAGATTATGTATATATATTCGTTACTATAAGCGGCATTAATATAATTATGCATGCTTACCAATTCTGTTGCGTCCCAGCTTATACGGACAGGTTCCTTAAATGGCATCCTTGGTTCAGGTTGAACACTCGCAATAATGATTTTGCTTTTTATTGCATGATAATCACCATTAAAACCACTCTTTCGCAGAACTAAATTTAGTGTTTTATACCAGACAACAACTACGACCGCTCCAGAGTCGTTCGAAAGTGCATCAGGCGAAAGAGTAAACGATGAATTTGGGAAATTGAAAAGACTGTTCTGAGGTGAAAATTCTGAGCGCTTTTGGTATGTGACATGTAGCTGAACGTTTGGATGCTTTTGGAATATACGCGAAGAGCTCCTGTCGTTTTTCAATACTTTTCCTAATTGAAATCCATAATTTTGCAAAGTGATCACCAGATCACGAATTGGTTTTCTGTCCTAACGATGGAAAGAAGGAATTTCTATAAGATATTAACACCGAAAGTCTCTTCAAAGACTCAAAGACCTATTTTAATCAACTATCACAGTATGTGTTTTTATGCAGTATTAAATACTTACGTGGTGTACCTACAAGCTAATTTACTTACTTATTTTAATCAACTCACCGTCATGTTTCTCCAATATTTCCTGTTTACATCATCTAAAATATTACTTGCAGGACCCAATATGTTAACACTGCCATCAGAAATATTCAATTCAACGACTTTCTGAAGTATTGCGACGGTTCGGCTGAGAAAATTTGGGTCCATTATCTTTTTCACTCCGTTTTCGTTATTTACTTTTGTTATATTGGACAGTTCCTGTATGATAATCTGGGCGGATTTTTTTCTTGCAGTTATATTCATACCATAGAGGTCTTCCACCTGAAAATATCGAGCTAATGTGTGATGAAACTGTGTATAATTATAAACTTTATTACGAAAGTTAACATAACTGGTTCCATATGTTTCCTTTATTTTACAACATTTTGCAACCGAACCTTGTAATTTCAAATTTTACTAGGCTCTCTCCAGGTGATTTCTTGCACCTGACGTCTTGACAATGAAAATTAATAGAGAGCTTTAGCAAGTGACTACCATGCAGTACAAGATCGTCATACTCGCTGTTGTTTACGCTATGGAAGAGTCTGTTGATTGTTCTCGTATACAAAAGCCCAAGAACTACCAGTTTCGTCAAACGGCGTAGGCAAAAGCACAGAGTTTGGCGCGAAAATGGCAACTTTTGAACTCGTATATAATAACTGCCTTGACTCCTCAATGAGTTAGCGATTAACCCAAGATCGCCAACAATTCACAGAAAATCGTGGCTTTTTGTAAAAATATTGCAAGAACCGAGTGAAATATAGAAATTTTACCACAAGATTTTATTAAAAATTTGAAACGTTCTGTCAAATGAGGAAAAAGTTAATCGCCAATGTCGTTTACCATGAAATGTGTATTACCTATTTTAAAAGATGCATCGACAGCGTTACTGTCATATTGCCTTCTTAAACGTTTTTAAATGGAAAAGCAGGTAAATAAAATCATGCATGCATGAAGATTCGATGTATACCATAGTAAAACTTTAAACGAACGAACGAATAGAATAACTTGCCTGTTTATAGAGTTTGCTAAGTCTGTCTTCCTTGTTCGTATTGTTAACCTTTGGTAGAACGCGACGAGAATGAGGTGAAGATAGACGCAAGTCTAAACAAGATAATAAGAAAATATCGTTAGCAAGCAAAATATTGGTGCATTATATTTACATTCTTCTCTTTCTTAATGTTTTTTATTTCTTTCGAAATTAGAAATACTTTTATATTAGAAACTGCTATCGAAATTAGATAATGCAACATGTTTCAATACGGATTTCTGTATCTTATAATATACATCAATCCTCTCTTCTTCCTCAGCTAGGGGTCATACTTAATGTTTATCGTATTTATTTTCTTGAAACGTTGTATTAATTTTCTTGTCGTACGATCGACGTAGGTCTATGACATATTTGGTTTGTGAATTCTGCCAGGGCCGTCGCTAGAATCCATATTAGACGGTTGCCTATAATTATATTTATAATCGACCTATATATATGCCCGATTGATTTCTTCAGATAGCGATTTTTTTACGCATATTTAAACCTTTCTCTCCTATCGACAGATATAAATTAGAACATTTTACACAGAGCATAAGGTATTCAGTGTTGAAAGAATGCCCCGAGGTTTGAGATCGCGTTTTTCTTAATTGCACAACAGGACCATTCTGAACAATGAAATAATAGATAAAGCTAAGGAGTGTTAACTTTTATGCTCACAATAACACCTGACTAAATGTTCCCATTTCCAGATTTCCCAAAATTCATTCATTACAAGCCAGGTGTATTATGCAATCGTATTATTGCAAGTGGCTTAAGACTGACATATGTTTGTTTCCTGTATGCACTTATCGACGTCTATTGATTTAAATCTGAAAACATTTATAGTTCTCTAATTTTATACAGTCATGAGCGTATACTGACGTTAAATTTACTATACCTTCGCAAAAGGATCCATTTCCCGTAAATCCTTCATTGCAAGTACAGGTATATGACCCAATGGTATTCTTGCATTTCGCATGAGAATGACATCTGTGCGTGTCAAGTATGCACTCTTCAAAGTCTATTCAAATTTGAAAATATTTAGTACACTATTTGAATACAGTTATGAGCGTATACACTGACGTTACTATACCTTCGCAAATGGCCCCATTTCCAGTAAATCCTTCATTACAAGTACAGGTATATGATCCATTCGTATTCTTGCACGTTGCGCGAGAATGGCATCTGTGTGTTTCTAGCATGCACTCATCAAAATCTATTAAAATTTAAGAATATTTTGTACCTAATAGAATAGTCACGAGCATAATTATACTGACGTTACTATACATTCGCAAATGGTCCCATTTCCCGTAAATCCTTTATTACAAGTACAGGTACATGATCTAATAGTATTGTTGCATTTGGCTCGAAAATGACATCTGTGTGTTCCCAACATACACTCATGAACGTCTAACGAACAAAACTCCAAATTATTTAGCATCCACATACTAAACAGTCAAATACATATGCTGACGTAACTTTTGCAAATTGTCCCATTTCCAGAAAAACCTTTATTACCAGTTCAGGTGTGAGATCCAATCGTAATTTCGCATGTGCCTTACAACTGATGACAATTTCTTTCTAAAAACCCAGATAGCGCTATCCGGCTTTGTATCAAGCCCGTGGTTAAGTTCAAAATAGAAAGCAAGTCTATCGTTTTATTAAACAAGCGAACTAAATGTTCTTTACCTTAGCTAATACAAAAATACTTTTTACAACTACATATTCAGTGCATAATATTCAAGTTGACTCATTTAAGAGAGATTTAAGAGCGTTTTTTAATTTTGACTTATCCACCACTTGATACATGAGATATGCCATAAAAATGCTGCTTGTCAAAACTGAATACAAAATATATATTATTATTGATTAGATTAAGTATATGTCCTATGTAAATGACATACCCTTTTCACAAATGTAAGGCCTTTTATTACTGCAGGGACGATTACCCCAGAGGCCAATGTCAAGCATTTCAACGCAGTCGCCATTTTCGCCAAGGATATTGGGTGCCCAGTTTGTGTAGTTTGCTACTTTTCCACTTGGATAACACCATTCTGTACTACTAAACGGACATTTCATAAGACCAATCCATAAGTTGATTCCACTCTTGTCGATTCTATACATTTCATGGAGAAAACGGTTGAGTTTCTCTCCTGAAACTCTAGCAAGCTGACCTCCTTTATTCTCGCAATCTCTGTTTGAATTCTGCCAGCTTTTACCACTATGAACAATGGTGTAACAAAAGTTACCGAAATTTTCCCAGTTATTTGGACATCCTATGAAATAATTTGAAAAACATAAAAAATACAAATAAAATTTAGTTTGTTTCTTAGGTCCAATAATCTTTACGCGAAGAACGTCAGGAACATGTTTTACGTTAGCTAGTCATTACCTTGATATCAACACGACGATCTTAAAATCGATACGTAACGAATCGCCGGCCTATGTTTATGAATTTCATATCCTAGTCAAAAAATGACAATTGGTTAACACAGAACTTACCATGGGAAGCATTGTTTCGAGATACACACCACATGAAAACAAAAATCAGTATAGATCGAGTTATCATAACCATTGTACGAGTTTAAGTGATTGTAAACACTGAGTCTTTCAAGGAACGTTTGTCGATTTGTTTTGACTTTTCGATTTATATAGAAAATTGATATAAAAAAAATTGAAACGGAAACAGTGGCGGATCTAGGGATAGGTACGATAAAAAAGGCTTAATTTTAAATTAAAAATACCTTAATATCAACGCTATTGGTCAAGTGTACTTTTAAATAAAAATCCACCAATGCGATTGCGCGATTCTGAGGAGTTTTACTACTCTGCGTAGCCCTGAACCGCCACTGGGCGGAAACTGTTGACTATTTTATAATAATAATAATGCATGACGTCCGTCATTGCTTTGCATCACGTTCATGTTAAAGTTTATACTAGGTTCGCTCTCGACTCTAATTAGACGACGGGTGGGCCGATTAAGCGTTCTAAAGCGATTGTAGGGGGTGTAAACCTGTGTCATCTCAACGCCTACGCTGCATAAGTTCGGGCAAGAACGTGGAAACTGCAGTAACTGGGAGGAAAATTCTGCCCACTGTGCTTCGTATCGCTAAACTAAATGAATCACGTAACAAGATTAATGACGTTCGGCACACCTCTGGCTCGGCTCTTGAAACAATCACGAAAGCCTCCCTATATCCTCATAAATTGGTCCAATTTATAACGGAGACGGATTATCTATCAGTAGCGTAGCCAGCCTGACGATTTGTCCCGCTATGCTAATATTTTGGTGTTCATTGACTGTGAAAACAACGAATTTCTAAAGAAATGAATACTCATAATAACTCGAAATTTACATAGCGGGACAAAATCGTGAGGCTGGCTACGCCACTGTTATCTATCAGGACGAATGATCGTCTAGCTGACAGATCATTTGTCTGAGCATAAAAACCAGACAAACCATGCATCTTGACGAACGTCGTCCGTAGACGAATAATTATGTCAGACGAATTCGTCCAGTTTTCTTATGTGAATCTAGGAACCGGTCAAATTTACGTTATATATGTATACAAATATTTTCTTTGTTTATCCACAGTACACTGCGCTTTTAATTAAGGGCCAAAGAAACACCAAAGAAATTGGTCTAGAAAGACGAAAATGTCTTAAGGAGTTTATTTCAAAGAAAGCAAGTACGAAATATTTCATTATTCATCACGAAAGGTCGGTTTTTATTTCACTGTTTGCGATGTAGAAGTTTCCGTCTCAGGCAACGTGATGCGTGTAACGTGGTAAACACCAATTCACACTTGGTTTCAAGTACCATATAATTATTCGTTTCCGGAAAGGGATCTCCCAGCATAATTTGTCCGGAGAGGGTGCGAACGTCGAGAGTCGTTATAAGATGTGGATTACCTGGCTGAAAATATGGGAAATATATCTCGGAATTCGAAATGTCAAAAGATTCATAAATTAAACTATAGTTTGTAGAAAAACCCTAAACTAAAGTCTTAACTGTACATTGACACAGTTGGATGACCAATATATAACGTTGCCGATGAGCAGAGTGTGGATGAGTGGATCATTGTGAATTGTATACTCTTGTATTGGCTAAGCTTCATAATAAACAGAAATTCTATCGAATTTCTGTAGAAATATTACCGAACTGTTGAACTTGTCCATAAGCTGGGAGCGCCAGTATTAAACTAACGATATGTTATCACTCCTCGCATAAATAAGCCCCTCATTTTGAAATATATCTCGGAGCACAACAATGGCAGTAAACACATCTCAACGAAATACATAATCTATCATTTTCAGACGTTTAATTTAATTTGTTGAGCACAACATAACACGCCAAGCCTCGCGCCTCGGCTAAATTGTAGTCATATGCATGTTTTCTTTATGTTCATGCACTATAGTACTCAAAGTCACTGGTTCTTACCACGATTGAATTCGAACACCCAACTCTGCAGGATGTACGTAGAACAAGTGCGATCAAATCCTCTCTGTATATTGATGCTCTCATAAACGTCGCACTATAACATTGGAGCTGCTAAAAGCCCATGCGGTTGACAAACGAAAATTAATGAATTTGTCGGATTTGGCCTTGAACGACTAACGAGTGCTATAACAGCTAATGTGAATATCTAATGTAAATATCTTGCCATGAACAATGATCTCATTAAGACCTAGATAAAGACCTTTGCAGAACGAGACGCCAGGGCCATAAAAAAGGCAGATAACTTGTATTTATACTTAAGCTTTGGTTCGCATTTTGATCGCGCCGAATGCATTAAAAATATAGTTTAAATGAGATGGTAAACTTATGAACAATCATTATCTCTGTTTGAATTGTATTCGACGCGACCAAAATACGACGTTTAACAATCAGAATTGGCAAATCTGAGTCGTGTATTTTTGAGGTAACTACGACTTAACTACACAAAATATATAGTTTTCTCGCTCGATATCCACCAAAAAAATTGATAGAATCTGGCTTCCACTTTCATAGGTGTTTTGGTTGCTATAACCAATACGTTTGTTGGTACCCATACCATGAACGTGGTTGCCATGTTACTTCCCACTACTCTCCGGAATCTTGCGCATTTGCAAACCTCCATCGCCTTCAAACTTTTCACTGCTCATTTCGCCAGTCGAAAATGTAATCCCTACAAAGAAATAACGTTTTTTATTCTTGAAGCATGTTCCTGAACCGGACGCCTTCAAAGGTGCCCGATTATTTCTTGGCGTTTTTTCCAAGGAAAAATAAAAAATATTTTAGCCTAAATAGAGCAACCACAAAATGTTTTTTAATCATTAGACAATTCTGGATTTTAATGATTCCACCTGATCACGAAAGAAAATGTAAAAGATCTCGGCTGGCTAGCTGCATGGTTCTAATACGAGTACTTGATACGAACTCAATAAACGATTGTCAGATCAGGTAGGCAAAAACTTAACTAGTTTTTTAAACTTGTCCTCTAAGCTGATAATTTCAATTTCTGAATTCGGGAAGACGAACAATACTGACGACGACAGCGAATCATGATCATAGTTGAAAGTGAGATAAGCGGCGATATAGACTAACTTTTGATCTAGAAAGGGAGATGCTATTATATTCTAATATTCTTGCATTCGTATACATACGTGCATTGTTTTTAACCATGGCGTAGTTAGTTCGTCTGGCATCTCGAGATCTCTTTTCTTTGTTGATAGCCTCATGAATCTGGCAGAGGAAGATTAGTACTGTGTTATACGTTTAGCGAATGTATTTTGTGCAACAAAACAAAACAACCAGACAGTTTTTTCATTAATATATACAACTTATTTGCTCTTAGAAATGGTAATGCAGTAGCCGTTTGGGAAAGCCCACCTTTTTGTTTAAAAGCACATGAAAGATGAATATCACCAGGCCTTGCAGTGAGTTGAAAATAGCGAACAGATATTTAAACACAATGGTATCACGATTGAATACAAATAGGCCAAAAACCCAGGTGAGTCCGAGTAATGGTAGTAGAACAGCGGAACCTCTCAAACCCATTTTTGCCTTTTTGAGCATTGCACTAGCATCTGGCCCGCTTGTATTAACCTCCTTTGTGGATAACGCATTTCGTAAGGCGAGGATAAAGATAATCAAGTTGATCTAAAAAAATCAATCAAAGTATATACAAGCTCGATCCAATGATATTTTCCTCATGGGATCACGATAAATTAAGAATGGTTTGTCCAAATTTAGGCGTCAACCCACATAGGCTATTCGCCATCACCTCAGCAAATATTAACTGACGACATAGCGATATGCATGAACTTTGAAAATAATGATACAAAGATATCACAGATAACCCAAAAAGCACTTTCTTCCAAAAGACGTTTCTGGCTAACTGTTGGCTTACCAGCAATACCAGGCCAATAGTGCCAACAAAAGTCCAGAATAACACACCCCCAGCACGATACCAACATGCGTACTCAGATTTGAAATCCTCCAGATCGTGAGATCCTACTAAGGTTGACACAACGACAACCGGAATACCTAAAGCATGGTAGCATAATTATTTAAGATATTAAAATGAGAATTTTGAATCGGTCACATCTTCCTGAACAGGCAAACCCTGAACGGATCAGAAACGTTTTCGTGCAAACCGTCCTGTTCAAAGGCTCTTGTCGGGTTTTCATCAAGAAGATTTGCTTAATACGTGTAAACGAAGAATAATATTGATAAAAAGGTTGTAAAAGACAGGCGTTTGTTGTTAAGTTGTAAATATAAAATTTTCCAAGCATCCGAAGAGAAGTTTCTAAAAACTAACTTGTGAAAGAAGACTTATTCAAATTCATTGTTTGCAGGAAGATATTTATCTAAGAAAATTTGTCAAGAAAAACTTGCTCGTTTTTACCGGGTTGGATTGTGAAGTTAATTTAACAGAAAAGGAAGTGCAGGTGAAAAATATTCTGTACAGAGTGTCTAAACTGCTCCATTTTAACATTATGTAATGCATGATGTATTGAGTCTGAAGATTTAATTTTCTCATAGAAAGAAACAGGAGTTACTTGCTCTCTAAAAATACTTTTTCCATGTCATGATGGCTAATGACTAAGCTCATAAAAGTTTTCTTCAAATGCCAATCTTTGTGTTTGAAAATATTCGATCATTTCTTGAATCATGAAGTAAGAAAGGTATTATAGAATTGCTGAATAACTGCGCTGCATTACTCACCCCAACCAATAACGTAGAATGCTTTCATATGTTTTCCACCAAGCCCTAAACCCGAGTAGACATTCACGAGTTGGAAGTAAATTATGATTCCTTCACATAACATCCATCCAAAAAGAGCGAGCACAGAGAAGTATAATAAAATTGAAACAGTGACACAGAAAGTCTGAAAAAAGATGAATGGGTTTTAAAATGTCTGTCAGCAAACTTTTCGACAGAATTAAAAAATGAATCTATGGTAATCGTATGCCGGACCATATACTCTTCCAAGTACTATGGTTGCAATGCAAGTTAATACATAACTATACCTCATGTGTTTGTGCTGGTCCACCCATTATAGCAAAGATATCCGCCATTCCAATCGCAACACAGAGATTCATGAGAACCTGTGTGGGTATTTTGGTCTTGGCATTCTTATGAAGTCTTTTCCAAACCAGTGCGTGTGCCAATATGGTAAGAAAGATACCAAATAACGACACAGAACAGCCAATAGTAGAGATGATTTCCAAAGCTGTTCTATGCGCTTTACCTATCTTGGATAGATAAATAAAATTTATGTAAACCTTATTTATTAGGATTGACACCTTATCGATTGTAATATCAGAGAGTAGTATATTCGGGGCTTTTGAAATCTTACCACATAACCTGACATCTCCATGGAAGCAAATGCTGTGAGGTGATTACATTCGCAGACGAACCGGCTACCGTATGATTTGTCAATAACTCTTCTACACCCGTCTGTTCTCCATCTGTTTTCACCAAGTTCTGGCTTCCAGTACACACACGTTTTGGATTCGTCCTAAAAATAAAGAAAATATTTGTATAGTATTCGTGTAATCATCCTTGGATGGCGAGTATAATTTGAGAGTAATAGTACGTGCGATGTCTGAATGTTTTTCGCAGTTTTTCTTCAAACAAAGTTTCTTGTCAAATTATAAAAACACGGTCCTGCCAGATTTTAATCCAATATTTATACTTTTTCTAGTATATATGTTAACATTCCTGGCCTTTTTAATTCCTCCAGGACTTTTAAGTTAATTTGCATGCAAATAATTCTCCGCTATTTAGTTACTTTGGTGGGGTGAAAAAGTCATGGCTAATAATAGACCTATTCGAAAAAGAGCAGGAGACCTGTAATAATAATAATAATAATAATATACAATATTTATACAGGTTTACTTGATCAGCTAACCAGAGTATAGCTGCTATCATTCAAGGACCTGTTAAACTAAGTATTAAAAAACTATAATAAAATTATAAAATATTAATATATTGTCTAAATAGAGTTTATAAAGTAGATATTAGAAAAGTCCTTATCAATCATAGACGTGGTTGTTTAATATCCTACGAATCCATAAAAAACGATTTACATTTCTGCCTAAAATTTAAAATAGATATCTCATTCCTTAGTTCTTTAGTGAGTTACAAAAAAGAACAAGCTACTCAGGTTTTCTTCTACCAAACTTAATCCAAAATTATTTGTCTATTTCTGGATTTTGATTGAAAGAAATATCGTTTTTGTTGCTTCTGATGCGTCCAACGAAAAAGTGAAAGTAAACATGATTTTGAAATTCCGAAAATGAAAATCTGAGTAGCGTCGCTCACGTGAACCTCGCCACAGGCTTCTTGCTCTTTTTCGAACAGGTCTATAAGTGACGTAATTTTACTTCGGAGTTACTCACGTATTTTTTCCTATAAACGTGTGTAAATCAATCTATTTTAATGCATAGACCACCGAAAACTATTCTATCAGCAACTAATTTTCTTCCTGTATTATTCTACTACAATAATTTTGTTGGTTTTGTTTATATAATGCTAAGCGACTTCATTACCAGTTTTTCTGTTTCCCAGCTGATACGAACGGGTTCTTTGAACAGTGTCTTGGGCTGAGGTTGAACACTCGCACTTATGATTGAGCTGTTCACATCTGCATATTTATCGTCAGTATAAAAATTATCCACCAAAAAGGAATTTAATGTTTTGAAGAAGATAACAACTACCACAGCACCAGATTCTTTTGGGAGTGCATCAGGTGAGAGATTTAGCGATGCATTTGGAAAATCAAATAGGTTTTCCTCATATGAAAGTACACCTTTGCGCGCCACGTATTTGACTTGCAGCTGTACGTTTGAACGGCCTTGGAATATAGAGTTGGCGCGGGTGTTGTTTTTTAAAATATCTCCTTGCTGAAAACCATAATTTTCCAAGGTTATCACCAGTTGACGAATCGCTTCGCCGTCCTATATCGAAAGAACGGAAAAAATGAGGAAAAGTTAAACCGGTAACTTCGTACGATTTTTAACTATAATTATTTAACTGGTAACCAAGCCTTTCTTTATCCCCGTATGACAAACTCTGAAACCCCCAGCCGGAGTACGAATGTGCACTAGTTAGAAATATGTGAAAAGAAATTGTTACAGTAAGTATCTACCTGATATAATCGTGTTTTTTAGCTTGAATTTTGTATCCATAGCATGTATACAGTGTTTATTACTCACTTTCTTTATTTCATTGTTTTTTATTGTTATCATAAAACCAATAGCAACGCTCTTTCGTATAGGTAGCTACCGATATAATTATTGTCTCGACAATAATCATCATCATTTTGAATTACTGTCTGGGATCTACGTCGCCTCGCCACAAACATGACCGTCTAAACTTATGACACTCGGATTGTGAAGTCAATAATTTTAAACTGTTTCTGAAATACTTTGGTATTGACGTTTTACAACCTCAAACTCACCGTCATATTTTTCCATATCTTCTCATTCCTAATATCCAATATATTACTCGCTGGACTCAGAATGTTAAGGTTTTCATCAGAAATATTTAGATGAACGATTTTTTGTAGTATTACAACCGTCTCAGTGAGAATTTCTTGATCAATTGCGGTTTGTCTCCCATATCCCTCACCAAGATTTGTTAATTTAGACAATTCGTCGACAATCTTTCGTGCACCTTCTCTTCGTTCTTCTTCTGTTGTATCCTCATCACTAAGTATGTCAACCTAAATTCCATACGTTTGATGTAGCTATAACTACGTAAAAAAACATTGGAGAACCTAAGAATCAATTTCTTGCCTCCTCCTTCATTTTATTAAGAATGCCATAGTCTTTCGTATCATTCATTTCTTTCGTGGTACTAAAAACAACAGGCTCACTTCTGACTTGAATTGTAGTGGAAGGTACCCTCAATTCTAGAGAAATAAGAGAATCTAAGATTAAGAATGATATAATATAACTCCCACAACAAGATAATCTGTAAGTGCTGTATATATAATGTCAGCCGTCGTGTTGAGTTAGCTATAGTAGATCTCTGATACAGTACGAACGCAAATATAATGGTATATTTCTGATCAAACGACAGGATTAATCTTGTTAAGGATTGATTTCGGCAATATAGTCAAATTTTGCAAGGAAAATCAAAGTCGAAGTTCATGCAAATAAGAAAAAATCTTTATCAGCAGTTACAGCTTATAAATAGGAATTTCCTTTCTGAATTATCAATGCATTTAATTTAATTCATTTAATCAATGCATTTAAATAGATAATAATTTTACTTTTAATAAATCACAAAAATTGAATCTTTAGGTTAGTAAAGCCTTTCGGCAACTGGAGTAAACGTGCATGCTGAAAAAAACAAAATAATTACAAACTTTTATACGCAATATACGCTAAACACTTTCTTTCATTAGTCGATAAATTAGTTCTCTTGCCGCAAGTCAGATCATGTTCAACTACCAACACAAAAAGACTGATATACATTTAAATATTGAACACTTTCATTGTTTTCATTGAAGAAGCTTTAACTTAAGTCCTTTTTCAATACTTGAATAGCCGTCTACACTTCTTGTACATTACTTGAATTACTGTATGCACTTTTTGAAACATGGTGCCAAACAATATGATACAGACTGACGTGTGAATTATTGATTAAAAAGGATATGATCATTTTACACAATCAGAAAACTTTTATTCATACGTATAGAAGTGATTATTCATTATTACCAGTAAGAATTCTACCTTTGCATACGGTTCCATTTCCAGTAAATCCTTCATTACAAGTACAGGTGTATGATCCAATGGTATTGTTGCACGAGGCTTGAGGATGACATTTGTGACCTCCAAGCAAACATTCGTCGGCGCCTAAAATGTTAAATATCAGATATAGATGTATATTATATACCCTAGAGTTAACACTCTAATAAATTCCTCCTACATTTCCTTTTTATTTTAGATAATCCCACATGTGATGGACATTAGCTATTAGCATTCCTTAATTCAATAACAACCCAGTTTGGCTTCACTTTCCAGATCAGCGAAACTTTACTAATTTTCAATCTCATTGCGTGGACCTAGTCGAGTACAAATGGAATCCAGGTAATCTCGACTATGTATTTTATCCAATCAGCGCTTAATAAGGGATTTTTAAATAGAAATCCACTCTATTAAATAGATATTTAATCCGATTATATCTGTATTTAATCGATTATTTTTCTTTTTTGAAACTGATTGAAATTTTGTGATTATGTTAAGTTGTTGGAACTATAGCTCTGACACATGGCGAGAAATTGTGGACACGCATGCGTGTTAATCGTGTGGACTTTAAATTTTCTTTGTAAACAAAATGGCGACGCGTTATTATAGAATTGTATTGGAGTTAGGAATAAAATTGTGTTTAACGTAAACCTTTAAGGGAAGCGTAAAATGTCGGACCTAAAATTGGTAGATCATGGTGACAACTTTTATCGACGGAAAATTTGTAATATAACCATATACAAATTTCATTCGGTATCACGACATTTAACTATGAACTAGGGGTGAAATAAAATATATAGCCCAGTACGTAAATACCTCAAAGCGGCCCAAATAAATGCCATTTTCTAACCATTGTGATTGGCGAATACTAAGTGTCGCATCTCCCTTAGCTTGCCAGTACAGTGTGTTTCAATCGGTAAATCTTCCCAAATCTGTACGATTTTTACGTAGTTCGGTATTTTGAACTAACTTTAGTGCCAAATTGGTATATTCCAGCCGTGAAATTTGACCCCCCGAGCAAAAGCGCACTGAAATGGCTAACAGAACAAACTAAATATCGGCCTTTCTTGCTCGAATATGCATCCATTTTGCTTGTTTTTAGTACAAGCTTTGTGACCAAGCCTTGGTCTTTAGGCAAACTTAATATATTCATAAACATTGCCGTCTATGGCTGGAATATTACATAATTATATTGAAACCGGCGATATTTTGAAATTAATTTCGCGCAATATTCATAACAACAAACGCAGTATATTTTAGCGTCTATAGCAGTTAGGTTAATGTTTTTAAAGCATATAGAAACAAGCTCTTAAATGTCTGACGCAACTATTTCTTTGGCGAATGTTAAACTGCTCATAAATGGAAATGTGCCGTCGAATATGTTGTTCTACGTCGCCAAACAAGCCATATCAGGTGATCATGTTATATACTGTATGGCTATTCGCAATAGCGTTTTGCTACAATGGCATAACGCATAGTCCAAGCAGGAAAATTACATAGATTTCTCAACGAGAGTCGAGATAATTCCCGATGAATCCGTCCGGACTATGCGCGCTGCGCGCATCGTTTAGCTTCCTTTGGAATTTTTTTGCTGATCTTCTGAATACTTTGTGTATGACCCTTGAAAGTCAGACACTTAACTCCTCCCACTTATGTCCACATTTTCTCGCCATGATAAATTTGAAAATAAAATATATAGTATATTTTAAGAGATATCACTAAAGTTGGTCTACTAGTTCCAGAGTTTTCCATCCATTTCAGATCACCTGGTATAACAGTAATAAATTACTTCACTTGGGTAATAAATTAAATTCTAATAATTAATTACGACGTACGTATTTCGCAGAAAGATGGTCTCTTAAGTTGGCATGATTGGTCGTACCAACTTCCGTTTCTTAACATAACGACACAATATTCATCCCCTCTATGATTATTAGGCTCCCCCGGTTCCCAGTTGTAATAGTTCGATTGCTTCCCGTCAGGAAAACACCATGCTTTTCCACATTTCTTCAAACCAATCCAGATATTCATACTCTGACTCTTCCTGTATGTTTGAACCAGAAAATTTTCGAGGGCGACTCCAGTGATTCTGGCAAGCTGCCCACCTTTGCTTTTACAATAGTCGTTCGCTCGCACCCAGGTTAGAAGATCAGAATTCACGAGATAACAAAAGATACCGAATTTTTTCCAGGACACTGACGGACAACCGGCTACAAAGTACAGAAACATATTTCACAAGTTATTAACATGTGTCATGTCTGGTGCAATTACCCCTGATGTCTCCTTATCCGATTTTTCTATAATTGGCGGATTCAGGTTTAGTCAGATTAAATTACACGGCCTAATTTCCAATTCAAAATTGGTTATTCATTTCTAAAGAATACTTTTATATAAAAATACTTTTATATAAAAATCTACCAATATGATTGCGAGTTTGAGCAGAAGTAATTTATTCTGACTTACCCTGGATCCGCCGCTCGCTAGAAAGCAAATAGAAGTTAGTATTTACTTTATTTTTTAGAAGAAAAATCCAATCTGAAATTTTTAGCCATAGAAATAAATCGTCGAAATCTAAGCTTTTCTTACCGCTGCCATCTTGTTTTCGACAATCTGGCGCATGCGCAGACAAATTGCACTCCAAAATGCACACGCAACGAATTATAATTACCGGTTATTTCCTACTGTTAATGTATTTGAGTTGGCAGCATCGACATTATGATAAAGACATTGCGCAAACCCATTCCATTTATTCGAAAGATTCATAAATCTTTGTTGCAGATGAAAATCCTGCGAATACTACCTGTGCAAACGGTCCCGTTTCCTTTGAATCCTTCATTACAAGTACAAGTGTATGATCCAATAGTATCGTTGCACGTGGCTCGAGAGTGGCAACTGTGAGTTCCCAACATGCACTCATCAACATCTGGCGCAATGGAAAATATTATTTAAGAAGATTAAAATGATTATATTATATATTAGCTTCTACGTACACCACGTAAATATTTAATACTGGCATATACTGCAGAGCTTTTTGTCCGTTAAATCTGCGCGAAATTGAATATTTTCACTGCACAAAGTTAAAATTTCCTGAACTTTATCTTTAGGCGAGAGAATGATTTACTGGTTTGATTTAGAATAACTTAACTCTATATGCATAGGGCATAGGCGTACACACAAGCTGGGGGCTAAAGCCTGCTCGGATACGATGTACCGTTCATTTTTGGGCGAAATATTCTCGTTTTAGAGCACAGACAACTGAAACAAGATTACATTTTATTCTATAGACATCTGTCTTCATAAGCTTTCAAATGCTTCATGCGTTTTATGACCAATATATGGAGTTAAAAAAGTCGGCTTTACGAAATGAAAACAACAGACGGTGAAACGCTATATGAACTTAAGTGAAGATTAACTTCCTGGGACAAAGAAAATTTTTGAGGATAGTATATTATTTAATTATTCAACCCTTACCTACCCTGCCCACATTTAAAAGAGGGCCCAACTAATATGCCATAACTTTACCTTCACAAACAGTCCCGTTTCCTGTGAATCCTTTGTTACAAACACAAGAGTATGATCCGATGGTATTGTTGCACGTGGCTTGAGAGTGACAATGATGCTGAGTTCGTAACATACATTCATCACCTTCTAAAGCTGTAATTTCAGAAATCAGATTTAAACTATTTTTTGTGGTTAAGTCCATTATAATCGTATTTGTCGGGATTCTTGTCACTCGAGATGAATGGGACTTGACCAATTTATAAAATTGCAGAGATCATTCTTGGCTAGAGTTGCTACCACTTTTGAAATTATAAGAAAATTTCTGACGATGGAATATATTGCTAATTTCAATCTCTAAATTTTTCTTACCATCATTTTGAATTTCTCTCGGGTCATTTTAGGTACAAATTTTAAAATTATGTATTTAGGTTTATCTCAGGGCTGAAGCTAGACCCGTTTCAAAGGCCGACTTTTCATGCATTGCCCGAAACGAATTCAAAATTGATGAATTTAGACAGACATAAGACTTTAGCTCATTAACATTAGGTTAGGCACATGATATGTCTGTAACAGACCCAAAGACAGGTTCCGATTTCCCTTCACGGGTCGATCAATAAGGGCGTTTTTCTAAAATTTTCGGTAAAAACGAATGTTTTTGCTTGATTTTCTTCTATATTATGAGAAGCAACCTGTAGTTCGTTTCTTTGACGCTGCACGATTTAAAATAAAATCAAGCGAAAAAGTAATCATGCGCTCTTAAAATTCAGCCAAGAGGGAAACCACCTTAAAGTTAAAATGCATTAATGATGAATTAAAACCGTACGTATTTCACAGACAGACGACCTATTTAAGCCACAATCTTGGTCGTTCCATCGTCCGCCCCTCCTCATATCGACGCAGTATTCGTTTCCTCTTGCATTATTGGGCTGTCCTGTGTTGTTTTCCCAGTTGTAATAGACTGACGGTGTACCATCCAGATAGCACCAAGTGACGTTGCATTTCCTAAGACCAATCCACAAATTATTAGGCATTCCTTTTCTGAATACTTTCCTGATAAAATTGTTGAGATCTGCCCCAGTAATTCTTGCAAGTTGTCCGCCTCTTTTTTGACATTCTTTGTTGCCATTCTGCCAAGATGTAACGTTAGTAATGCTGGTGTAACAGATGTTACCAAAACGTTTCCACGACGCCGAAGGACATTTTACTGCAAATGAAAATTCTGAATTTACCTGATCTTTACTTCTCCATTTTACTGTTACTCTCATTTCCACCAGATCTATTAAAAATTAGGCGTGTTCCTATATGTCACCAACTACTGGTGATGGCAGTATTGTCAGGGATCACCGAAGGAAATGCCTGTTATTTTTATATTTTTTACGGGCCATACATCCTTGCAGATTGTAGCAGTCAAACGGTTCTAATTGGCTATACGTTTGATAGAATAATGGAAATCTAATAGTCAAATGTTTTTTTTGATTTTACATTTAAAAAATAATCAAAAAGCATTGTTATATGTGAACTTTCAGAACGAATTGCTACGACTTGTGAATGACAACGAATTATGAAGAATTATGCTATATGAGAACCAGCTTTAAACAAAAGTTAGATAATCAAAGTTTAGCAATGCGTGGTGTAAATCCATATATCAACATTATAAAGGTATCCCACCAAAAGTGACAATCTAGAAATTGTCCCATTAGAAATTAATGGCAAAAGCCCAAGGGTGCAAAGTCGTATAAGCAACTTGCAAAGGAAATCATGATCGAGTCGGCTTTAGGGTTAAGATTGCCCGACCCACACTACAGGGTTTCACAAAAAAACCCCACTAACATTAGCCGTCACCCGGTACAAAGCGCATTACAAAATATACAAGAAAATCATGGTTCAATTACTGATAAAGCACCCTTGTGTGTAATCAGGCACGTTTAAGAACGATTTAAAAACAACGAAATAATTTTTAAAAAAATATTTTAGGACATTAGGCCGTTTATACGAGGATAATAAGTCGCGACTATATATATAAGACGTGATTTGAATAAGACGCGAGCAATCAGTTTATATAGTTTTACGAGCCTGCCATGCTTGTAAGAATGTCTTATGCATTAGATGCGTCTCAAGCCGGTTACATTTTTCGCGGGAAGCGACTTGCTCCAGATGGTTGCAGTTTAACGCTCTGAAAGAGAAGTAAAATGTCTCTTCGTACGAAAAATATTGCTAGTGGAAAACTAGCCTTACTGATCTAAGGGGTTCTAGTTCAGTTGAATAGAAATTGCTAATTCTTTGCCGCAAGCATTCACAGAAAATCTTCTTATCGCTACTTCTACCCTTATGCCAACAAAGCTGCAGATAATAAGAATAAGAAGTCTCATAGCCCACCTGTTGCGTTCATCCCAGAAGCCGTGGTTAAGATGAAAACAAGAACCAGTATGTGCTGAATGGCAAATATTCCGCTGTATTTCATCATTGCGAAGTTTTCCTCTTGTCGTTAGATTACGCGGTATCGTCTACAATACAATATGACATAACACGCTCAAGTTTATGTTCATCAAAACCGTTAAAAAAGCTGGAGCGGAACTAAATGATATTTGCATGCAACAGGCAACAATGATATCCTTATTTCACCAGCATAATTTACTACATCGATTGTTCATTTTTGTGCACATGACTAAAATACTGTTTCTGGTAAGTACGACGTACCACAAACTCGGGAGAGTATAGACTTTTTCAAATCGGCACGTCATGAAAACATCAGGCAGTTAAAACATGCAGCATGTAGGAAGCAGCTACTCGACAATGGCGGCGACTTTAAATGTCTTTGAATGAATATTTGCGACAAGTCTATACAAGACTCCTTCCTGTATTACCATAGGTTATTAAAATGCAAACAACAGGGGGGGGGGCGACGACTGCATCTAGCTAAAAACAAAGTTCCTTAAGTAAATGCTAGATGAACTAGGTAGTAGATTTTACAATCATAAGTTTTCTTGTCAAACAAAACTCTCCTGATAGTATTTACAGCATACTAAAACCAACTAAAAACAGCACTTAATTGCTGCGTCTGAAACAATACAATCGGATAACTAGAGCATGGTGGAACATCAAAATTTTTCCAAAAGTACTTAACTATATCCATGTTTATCTAACCGCGGGATGGTCTTGCCAGAGATAAGCATCCCGGTTTTAATTTGCCTTGAATTCTTTCACAAGAATCAAGTTCGAGGCCAGACCTTGCACTTTAAGCCTAGAGTCTTGTAATGAACACGAGTTACAGTACCACGAACGTATGGCAACTCGTTATCAGCAAATGCAGTTTTTTAAAAAAGCGATACAACAGACACCTTACATTTCTAGCATTTGTTTGAGTGTGCACGAATGAAATAGCCTGAAAACGAGCTGGCGGTTGTCGCTGATGATGTAAGAATTGTAGGAAGCAAACATTGTAAGTGTTAAAGTCTTAAACAAGAACAGAGCTATATCTGAGACATACCAGTGAACTCTATACATATATGGAAGGCTAGCTCCAGTTCAAAGTGTGAAGCCAAACATGGCGGATCATTAAGGCTGCTTGGGTACCGAACCAGTTCTTCACGAAGCGTAAAATGTGCGAAGCGCGCGTGGAAATTAAAAACACGAATTATAAAACTATGACGAAAATTTTTTTTAAAATACAAAGTTTTTAAAATACAAAGTTTTTAAAAATGACTACATACAATTTGTTACAACCTTACCTGGCAATGTTATTCTTTCTAGATAGGTAATTTATGGCCTATATTTCTGTTGTGTTTACAAAACTGACCGAGTTCCACTCCTACACGTTGCCACCATATTGAATTTAACCGCTCGTGTGTGGAGGTCTGGTTCGGTACCCAAGCAGCCTTCATGATTCGCCATGTTTGGCTTCACTTTTAGATTACGCAATGTACTAGAGCGAGCATTCCATATATATATAGAGTTCACTGAGACATACGCGTTGACACAGAGTACACTATGAAATCTGTTTTTGCGTTGAATGCTTTCTATTGGTATATGATTACTATTTTAGATTACTATCCTATATTCATTGTATTCAAGCCGTAATCTCACTGTGCCAGTCCTGAATGCATGCTTTTGAAGTTTGACATCTAAAACGACAACACGGTTTACCTAATGAAGTTTTCTATTTCTTCCAAACTGAAAACTGAAAGAATAAACAATATACGGCTAGGGGAAATATATCACACTGGGCAAACAACATCGAACAAATTAATTGAACATGACCATGCACCATGAAAAGGATGCAAATCTCGCGAGATATAACAGCTCAGCATAAATTATATTTAAATGTTATAGTATCTCGTGCAATATATTAAAGCATAGATTTTGTTTGCTCACTTCAATGTCCAGACCTAAAATGTATACGTACCATACAAACCTGCTTAATCCTCGTGTTCTACGATACTTTCTTCCCACATTATACTATATAGGATGTGCACTAAAGCCTGTTTTTTATCGCAATTTTTTATCGGAATGTCGTTTGTTATGTAGTGAAGCATAACATTCTTTATCCGTCAGGGAAAATTCACTTCATCCAAGCTACGTTCACACGACCAAGCTATGTTCAACCAAGCTATGTTCACACGGTAAAAATGGATGAACTTGGAGTGGTTCTACGTATTCATATACGAGATACCGGTCATTCGAGGAAAAGTTCACTCGGTCCCGTGTGAACTATAGCCTCACGGTGGCGCTGACTATAAGAGTATAGGTTAATGTTTAGCTGGTTAACAACGGTTCAATGCTAGATTGTTTTCAAAATACAACCTTTTGTTGAATTGACATGTCGGTATAGACTAATACAAAAGCAAGATTTTAGGACTTCTCTATTTAATACATATTTTCCCCTGTATAAGTACTTACGTAAAATTATACTGGATAAATATACGATTTGCTATCCAATGTCAATGAGAAATACAGCAAATGCCTAGTCTTTCCCACTTTCGTATTCCGCATTTATTTATTTTATTACATTTGTCATATGCAGTGTTTTTTTTGCTTTGATTTCCACGGGTATAGCTGCAATATATGAATGAATATATGTTTAATGTCAGTGCATTTTAATATCCCTGTCATGTTTTGTTGGCATTTGCCATCCAACTGTCAATCAAGATTCTGTGTGTCATCATTTTGTCGTCATGGAGCAAAGGTTATTTCGCAACTCAGATCGAGTGAATTTTTTTTTCGCGAATGAATGCCGTCGTTTGTTAGCCGCATGAAAAGGTAAAATCTCCCCGATCTTAGCCGTTTGCCCGTGGGCATCGGTAATATTATAACAACCAATGTATTTGGAGCCGAGTTAGGCATCACTGGGAATCGGACAAGCATTAGCAATCCAGGTCAATCCTATAACATATATTTTGGTTCATTGCATAGCCTGGCAGGTATATAAGGCGTATCCTAGAAATTTAGGCAGAATCTGTTAAATACATTTTAAACAAGAATAACAAGATGTCGTTTTAGTTTGTACTCTTTATAATTATCAACGCATGTCTCATCTATAAATCTCCTGGACCATACCTTTGTCCGGTTTCGTCTTATTCTCCTCTTCTCCTTTAGTTCCGTTAATTACTTTCCCTTTTGTTACTTTTCTCTTCTTTTTAGCCTTTGGCGTGCTTTTGTATTCCGCAAGTGTGACACATCATTCTGTCCTCAGCTTTAGAGACAACTTCTTTGTAATTCCCAGGATTAATATTTTATTTAGCATCTCAATGACCTAAATATCTCAATGACAGCACTACATTCATCATTTATGTGACACCGTAACACATCACTCAATTCAAGAGATTGAAGAGAACCCCTATGCACATGCCTTTCTAGCCAAATCGGACTATTTTTCATGCAAATAACAAGGCTTACATATTCAAGCTTTATCACTACTCTCATTACTTTTTAGAAAGAACCGAGCCACGCTTGTATAACTCCCAGGTTGTTCCATTTGCTTTTCCCTAATTGTATTGATGTAAGTACTCTTCTGTTTGACATTCTTTTATTGCACGGTCAGTAAAATGGAAATTTTTACTTGATCACGTGATCAAAAGCAGCAACCAAAAAGGTAAAACATATCACACCTTTTTGAATTGTTGTTTGTATTGTTCGCTGACGTTTTAAACCTGATCCTTAGAAACGGCTGCATTATAATAGGCTGAACAGAGAACTTATATAATCATATAAGTACACTGGATTAGCTTCGTATTAATCTAAAATTAGACCAATACGAATTCGATAGTAATTTATCCGCTGGCAGCGCGTAGACCATGCTAATTGCATTTTGATACTTTCATTGCAACGCTTCAAATAAAGCCATCTCTGCATCTTCCGCAGCTGTTAAGGTGGTCTTATACAATAATATAAACTCTTTATTACATCTTTTTGAGGTCCACTTTTTCTCGAGCAAGCGAGGTTAATAAAGTTTATTATATGACATAAGTTTATTATATGAAACGAGTTAATTATATGGCATAAGGCATGCATTTGCACTTGAAACAAACAAGAGATGCACGTATTTGTATTAGTAGACTGGTACGCATTTGATAAAATCAAAAATAACATAAATTATTGCATTATTATTGAGTTTACCCTAAAACGGTCTGGAGACATCTTATTAATTTTAAAAAGCAATTAGCATTTATTTGGGCCTCTTTCTTTCAGAATTGCTCCGTTTTTCATCTCGTAATGGGTCGCCGGTACCGCAGGACCATCACGGGAAATTAAAATTCTTCTCAGCTAATCACTGAGCTCCATTTCACGGGAAGTGACGCTTGCCATATAATAGAAAAGATTTATCACTTTTCAATAATTCACAATACGCAAAAAATTTTCAATCGAAACCTAAATCAAAGAAACCCTGGGTGAGGTTGAACCCAAATTTCTTTACTATCAAAAATTCACCGCTTTGCTATACATTTTGCTGGTTAAACGCTTTTTTGACTCAGAATAACTCAGATACCACCATTGCCAGAAGGGGTCAACCCATGAGAAACCATGCACTTATATTAACCATGCATGCAATACTCTAATTAGTATACCTACAGTATGTCCCTTCATTAGCTCCCACTTGTACACCTGTCTCGTCGTCGATCATCTGATCCTGCCAAGATCCATCGTCATCTCATCCATCGTCATCAGATCCTCAAAAGAAATTGGCCCAAGTGACCATCAATGACTCCCTGTGATTGGTTTGCATCGCCGCACTGCCAGCTGATCCGAGATGATGACGTGTAAAGACCCGTTTACATTTGCAAATGCAATTTTTGGTGCGATTTAATTTTGTGTGCTATTTTATTATTTGGTAGATGTGAATAAGTGGCTTGTTGCGAAGTCCCTGTTGTATAAGATATCTTATTTTAACATTCGCAACCAATTCACTTGTTCACATGTATCAAAAGAAGAAAATCGCACACGAAAAAAGGCCTTAAGGCGACAAATTATACGTGAAAGGAGTCGTTTGTCCACTATCTTTCTCTAAATAATAGTATAATGGGCGCAAATTAAAATATCAAAATATAAGAATTAATAAAAAGTTTTGTGTACAGGATATGAAGGAAATGATAATTTATATTCAAGTTCTGGTTTCTGATTGGCTTATTTTTGTACCGAAATCATCTGGCGTCACACAGGTTAATAATATTTAGCCAACAATTGCGCCAATTTTTCTACGCTGATCGTCTCATTTTGTTGCTGTAATCGTACCTTTAAATTTACGACTGTTTTACAAGCATAATCGGTTAGACTTAAAACTCTTTCGGCGGATCTTAAAGTTCAGTGTTATTCAATAACGAGTTGTTCTTTAATAACAAATTATTTTCAAATCATTTGATAATATTCAATTCAAATATTCATTTCATTCTTAATATTAGTTTCATTCATAATATTCATTTCAAATATTGTCTGTATCTAATGTGATATAAGAACCGCCAAAATAGACGAAAAACTTTCCGACGATCCGACCTTCGTCAGAAAAGCGCATGATTTAAGCCTTTTTTCTCGTAGAGGTCGAATATTTAAATAAACGGCATTTTAAATAAAACGAGGTAATGATTTATTTGGCTGAAATATTGTTAAGCAGAACGTCTTTTTTATACCTTAAAATAATGTATACCAATTTCGTCCTTCATAGGGACAACTCAGTTTTTTCATAAAATCACTCATTTAATCACACGTCACTTCAACGTAAACGCACGTCGCCGTTCACTGAAAAATCTGCTTGGTGATTATTGCGTAATATATTATTGCGTATAATGCGACATCGCTTGTTAAATTAAGTCGCTTATAATCATTTATAAAATTTAACGTATTTTAATTATATTTCTGAAAATGCGCTGTTTAAATATATTCTAGTGCCAACCCTGTTGCTCTTCGATGCAAAGTAAAATATGCTTCTTTCCAGATGGCAATCGTTTTACCAAAATTACTTGTGATTGAACTTTTAGATTTGTAATCGCCAACAGATGTTCATGCCTTTAATAGTTTTCATTCCCTCTGTGCGTAAAATTTTGTTTTTCCAGTAAAATATCAAACAGTTAAAAGTGCCGTTCATTGAGCACACGGTTTGAGCCCAGACTCCGAAAAGTAGTGCATCATCGAAAGCAGACATCTCATTTTCTTTCGTGTTCATCCTTAGTATAATGTAAACAAACGCCGGAATGGACAGTGCCAAGAAGCAAACCACTGCAAGCAAGCAACTGGATATATTCTTTGAAATAAATGTACTCCTCGTGTCTGGTGATATTCCTCTGTTTCCACGACGTTTCGCGTGCACTATCGCAAACAACTTGCCGTTTACGAATAGAATCGGTGGAGCGAAAATGGAAAAAAAGCTAAGAAGCAAAACTTGATACGAAATTACAAGGTTCAGAAACATCAGCAATAAAACTAACTCGACAGAAATCAGTACCGCAAGAAGAGTTAAAAGTTTTCCCTTCGTTACAGAGGTTTGGTGACAAATGGGATGATAAGTCGCCAAATATCGATCGAAACTCAATACCAAAAGGACGAGCAAGGAAAATCCGAGGAGAGCAGATGTTAGTCTAATGGTATTGTGTACCGAGGTAACGCGACTTGCATTCTCATCTCCAGTCAGCCAAAATATTACAACGTAGGCAATCGCTGAATGATTAATTGTGACCGAAAACAAATCGAAACAGGACAAAACCATGATCATGAAATAACACAATTTCTTTCGAAGCTGGGCTGATCTCAAGAAACTGATTATCACCAAGGCATTTAAACATATTCCCGAGAGAAGGAAACACACATTCGCAACAAACAGGAGTATGAAATTTATTGAATATCGGAACTCCATCATGAAGCCAGACCGGTTTTTAGATGAACTGCATATGCCTCTGCAGAAAAACAAGATGATGCATCATTATTATAAATGGATAGCGAAAATTATTACAAATGGATAGTGAAAATTATTATAAATGAATAGTGAATATTATTATAAATGAAAAGTTCATAAACACAGGAATCCGGACCTATCAATCCTACCACAATCAATTTCCGGTGAAGGGCTCTTTGACTTTAATCAGTTACGATGCATGCATGGAGTAATCGATTTACATGATAAATGATTTCAAACCAACCTTACAGCTCTTAGGTATAGCGGTATAGGTTCTTTACAGACACACACGCACACGTAGGACCCAACTTATATTAATTCTATTCAAATCATTTTACTGTGAATGACTGATATTAGATAGATCGATAATATTTAGATACCTCGACGACCTAATGTGTATTTTATATTGTAGAGGTGACGTCAGTAATGCAAACAACGCTTGCTCATAATTTCAACTGTTGAATCAGTAGCTTGTATTTCTTAAAATATGACCTAAACCAACATCATATTCAATACAATTTTAGTTTGCAGTACTTCGAAATGAATGCGGACTAGCTCTGTGTCTAGAAAATCCGAAACACGCCAAATATAACCACTTTTATATCAGCGGATCTGAAATTGTTATAAGCAGAACAGATGCGTAAATACAGCTGTACATTATACATACTAATATAGCCGAATTAATTTCAATTGAGACTTCAACATTTACGAACATGCATCGCTTCCAGAAAACGTGAAGGTTGTAGAAGCATACAGCTAGGTTTGGTTTGCCAATTGAACACCTGATTGAAGCAAGGTGTGAGCGATTATGTGCTTTTTATCGTCAGTATCGACTGTTCAACTTGGAAATACCGCCCGATCGCTGAGTTCCTTATTGCCATTATGACGAAAAATTTGGTACGACACACAATATATGAGGCAAGACATGAAAAGCGCATATCTAATTTGACTCCCTCACACAGTCGCAAGGCGAGAAATATATAAGAAAAACACGACTTACCCGTCCATCCGACTTTTATATTCTCTCAACAAATTTGTATAATGTTTTTAAGTCTCGTTTTATAGAACAGCGTTCAAACAATCACAAGAAGGCAAAATAAGACGTATTTTGATTGGGCAAACTGGTTCCAAATGTCATTGAAGCTGTACGACAACAAACAGTGATATCTGTCATATTTATTGACATTATGCCTGGCTCCATGACAAGTTTACTTTGACAACCATAACAACCGTTTTCTTGTCTGCAAGTCGTCAGAATTGGTCATTTGTGTCCGAAGAACTCACTTATCTGTTTATTTTGATCGCCAATTAATATACCCTAGATATTCTTGAGAGAGATCTGAACTTCTACTATTATTACTATTTACTGGGGCTACCGTAGGTAGAGCGAGTTAAAAAATGGGCTCGTTTTTCCTTTTGCGTCGCGAGTTTACGAAAATCACGCGTGGCCGGCGCGAAGTCTTCGAACGAATCGAAATCGTCCTGTTATCGTTTCTCGCGCGGGTGTCACGAACATGCAATAACACCAAAAATTAGGCGTTACAAGCTCAAGCGAGATAACTGTAGCCCGAGTGGACGCCTGCTCAGCCTGCGTCTTGTTAAATTTTTAAATACGTTAAGTGTACCCCTTAATTCTTTTCAGTGTAGACTGTTTCACAAAATCCGTTTAGAGCAGCTCGTTTAAAGGATGAGTTCACATCCTTTACACTGATATTGCTTTCATCGAGATTTTTTCTGGTTCACCTTCGCTTTTCAGGGAAGTAGTGCCTAGACAGAAATAAAATTGTGGTTTTTAGCATTGATCAGTTTGTGCGGGTAAAAAACTGTTATACTCTCTTCCGAATAGCCTATATTGAAACATATCACGGTATTTAGATACTGACGTCTTCATATGTACGTATGCATGTTAGTGATGTTCAATGGCCAGAAAATTCCGACAAAATTAATATTCTACCTCCACCAATAGTATATTCGAGCCGGGTAGCCGGGAGTTATTAATTAACTAATTTATGTGTGATAATTCATCACCTTTCATAGTTTTTTTCCATAACAGTTCAAACATTTCAACACCTTAAACTGAATATATAGTATACAAAACCAACTGCTGTATAATGTACCTTTAGACAGTTCGTAATGTTTATCTTGCTTTTCCCTGTCCATTGCTCCGTGAAGCTGGGAAGAAGAAGAAATGGTATATTTGCTGAAATATCCGTTAAGTGTTAACAAACATATATCCTGTGTAAAACTAACTTTCCCAAGTATCAAAACATACCGTTCTGTTCAAAATCACGTGACAAACAAGCAACATTATTGCTTGGAGGATGTTGAATACGGCGAAAATATACTTAAACACGTTTTTATCTTGATGAAATGCAAGTAAATGAAATAACCATGCAAATCCGAGAAGCAGAAGTTGCACTGCGGCACCTTTCAGACCAAGTGTGCCTCTTTCATTTGTGGTGCCATCTTTTGTATGTGTAACTCTGGATTCAGACGATGAAGCACGGCGCAAAAGCAGAATAAAGATCACAAAGTTGCTCTGAAAAGCAATAATTATATATGATAAACAAAAACTTTAGTACAGGAAATCTTCTAAGCTTTTCAATATAAATAATGCTGAGGGCTTAATTATCATGACGATTCTTTAGACAAAAAGCCCTAGGTCCTAAAGTGATATTGCCACAAATTTTCTTCGATATTATAGGCAATATGTTCCTGAGCCACCCATCATGATGTAAGATATTTATGGTAGGTTCTACGCTTTGTGTTAAATCTTAGTTCAGTATTTACGTCTACTGGAAACAATATCTGTTATTGAAATATTTCGTAGTTTCCTTTTTAGATTTTGGTTAATTGATAAATCGATATGTTTTCTTCAATATATGAAGACGTTTTTGAATGTATACTTACCAGTAAAATTGCAAAAAGAGTAGCAATGAAAATCCAGAACGGCACACCTCCACTAGGGCACCAACATGCATTGATTGAATTCTGGGTTATAAAACTACCTACTTCGACAGTTGCAGCTAACACAAGTACAACAGTTATCGGTATGCCTAAAAAGGAATATATCAGAATCGATAGCAGCATTAACCCCTAAACCGCAACAGCAAAGTAATAATAACACAGTTATAAAAACTTTGCTCCTTGACCTAGTGTTATTTCACTAAAATAAAAGGTTTCAGGTTTGAGCACAATGTATAAAAAATCGGAGGGTCTATATCAACATGTAGGGTATTATAAGATTTAAGATAACATTAGATCTTAAGTGTGACAGCTAGCTGTGCATCGTATTGTGCAAAAAAATTGCAATAAATTTGGGAATAACATCTGTTACATCTGCCTGTACAACATTTGACGCAAAGTTATCATCATAAAAGAGGCCTGGATCGTCGGTCATAAAACTACAAACCTACCCCAAGAAATAACGTAGAATGCCTGGAGAAATTTTCTTCCCAAACCTAGATCCAAGTAGGCATACGCAAGTTGAAGGTAAATTATGATTCCGTTACATAACATCCATCCAAATAGAGCGAGTAGACACCAATACAATAATATTGATGCAGCAATACAGAGTGTCTAAGGAAATTATATAGAACGTCACGTTTTGTTCAAATGGTGTTTTAGGCAAAATATTAAAGCGAAAAGTATATTTATAGAATTAATCTTATTGTGTATATATTGATACGGAATTTAACTAACAGTAGTGATTGCAATTTTTCAAGAACTCCTTCAATTTGCACCTTATCGGCAGAGAGAGCTGGTGATAATGAGATAACAAAGCAGCATGAAAACAATTTTCAAAAGAACTGCGCAACAGTTTGGAAACCTCTTAAAAACCGGACTGCAGAAAAACCCACAAACACATATATCTGATCATTGCTAAAGATAGTATAGCTATAAAAATATTATTTGTATGTTATGTATTATGCTGTATACCTCATGATTCTGCGCAGACTCCGCGATGATAGAAAACAAATTTGCCATAGCAATAGTGATGCAGAGATTCATAAGAACATTTGATGGAATTGTGCCCGTCTTATGGAGTCTTTTCCACCAGAAAGCATGTGTGATTATTGTGGACAATACGCAAACCAGTGATACAGAACAACAAATTATAGATATCGTATCAACACTCAATCGTCCCCCCTCGCTCGTCTTAAAAAGAAATATATTAAATTTATACTATAGTTTTTGAGAAAAATTTACTATAGTAGATTTTTCGTGTCTCTCGCCTGATTGTAGAATTACATGTTAATAACGTGGGTAACACCTTAGAATGGTTGCTCAACGGTCGTTTAACAAAAGATGAGCAGATGATTTGTAGAGTGGAACAATTTTAGGAGACACTGTGGAGGATGTCTTAAAAGAGTATGCTCTTCGAGCCAGAATCAGGATTGAATTGATTTTTTTCTCATGAATTACTACCAGCGTACCGTCACGTGACTTTTAAAGATTTTTTTGTTATACAATTTGTCCCGAAAATAAACAATCACGAGTAGAACACAGCTCTTGGTCAATCAAAACATGTAAATTGACTATTTTTACATTATATAGGGAAAGATTACGGCTGATTTGAAGCTAAAAATAATGTATACTGCTTTCGTAATCCGTAATTGAACGTCTTACCGTGTCTATTGAAATATCGCGGAAAGCGAATGCTGTCAGATGATGACATTCACATGTAAACCGTCGACTGTTTGACTCGCCTTTTATTTTTTCACATCCATCTGTTTTCCACACACTTCCACTCAATTCCGGTTTCCAATACGCACACGCTTGAAATTCGTCCTGCAAGAAAATATCGTTTAGTCGCGTCTATAATGGTTCTTCATTCTTCCCTTAATTGTTATTAAGAAAAATTTACTCGAGGTAAAGAGATGTCCACCATCTCGAAGAAGATCTGATTAAAGGCATGCAAGATCGCTTTGTCTGGTGGTTTTAAATGTTTGATAAACACATTAAAAAAGATTTTGAAATAAGCGACCATTGTCAGTGTAAAATCGTTTAAAATAAATCTCTGTGATTGCTTATACACAAGGATCAACAATATAGCTACCTTCTCGGAAAATTTATACCCAGAAATAATGGATTAATCCGCAGAAGTCAGTAAAATGCAAAACAACAAGAACTTGGATGTAACTCGATGTAAAAGAAACAAGACGAGGTTTTTTTCATCGTTACTAAGGTTGTTTTTAGAGACGCAACAGCAAAGCCAGATTATGCAGAAGTTTCTTGCGACATATTTGGTGATAGATGTTTTAAACGTTCCGGGTAAAAAATTTGGAAGGGCAACATAACTTGTGTGTAAATTATTTCTTGGTTGTTAAAAACCAAACGTAAAGGCAATTGTAAAGTAACTTTTATGAACTCAAATACGAGAGAACAAAAATAACCTATTATTCTCTACGATCAAAATATTTCTAAAAGTAAGATTAAGGAGAAAGTAAGAAATACATTCGTTTGAAGACATTTATATTCATATTGTGGCAAAAGGCAAACGATTACTTACCGTTTCAATTATGTTCCAGCTGATTCGAACAGGTTTTTTAAAAAGCGCCTTTGGTTGTGGTTTAACGCTTGTAATAATAATTGCGCTGTTTATGTCGCCATTAATGTCACCTTCATCTAAGCTCTCCATTAAAAAGCCGTTCAATGTTTTGTACCAAAAGACGGCGACCACAGCACCAGAATCTTTCGGAAGTGCATCAGGTGAAAGGTTGAATGATGCATTCGGAAATTGAAAAAGTCCTCTTTCTTGTGTTAGGGAATCTTGGTTTATGTATTTAATCCGAAGCTGTACGTTTGAACGGTTATGGAATATAGTTGAAGCAGATGCATTGTTCCCTGCTATTTTCCCTTGCTGGATCCCATAATTTTGCAAAGTTACAACCAGATCACGGATTAATTTACCGTCCTGCATGATACATTGAAGAAATAAGGTGTGAAAAAATATCACATTGTGCAGCGCATAATTGTACAAAAATATAATTATTTAAGAGCAAAAAAGAAGCTCACCGGCCCGATTCCGTAAAAAAAACCCCGGTTCAATAGACCATTTGCATGTTAGACTACTTTTTGATCTGTGCAAAATAATCCAATCAAATCACCACAGCTAGAAAGAGCGTACTAAAATTAGTAAAAACGCAAAGTGTGGTTGCGAAATGTCGTAAAATACGGAAAATATAGCCTTGCAAAGTTTGCAAATTTGTATACTTTTGTCTAACGCACGCAAAATGTTACCACATTCGGGCCCAAAATGGTAATTTTTACTAATTTTGGTACGCTCTTTTTAGCTATGGTGATTTGATTGGATTATTTTGCACAGATCAAAAAGTAGTCTAACATGCAAAGGGTCTATTAGAACAAGGAAATTTCTTTTACCAACAAACTCACCTTCATGGTTCTCCAAGCGAATGCATTTCTATGATCCAGTATGTTGTTTGCAGGGGTCAGAATGTCGAGATTTCTATCCGCAATATTTAGATTAACTATTCTTTGAAGTATTCTTACTGCCTCTGCTAGATTTAGTTGGTTCATTCCGTTTGACCCATTTTCAATAGTGTCAAGATCTGTTAAGCACGACAGTTCGGTAGTAATCTGTCGTGCAAGTTTTTTATGTTCTTCACCATTCAGTCCATATGCCTGGAATTGAGCCATCACCAGATATATAGAAAAGCAATATGTAGTACAAACAAAAGAGGGACAAGAAAGTATTTTTTAGAAATTTTCGTTTTGTCATGCAATTTAAGGAAAAATAAAATATTTTTGACACAAAATATTCAACTCTTGCAATCGTTATTGTCATAGTTAGAGATGCACGATTCCTCCTCATTCGGGTAAATATCAGGTTTTGTGCGGGATATAAAAGAAGGGAAAATATATAACGGTGGGAGATAACAAGATCATTGTTCGTTATGGTCTGTTTTCAGATTCCCATGCATGGCCGTAAATCTCAAGTATTTACGTGTTCCATTCAATAGAGAAAGTGAAGCACTTACCCGCTGCAGATGCCTAAAGCTTCCGTAGGAACGCATACGAACAGCTTTTACAAAGAATTTATTTTACGACTTTAACCTACCTCTTCAACTTTTTTACCAAGAATACCAAAGCTCATATTGTTATCTGACTTTCTTTTTGTCGAGAGACAGATCGGATGAGATTCTTAACAATGGACAATTTAGAAGTCAAACGCATGTTTGGTACACAAGTTACATACTCCGACAAAAATATGAAGGTTTATAACGTAAAACACCATCCTTGGTATTATACGATTTGAGACCTCGGAACACTAGGTAGAGTGTTGGGGCTAAAACACCTATCGTATATCAACTATGTTTTTCAAATCATAAAAAATTTCGGACATCACTGCGGCATACCGTCGCAAACTGTTCCATTTCCTGTAAATCCTTCGTTACAAGTGCAGGTGTATGATCCAATAGTATTGTTGCACGTGGCTTGAGGGTGGCATCTGTGAGTTTTCAACGCACATTCATCCTCGTACATATTCTTATCGCTTGTGACGTCTATGCAAAAAGAGCATTAAACTATCCAAGAAAATGTTAAAGAAAGGTCTTTAAACGTAACAGTTTACCGGCACTTTACCTTCGCATTGGGTTCCATTCCCTGTAAATCCTTCAAGACAAGTACATGTGTATGATCCAATTGTATTGTTGCATGAGGCTTTAGGGTGACAACTGTAAGTTCCCAGTGTGCATTCGTCGCTGTCTAATATGCATATTTGAGAATCAAAAGTCATTTAGAACATTAAACATTGAACCCAGTGTCGGCAATACTTTCTAAAATTCCAATTTCAAATATTTCTTTCCCCTACCGTCGCAAATGGTTCCATTTCCAGTAAATCCTTCGTGGCAAATACATGTGTACGATCCAATAGTATTGTTGCATGTGGCTTGCGAATGGCATCCGTGAGTTTTCAAGGCACATTCATCCTCGTCTATATTCTTATTACTTGTGACGTCTATTGAAAAACAGGATTAAACGATCCTGAAAAATGTTGAAAAAGATCTTCATACGTAAGGGTTGCATATTGTTCGTCCGGGCACTGTACCTTCACACTGGCTTCCATTTCCTGCAAATCCTTCTTTACAAGTGCATGTGAATGATCCAATAGTATTGTTGCACGAGGCATGAGAATGACATCTGTGAGTTACCAGCATGCATTCGTCGATGTCTAATATGAATATTCGAGACCAAAAATTTATTTAGAAAGGGTGCATGCATGTCACAAGAATACATACAATGGAACCTTTGTCGTCAATGCTTTCTAAAAGTGCAGTTTCCAATATTTCTTTGTCCTACCGTCGCAAACGGTTCCATTTCCAGTAAATCCTTCGTGACAAGTACATGTGTACGATCCAATAGTATTGTTGCACGTGGCCTGAGGATGGCATCTGTGAATTTTCAAGGCACATTCATCCAAGTCTATATTCTTATTACTTGTGACGTCTATGCAAAAACAGAATTAAACGATCCTAAGAAATGTTCAAAAAAGATCTTCATACCTAAAAGCTCTATACTAATTGTACATCACCTTCCTGTACATTACCTTCACACTGGCTCCCATTTCCTACAAATCCTTCTTTGCAAGTACATGTGTACGATCCAATGGTATTGTTGCACGTGGCGTGAGAATGACACAACCGAGTCTCTGACGTACATTCATCTTTGTCTAATGAAACGATTAAAAATCAATGTCTTTTCTTTCATGCCAAAGCAACACAGACAATGAAACCTGTGTCGTCAATCCTAAAGTGCAATTTCGACTATTTCTTTGCCTTACCATCGCATACGGTTCCATTTTTGGTAAATCCATTATTACAAGTACATGTGTATGATCCAATGGTATTTTTGCACGTGGCTTGAGTGTGACAACTGTGAGTTCCCAACATGCATTCGTTGCTGTCTAATGTAAATATATGAGAGCAAAAATTAATTTAGAAAAGATGTATGCATGTCGCAGCAATACAGACATTGAAACATTTCTCGTCAACGCTTTTTAAAAGTGCAATTCTTTGCCCTACCGTCGCAAACAGTTCCATTTCGGGTAAATCCCTCATTACAAGTACAGATGTATGATCCAATGGTATTGTTGCATGTGGCTTGAGAATGACATCTGTGAGTTCCCAGCTTGCATTCGTCACCATCTAATATTATGAATAATCGAGAAAAGAAAGTCGTGGAGGAAGCAAGCTTGTAATATTTAACAATCATACATTCGGCATGTATTGAGTCTGCGCCTTTAATGATTTTTTTTCGTTTTTATTAGCCGAACTGCTAAAGTGGATTACAGCAGAAGGCACCTGAACGAGAGAGGCGCCTGCGTTAAATAACCTGGAGCTGTACCGTTAATTTGTTGACTGAACTTAGTAAACCAACCGTGCAACAGTAAAAAAGATTTTCAAACACTGTGAAATGAAGAACTATATTGCGTCTATGGTCTCGATATTCATTGGACTCATTTCGTGACTTCTGACTAACTAATTAATTGCATGATGATAGATTGCAGATATCTTTAGTTGAGTTTTCAGTGAGAGTGGTATGAGAATGACATTGCACAAAGCAAAGCAAAGCAAAGCAAACCTGCGTAGAGTATTTAAACTCCAAAAGAGTGCAGCAAGAGTTATTCTGGATGCTAGAGTACGAGACGAGAGAACTGTTAATTTGTTTGATAAACTGAATTGGCTAACATTTGACGATGAACTTAAACTTAACACATGCTGCATGGTTTATAAAATAATGCATGGTTTAGCTCCTGATTATCTTGCCAATAAATTTTCAAGAGTGAGCGACATATCACAGCGTAACTCGAGCTATGGCGATATAACATTTGTTTGTCCAAGGTACAATCGAGAAAAAGAAGGTGGAAAATCATTTGCTGTATCAGCAATAAAATTATGGAACAGTATTCCCGTGACTGTTAGATCTAGCTCCAATATCAAAACTTTTAAGAAAAGCTATCGTACATTTTTATTACAACAGTATATAGATCTTGATCATTTTAACCTTTCTTAATTCTAGTGTTCTAGTTGCATGTTTTTATATAGTCTTAGAATAGATTGTCTATTGTATTATTCTATATTCTATATATCTTATTGTATATACTTGCATGATTCTAATATCTTATTCTGAGAGCCACAAGTTTGTCAGCCCCTGGCTGTAATGTGTTTTTACCCTCGTGAAAAAAAGTCATTCATTCATTCATTCATTCAAACCCATTGCACCATTTTTGCCCAGATCTGATGCAAAAATTCGAAGATTTCCTCATTTTTTATATTTTTTAGACTCACTGTTGTTGAATTGACTGCAATGGAATTTGCAGTACAAGCAGTATGCGAAAAGTATGCAAAGTCGTTGCACATTTTTTACAGATTAATATACCGTTGTCGCTATTAGAAGTATAAAAGTTCTACCTTTGCAAATCGTCCCATTTCCTATAAATCCTTCATTACAAGAACAGGTGTATGATCCAATGGTATTGTTGCACGTAGCTTGAGAATGACACATCCGAGTCTCTGACGCACATTCATCCTTGTCTAATGAAATGATTCAAAATCAATGTCTTTTCTTATCTTCTATATCTGTAGGACTCCCTTCGTGACATCAGATTGGCTAATTGGAGATTATTGAGTTATCTGAAAAACATTGCTCCAACCCATTGCACTCAAAGGCCGTGAAACTATTTAGAAAGTGTGGGTAATTGGCAAAAAGGGGTACTTTTTTAATTAGAATTGTATAACATTTACTCCCATACATCTACGAAAACCATGAAATTCATTGAATTACTTTACGTAATTATTAATTACAACTGCAATGCAACGTTTTGCTACATAAAAATCTCTAATAAGTCTGAGTTCATGTAATACAATAACGCACATTTAATGACTCAAAGAAGGGCATGCTCGCTTGAAAAAAGGGGGTAAATTTTGCTATTGTCAAAAAAGTGCGAGGACACCGTAACCCTTTTAAAATCTTCAGACGGTACCTTTGCAAAATGTCCCATTTCCTGTAAATCCTATATTACAAGAACAGGTGTAGGATCCGATAGTATTGTTGCACGTGGCTTGAGAGTGACACATCCGAGTTTCTGAGGTACATTCATCCTTGTCTAAGGTAAAGATTCAAAACAATCGCTTTTTCTTCAGTATCTATCTCCATTGAACTCAAATGGTCACTTCTCAATGGCTAATTTCAGACCTGAGGCGGATTCAGGCTGATACTGACACGATAACAAAAGTAGTGAAGATCTAGTATACCGGAATGTGGTATATGTGATTTGAATATCCGAGAGTAGAAATAAATTTACAAAGCATGCGTGCCATAGCAACACGGACAATGGAACCTGTGTCGTCAACCTAAAAGTCCAATTTCGATTATTTCTTTGCCTTACCATCGCATAAAGTTGCATTTTCGGTAAATCCTTTATTACAAGTACATGTGTATGATCCAATGGTATTGTTGCACGTGGCTTGAGAATGACAACTGTGAGTTCCCAACACGCATTCGTCGCTGTCTAATATGAATTTGCGACAACAGAAATTAATTTAGAAAGGATGCATGCATGTCACAGCAATACAGACTTTGAAACCTTTGTTGTCAACGCTATCTAAAAGTGCAGTTCCGAATATTTCTTTGCCCTACCGTCGCAAACAGTTCCATTTCCAGTAAATCCCTCATTACAGGTACAGGTGTATGATCCAATGGTATTGTTGCACGTGGCTTCAGAATGACATCTGTGAGTTCCCAGCCTGCATTCGTCACCGTCTAATAAAAATATTTAAGAAAAGAAAGACTTATAGAAAGCAAGCCTGTCACAATTACCAATTATAAATCGGGCATATATTGAGTCTACGTTTTTAAAAAAAATTAGTTTTCAGCTGAAGTTGTTTACAGCAGAACTTTCCCCTTAAGAAAAGCTGAATGTTTTAGGAGGAGGTAAAGCACCTAAACGAAAGAGGCGCCTGCGTTAAATAACCTGGACCTGTACCGTTAATTTGGTGACTGAACTTAGTGAACCAACTGCGCAATAGTAAAAAAGATTTTCAAACACTGTAAAATGAAGAACTATATTGCGTCTATGGTCTCGATATTAACTGGACTCATTTTGTGACTTCTGACTAGCTAATTAATTGCATGATGACAGATTGCAGATATCTTTAGTTGAGTTTTCAGTGAGAGTGGCATCAGAATGACATTGCGCAAACCCATTGCACCATTTTTGCCCAGATCTAATGCAAAAATTCTAAAATTTCCTCATTTTTTATATTTTTTAGACTCACTTGGCGATTTCCGCTTGGCTAATTCCATGCAGATTACTATGTTGAATTGACTGCAATGGAATTTGCAGTACGAGCAGTATGCGAAAAGTATGCAAAGTCGTTGCACATTTTTTACAGATTAATATACCGTTGTCGCTATTTTGATGTCTAAAAGTTCTACCTTTGCAAATCGTCCCATTTCCTATAAATCCTTTATTACAAGAACAGGTGTATGATCCAATGGTATTGTTGCACGTGGCTTGAGAATGACACATCCGAGTCTCTGAGGCACATTCATCATTGTCTAATGAAATGATTCAAAATCAATGTTTTTTCTTATCTTCTATATCTGTAGGATTCCCTTCGTGACTTCAGATTGGCTAATTGGAGATTATTGAGTTATCTGAAAAACATTGCTCCAACCCATTGCACTCAAAGGCCGTGGAATCATTTAGAAAGTGTGGGTAATTGACAAAAAGGGGTACTTTTTTAATTAGAATTGTATCAAATTTACTCCCATACATCTACCTTTGCAAAATGTCCCATTTCCTGTAAATCCTATATTACAAGAACAGGTGTAGGATCCGATAGTATTGTTGCACGTGGCTTGAGAGTGACACATCCGAGTTTCTGAGGTACATTCATCCTTGTCTAAGGTAAAGATTCAAAACAATCGCTTTTTCTTCAGTATCTATCTCCATTGAACTCAAATGGTCACTTCTCAATGGCTAATTTCAGACCTGAGGCGGATTCAGGCTGATACTGACACGATAACAAAAGTAGTGAAGATCTAGTATACCGGAATGTGGTAAGAAATTTACAAAGCATGCGTGCCATAGCAACACGGACAATGGAACATGTGTCGTCAACCTAAAAGTCCAATTTCGATTATTTCTTTGCCTTACCATCGCATAAAGTTGCATTTTCGGTAAATCCTTTATTACAAGTACATGTGTATGATCCAATGGTATTGTTGCACGTGGCTTGAGAATGACAACTGTGAGTTCCCAACACGCATTCGTCGCTGTCTAATATGAATTTGCGACAGCAGAAATTAATTTAGAAAGGGTGCATATATGCCACGCCACACGGACAAAAAAACCTTTGTCGTCAACGCTTTCTAAAAGTGCAGTTCCGAATATTTCTTTGCCCTACCGTCGCAAACAGTTCCATTTCCAGTAAATCCCTCATTACAGGTACAGGTGTATGATCCAATGGTATTGTTGCACGTGGCTTCAGAATGACATCTGTGAGTTCCCTGCCTGCATTCGTCACCGTCTAATAAGAATATTCGAGAAAAGAAAGACTTATAGAAAGCAAGCTTCTCATAATTAACAATTATATACATTGGGCATATATTGAGTCTGCGTCTTTAAAAAAAATGAAAATGATCATTGGATTTCAGCTGAATTGGTTTACAGCAAGAGTTGCTCTGTAAGAGAAGCTGCATGTTTTAGGAGGAATAAAGCATCTGAAGCAGAGAGGCGCCTGCGTTAAATAACCTGGAGCTGTACTGTTATTTTGGTTACTGAACTTAGCGAGCCAACCGTGCCATACTAAAAAGATTTTCAGAGATTTTCAAAAGACTGTGAAATGAAGAACTCTGTTGCGTCTATGGTCTTTATATTCATTGGACTCACTTCATGAATTCTGACTAGCTAATTAATGGCATGATGAGTACTAAGATATCTTTAGTTGAGTTTTTAGTATGAGCGGTATGAGAATAACATTGCGCCAACCCATTGCACCATTTTTGCGCAGATTAATATACTTTATTGCTACTAGAAATCTTTAACAGGTAAAAACAGGTTAATGATCCAAGAGTATTGTTGCATATGGCTTGAGAATGACACATTTGAGTTTGTGACATATATTCATCTTTGTCTAATATAAAAATTCAAAGATTTCCTCATTTCCTATATCTTTTAGACTCACTTGGCGATTTCGGCTACGCTAAATGCGTGCAGATTACTGTGTTAAATTGTCTGTAATTGAATTTGAAGTAAGAGCAGTATGAGAAAAGTATGCAAAGTCATTGCACATTTTTTACAGATTAATATACCGTTGTCGCTATTAAGTCTAAAAGTTCTACCTTTGCAAATCGTGCCATCTCCTATAAATCCTTTATTACAGGAACAGGTGTATGATCCAATGGTATTGTTGCACGTGGCTTGAGAATGACACAACCGAGTCTCTGACGTACATTCATCTTTGTCTAATGAAATGATTCAAAATCAATGTCTTTTGTTATCTTCTATATCTATAGGACTCCCTTCATGAATTCAGATTAGCTAATTGCAGATTATTGAGTTATCTGAAAATCATTGCTCGAACCCATTGCACTCAAGGGCTGTGGAACAATTTAGAAAGTGGGGGATGGGGTAAATGACAAAAATGGGCACTTTTTTAATTAGAACTGTATCTTACGATGGTACCTTTGCAAAATGTCCCATTTCCTGTAAATCCTTTATTACAAGAACAGATGTATGATCCAATAGTATTGTTGCACGTAGCTTGAAAGTGACACATCCTAGTTTTTGACGTACATTCATCCTCGTCTAATTTAAAAATCAAAATAATTTTTATCCCAACTCTCTTAGGACTCAACTGGTCATTTCAAAATTGCTAATGAATGCGCAAACTAAATTTCTATCTGTAATTCATATGGCAGTATAAGAAAACTGAGCAAACCCATTGCACCATTTTTGCTCAGTTTAATATATTTTTGTTGCTATTGGAAATCTTTAACAAGTCAAAACAGGTGTATGATCCAAATGTATTGTTGCATATGGCTTGAGAATGACACATTTGAGTTTGTGACATATATTCATCTTTGTCTAATATAAAAATTCAAAGATTTCTTCATTTTCTATATCTTTTCAACTCACTTGGCGATTTCGGCTACGCTAAATGCGTGCAGATTACTGTGTTAAATTGTCTGTAATCGAATTTGCAGTAAGAACAGTATGAGAAAAGTATGCAAAGTCACTGCACATTTTTTACAGATTAATATACCGTTGTCGATATTAAAAATCTAAAACCTTTACCTTTGCAAATCGTCCCATTTCCTATAAATCCTTTATTACAAGAACAGGTGTATGATCCAATGGTATTGTTGCACGTAGCTTGAGAATGACACAACCCAGTCTCTGACGTACATTCATCTTTGTCTAATGAAATGATTCAAAATCAATCTCTTTTCTTATCTTCTATATCTATAGGACTCCCTTCATGAATTCAGATTAGCTAATTGCAGAATATTCAGTTATCTGAAAAACATTGCTCGAAGTCGAACCCATTGCACTCAATGGACGTAGAACAATTTAGAAAGTGGGGGGGGGGGGTAAATGACAAAAATGGGCACTTTTTTAATTAGAACTGTATCTTACGATGGTACGATGGTACCTTTGCAAAAGGTCCCATTTCCTGTAAATCCATTATTACAAGAACAGGTGTATGATCCAATGGTATTGTTGCACGTGGCTTGAGAATGACACAATGGACTCTCTGACGTACATTCATCTTTGTCTAATAAAATGATTCAAAATCAATGTCTTTTCTTATTTTCTATATCTATAGGACTCCCTTCATGAATTCAGATTAGCTAATTGCAGATTATTGAGTTATCTAAAAAACATTGCTCGAACCCATTGCACTCAAGGGCTGTGGAACAATTTAGAAAGGGGGGGGGGGGTAAATGAAAAAAATGGGCACTTTTTTAATTAGAACTGTATCTTACGACGGTACCTTTGCAAAATGTCCCATTTCCTGTAAATCCTTTATTACAAGAACAGGTGTATGATGCAATAGTATTGTTGCACGTGGCTTGAGAATGACACAACCCAGTCTCTGACGTACATTCGTCTTTGTCTAATGAAATGATTCAAAATCAATCTCTTTTCTTATCTTCTATATCTATAGGACTCCCTTCATGAATTCAGATTAGCTAATTGCAGTTTATTGAGTTATCTAAAAAACATTGCTCGAACCCATTGCACTCAAGGAGCGTGGAACCTTTTAGAAAGTAGGGAGGTAAAGACAAAAAGGGCATTTTTTTAATTTGAACAGTGTTACATTTACCCCCATACATCTGCGGAAACCCTGAAATTCACTGAATTACTTTACGTAATTATTAGTTACAACTGCAATGCAACGTTTTGCAACATAAAAATCTCTGCCGAGTCTGAGATCATGTACTACAATAACGCACATTTAATGACTCAAAGAAGGGCATGTTCGCTTCAAAAAAGGGGTACATTTTGCTATTTCAAAAAAGTGCGGGGGCACCGTATCCTTTTAAGAATCTTCAGACGGTACCTTTGCAAAATGTCACATTTCCTCTAAATCCTTTATTACAAGAACAAGTGTAAGATCCGATAGTATTGTTGCACGTGGCTTCAGAGTGACACATTCGAGTTTCTGAGGTACATTCATCCTTATCTAATGTAAAAATTCAAAATAATTGCTCTCTCTTCATCATCTATCTCCATTGAAGTCAAATGGTCATGCATTTATGAATGGCTAATTTCACGCAGAACAGAGGGGGATTCGATCAGGCTCACAGCTGATACTGACATGATAAAAAAAGAAGTGAAGGTCGAGTATACCGGAATGTGGTGAATGTAATGTGAATATCCGAGAGTAGAAATAAATTTACAAAGCATGCATGCAATGTCATAGCAACACAGACAATGGAACCTGTGTCGTCAATCTAAAAGTGCAATTTCGACTGTTTCTTTGCCTTACCTTCGCAAACAGTTCCATTTCCAGTAAATCCCTCATTACAAGTACAGGTGTATGATCCAATGGTATTGTTGCACGTGGCTTGAGAATGACATCTGTGAGTTCTCAGCCTGCATTCGTCACCATCTAATAAGAATATTCGAGAAAAGAAAGACTTATAGAAAGCAAGCTTGTCATAATTAACAATTATTATATTGAGTCTGCGTCTTTAAAAAAAGATATCATTGGATTTCAGCTGAATTGGTTTACAGCAAGAGTTGCTCTGTAAGAGAAGCTGCATGTTTTAGGAGGAATAAGGCATCTGAAGCAGAGAGGCGCCTGCGTTAAATAACCTGGAGCTGCACCGTTATTTTGATGACTGAACTTAGTGAGCCAACCGTGCCATACTAAAAAGATTTTCAGAGATTTTCAAAAGACTGTGAAATAAAGAATTCTATTGCGTCTATGGTTATATTCATTGGACTCACTTCATGAATTCTGACTGGCTAATTAATGGCATGATGAGTACTAAGATATCTTTAGTTGAGTTTTCAGTATGAGCGGTATGAGAATAACATTGCGCCAACCCATTGCACCATTTTTGCGCAGATTAATATATTTTTGTTGCTACTAGAAATCTTTAAACGGTAAAAACAGGTGTATGATCCAATAGTATTGTTGCACATGGCTTGAGAGTGACACATTCGAGTTTGTGACATACATTCATCTTTGTCTGATGCAAAAATTCGAAGATTGCCTCGTTTTCTATGTCTTTTAGACTCACTCGGCGATTTTGGCTACGCTAAATGCGTGCAGATTACTGTGTTAAATTGTTTGTAATTGAATTTAAAGTACGAGCAGTACGAGAAAAGTATAAAAAGTCGTTGCACATTTTTTTACAGATTAAGATACCGTTGTCGCTATTAAGTCTGAAAGTTTCACCTTTGCAAATCGTCCCATTTCCCATAAATCCTTTATTACAAGTACACGAATATGATCCAATGGTATTGTTGCACGTGGCTTGAGAATGACACATCCGAGTCTCTGACGTACATTCATCTTTGTCTAATGAAATTGATCAAAATCAATGTCTTTTCTTATCTTCTATAACTATAGGACTCCCTTCATGAATTCAGATTAGCTAATTGCAGATTATTGAGATGTCTGAAAAACATTGCTCTAACCCATTGCACTCAAGGGCAGTGGAACCATTTAGAATGGGCGGGGGTAACTGACAAAAAGGGGTGCTTTCTTTATTAGAACTGTAGCACATTTACCCCCATACATTTGCGAAGACCGTAAAATTCACTGAATTACTTTACTTAATTATTAATTACAACTGCAATGCAACGTTTTGCTACATAAAAATATCTACCGAATCTGAGATCATGTACTACAATAACGCACATTTAATGACTCAAAGAAGGGCACGTTTGCCTGAAAAAATGCTACATTTTGCTATTTTCATAAAAGTGCGGGGGCACCGTACCCTTTTAAGAATCTTCAAACGGTACCTTTGCAAAACGTCCCATTTCCTGTAAATCCTTCATTACAAGAACAGATGTATGATCCAATAGTATTGTTGCACGTGGCTTGAGAGTGACACATCCTAATTTTTGACGTACATTCGTCCTCGTCTAATACGAAAAATCAAAATATTTTTATCCCAACGCTTCCTAGTCACTTCTAAATGGCTATATTGAATGCAGACTAAATTTGTATTTATAACTCAGATAGCAGCATGGCAGTATAAGAAAACTGCAATATTTTCTCCTATTGAAAATCTTCAAGCTCTACCTTTACAAAAGGACCCATTTCCTGTGAAGCCTTTATTGCATAAACAGGTGTATGATCCAATAGTGTTTTTGCATATGGCTTGAGAGTGGCACATCTGAGTTCCTGACGTACATTCATCCTTGTCTAATGTAAAAATTCAAAATAATTGCTTTTTCGTCATCATCTATCTCCATTGAACTAAAAATTAATGGTAACTTCTGAATGGTTAATTGCACCCAGACCAGAGGCTGATACTGACACGATAAATAAGTCGTGAAGGTCGAGTATATCCGATTGTGGTATATTCGACCTTGGTAAGGCCAAATATACCGGAATTCCAATTATGCATAGTATCTTCGATCTTGGTAAGGTCGAATATACCGGACTCTGGTATCTTCGATCTTGGTGAGGTTGATATTGAATATACCAGAATATGGTATCTTCAGTCATATTAAGGTCGAATCACAGAATACCTAACAGAAGTAGAACTCTATACTATTTTTTCGTAAGTGTGATTCGTCATGATTCGTCACTTAGCAAGTGCATTTTTTTGAGGTAGTCACCCCCCTGTCAATGCAAAAAATGCCTTCATTTTAAACATTGGCAGGGGGTGACTGCCTAAAAAAATGCACTTGCTAAGTGACGAATCATGACGAATCACACTTACGAAAAAAGTACAGGAGTTCTACTTCTGTTAGGTATTCTGTGGTCGAATATACCAGACTATGGTATGTTCGATCTTTGTAAGATTGAATATACTGGAATATGGTGTATTAGATCTTGATAAGGTTGAATACACCGGACTATGGTATCTTTGAACTTGTTAAGGTCGAATATGCCGACCATGGTATATTCGACCTTGGTAAGGATACTGGATCCTTCTCTGATGCAGACTGCTTAATTTTCTATAATTAGATTTGCAGTACGAGTATTTTCAGTATTTGCAGCATGAGAAAATCATTGCGGAAAGCCATTGCGTTATATCCGCAGAGATTGATAAATCTGTGCTGCAATTTGAAATCTTCAAACGCTACCTTGGCAAAACGTCCCATTTCCTGTAAATCCTTTATTACAGGAACAGGTGTATGATCCAATAGTATTGTTGCACGTGGCTTGAGAATGACACGTCCCAGTTTTTGACGTGCATTCATCCTCATCTAATATGAAAAATCAAAATATTTTTTATCCCAACGCTTCCTAGGACTCAACTAGTCGCTTCTAAATTGCTATAATGAATGCAGACTAAATTTTTATCTGTAATTGAGATGGCAGCATGGCAGTAAAAGAAAATTGCACAAACCCATAGCACTATATTCGCGCAGATAAGTAGATAAATCTTTTCTCCTATATATTGAAAATCTTCAAACTCTACCTTTACAAAAGGACCCATTTCCTGTGAAACCTTTATTGCATAAACAGGTGTATGATCCAATAGCGTTTTTGCATACGGCTTGAGAGTGGCACATCCGAGTTCCTGACGTACATTCATCCTTGTCTAATGTAAAAATTCAAAATGAATATGCTTTCTCATCTATAACCATTGGGTTCTATTCGAGATTTCTGATTTCATACAGATCACTGTGTTATCGGTAGCTGATTTTGCAATATAAGCAGTATAAGACGAGCTTAGCCTAATAAACCGATTGCACTATTTTGGCACCGAGTAAATTATCTTTGTTGCTATTGGAAATGAGCGAACTCCACCTTTATAAAGTTCATTTTCTTTTAAATCCTTTAATGCAAGTACAGGTTCAGGTATGTTCGAAGTTGAGTTTTCAGTATGAGAAAAATAATCAAACATGCAAAAAAATATATATATATAGTATATAGTTACATCGTAGCAAATATTGCCTGCGCAGTTATCCCAACGAGGCCACTGTACCTTCACATTGGGTTCCATTCCATGCATATCCTTTATTGCAAATGCAAGTGTATGATCCAATGTTATTCAAGCATGCAGCATGAGAATGGCATTTGTGAGTCCCCAAGGTACATTCATCTGTGTCTAATAGAGATTAAAAGAACATTCTGCATTGATACGAGTGCTCAAATGAACACACCATTAAAAATTTACAATAACGGAAATTGGAATCACTAGACGAATAAAGCAATTAGTGGACTCATATGACCGCGCATGGTGAAATATCTTACTCTTGGTAAATAGATTGTACGTAGGTACTGTAAATAAGGCTATGCGATATCACCAGAGGTTCATTTTTGTGGACATTTAAAAAGGCCACGTTGGCTCTTCTAAAAAAAGTACATTCATCACGAGGACATATGACTTGGAGTAGTTCCAATAATTAAAGTCGCTACAATGTTTTGGAAAATTTGAACATTCTTCATTCGGTATGTGTTGCTCAGACACTGTATACTCTACCTTTGCAAACCTTTCCATCTCCTGTGAATCCTTCATTACAAACACAAGTATATGATTCAATGGTATTCATACACATAGCATGAGCATCGCATTTGTTTTTTCGAAACGTACATTCGTCCGTATCTATAATATCATTGGTTCCAAAAGAAAATTAGGAAATTAAACATTGTATCATCCATCCCTAATTGGATCTTTGGTGAATCCCACCTTATATTTTAGTTTTCTTATCGATATTGTATTCCTTTTTTGAAGAGTACTGACCGTTTCATGCATGGTGCATAAATATAACTATTATCAACATTCAACCCCCCAAAAGAATTTAGTTCAAATATGATAGTGTACAACCTGTAGAAGATATTTCTACAATTTGTAGAAACGTTTTTATACGTTTTTATACAACCGGCCCGTGGTTGCACAATATCATTTATCTATATTAATTTTCTACAAAGTAATTATTATTTGACGTACACAATTCGCAGATTGATGACCTCTCTTGTTCACACGTTTCGTCATTCCAAAATCCGTTCTTTTTCATTTCAACACATTCTTCGTTTCCTGTTGTATTATCCGGCTCTCCTGCGTCCCAATTGTAATATATCGACGTCTTTCCATAGGCATAACACCATGAGCCATCACTGACAGCCGTACATAATTTCAATCCAATCCACAGGCTGATATTCCCCTTGCTGTATGTTTCAAAGATAAATTTGTTGAGGGCAGGTGAATGAACCCTGGCAAGCCGACCATCCATGCTCTGACAAAACTTATTTGATTTTGGCCAAGTGTTATTTTCGATGTTCATCATGTAGCAAACATTTCCATAGTTTTTCCACGGAAAAGAACATTCTGTTGAAAACAAAATAAGGGAATAAAAAGTTTTTCAAACATCATAACAAAAAAGTTAAAGTATACCACTTCAAATGAAAGTATACGAACTTCTCAAGCTTCACACGATCTTAGACATTTTGTCTTATGAAAGTGGCCGGCTATATCACCTGGGCAACAGAAGGGAAACGAAAGAGAGGAAGATCAAAAACAACACAACCCCGGACTGTCAAGAATGCCCCAGTGGCGTAATCATTGACTTATTAATGATGACTTAAAACATGACCAGAAGTTATACAGGGTGTATCAAAAAAAAGGAGACCTTTAGAAATCAAGCTATTGTTAAAATTTGAATGCTTTTTCAATTGCATTTGCACATATGCTAAACCATAGTGCGTGAAATATTGATGGCATGCATGCATACATTAGAAAAAGGAGACCTTTAGAAAATGAATTGACGTTTGTACACAAGATTGTCTGCTCCTGGGAATTTGAAAATAACTTTAATAGCATAAGGAAAAATAACGACCCAAAAATATTCAAATGACTAAGCACAAACGACTAAGCACAAAAGCGATAACAGTATGCGTGGTAAATTGCTTTAGCTGTTCCTTCAAAACATGAACAAATCATTTGTTCATTAATTTTTAACACTTCGTGCGAGCATTAGGGCTGTTCACATGAGTTAGAATTGACTTTGAATCCGGAATGGCTCAGCATCCCATTTTACAAACTCTGCCTATTAAATCTTTACATGAGTCAGGAATGAATTACAACTGATCTGACACAGATTCATTTAACATTTCGATCCGGATTGAAAATTGCTGATAAATTGAACATCAAAAGAACTGAATGTCATGGACCATGACCTCCAACGTGGCCTCCATTTCTCTCAACACAAACTACCGTACGCTTGTGCATATCGCGAACTGCTTTTCTGATGACGGCAGGCTGGGTATAAGTTACGACTACAAAAACTCTTTGCTCCGAAGTCAGTTGAACCATTTTTGTTCTGGTAGTGTGCTTAGTCATTTGAATATTTTTGGGTCATTATTTTCCTTATGCTGTTAAAGTTATTTTCAAATTCCCAGGAGCAGACAATCTTGTGTACAAATGTCAATTCATTTTCTAATGTATGCATGCATGCCATCAATATTTCACGCACTACGGTTCAGCATATGTGCAAATGCAATTGAAAAGGCATTCAAATTTTAACAATAGCTTGATTTCTAAAGGTCTCCTTTTTTTTGATACACCCTGTATACAACATGGCATGAGACATAAATGCATTTTTATTTAGACTTGTTCACATGACTTACTTGTCCATCTGTCGTTGAAAATGTCTCACTAAATTTGTATAATGTTTTCAAAACTAGTCTCAGTCGATAAAAGGGTCCCAAGCAATAACCAGGAAGGAAGATTTTGAATTGGCAAACTGCATGGTTCCAAATGTTATTGTATTCCAATTATTATTATAAACTGAATATGACAACAAACAGAGATATCTGCAATTGACTGCAAAATTTATTGACATTTTGCGAGCTGCATGACAAGTTTAGGTCCTTATAATATCGTCACATTACAACCGTTTTCTTGTTCACCATTTTTGTTTGTTAGAACACATGATCAACCCGTTTTGTATTAATCAACACTCGCCTGTTCTGTAATTTAAACCGGTTTTAAACGACAGAAAAATATTTTTCTCTCAGCCTGCTTAAAGGCGGATTTCCACTTACAGCGAAATCGTTCGCCAGCGAAATATTTGCATATTTTCTTTTGAATTGAGAACAGTCAAGTCGAACTAATTTATTTATGCCGTTAAAATTCAAAAGAAAATATGCAAATATTTCGCTGGCGAACGATTTCGCTGTAAGTGGAAATCCGCCTTAAGACATATTCCTTGTTATGCTAATATCTTGGTGTTTATTCCCTGGGAAAACAATCAATTTCTAAGGGCCTAATTACCACGGGCGCTTTTTCTCGGCGAATTGCGAAATATTTCGCCTGTTCTTTTGAATTTCGACCACTTGAATAATTTAATTCTGCTTCATTGCTTACAATTCAAAAGAAGCAGGTGAAATATTTCGAATTTCGCTCGAAAATTTAGCCCGTGGAATTAGGGCTTAAGGCCTAGATTATTCGTCGCATTTTGGTCGCGTAGACATAATGAGAATTGAATTGCATTCCACATGACGAAAATACGACGTTTAACCTAGGTCTTTAAATGTCGCATTTTGATTGCTTCGATTCAAATGATGTTAATGAGGTTTACCATCTTACTATCTATTTTTTGAATAGCATCCGACGCGAACAAAACACGACGTTCAACCATGGTATAAAGAAATGATTAATTGACATAAATACAGGGTGTCCCAAAAAAAGTCCCCGCTATTGAAATGAAGCTTTTGTTGGAATTTGAATGCATCATCAACGCAGTAGTGTGTAAATAGCATATTTATTAGGTTGAGGCATTCAAATAAAGCGTCTTGCTTTCAATTGGGTTTATCATAATATTAAGGCAATCAGATTCGAACAAAGGCTTGATTTCAATAGAGGGGACATTTTTTTGGGACACCCTGTACAGGGTGTCTCAAAAAAGCGAAAACTATTGAAATCACTCATTGTTAAAATTTGAATGCCGTGTGCACGAATTTTAGCCCGTGGGGATTTAATGCAACTCAGTAAAATGCTAAATGCTTTGTGTTGCTAGAGAAAGGGGACATGTCGAAGGTCATGGTGATTGAGATGCACATTTAAATATTGTTAAATATGCGGAGGGCCGTCAATATACGCTTAATTGGGGGGTGCATTATGGGGTCGGGGGGGTTGCATGTTTATTTATTCGCCTTAGGTCCTACTTTTATTAGCTATTACTTTTACGCCTATTTGCCATCAATGAATATATAAAATATACGCTACGAAAAGAAATATTATATTAAACACTTTATTTCTTATGATGGGAGTATCATGAAATAAATTATATTCTGGCAAATCCATTTTCCTTAAGTTAAATTTGGCAGTAATCTGTCTATTTCACAAACCACTAGAAACATATATACACGCTAACTGTAATCAATGATATATTTATTGATATGATGGTTGCAAAGCCTGATATATTGTCGAGCAGAGAACAAAAGAGACACACCACCTGCTGGGAAGATGATAACGTGTCGTTCATTTCAAGTTTGCTATATCAAGCTTGCTGTATTCAACGCAAGGATGATGCATATTCACTGTAATTTAACCCCTGTTAAAATGTTCTTTTTTTATCTTTTACTTCCGGGGCAGCTTTTTACGATGTCTTAACCGTTGCCCAATGCATATTCTTGGCAACATATTTGTTTGCAAAGCGGCTAGTTGGTGGTTCAAAGGAGAAAGAAAAATGTATTTATATAATAGTTATACTATATATACATGCCGTGGGTGAATTAAATTTTACTATTGAGATGAAGTGAAATTTGAAGGGAAAAAATCTAATTTTTATCATGACCACCTGCCATGTTATTTGTCTTATACTGACATCAAAATTAGCCATGTCAATGCAAATTTTTCCCCAAAGCATGATAGCTTTAATATGGTATGCCAAATGAAAAAGTTCGGGGACAAAAATACCGTAAAACAACTTAAACTGATGTCATGAACATGCATGCAAATTCGGTATCGATGAGTGCATATCCTCTTTGCAATGAAAAGCTTAAAAAACGGCCACCCGCTACGATATGAGGATGTTGTTTTCTTCATGCAAGTTTGCAAAACTAAGTAGGTTTTTTTGGCAAACAACGCATCTCACTGTTATTTCAAATTAGTAGAATATTTAATCCTAAATGGCATGTAACTTTGCCAATGCTTAATCATTGCCATTAGGAATTGAACCGCTGATGTTCAGTTAGTGAGTAGCTACACGCGTCCCAATATTCATGCACATGGAACAATAATTTAGGTATAACTATTTACTCGCTTGCATCCGAAGATTATACATACGATTAAATCACGATTTTGATGAGCCGTATACAGATATCCTCCCGTGGAATGAGGATATATACGATCCTACTAATTGTTCAATTATTTTGACAATAGTATGCATATGCTTGTTTGATTTCATACTGAAACATTAATTTCAATACCTCAAAGTCATCTCACGCAAGCAAAAACACCTTACTGATATTCTTTTTTTAATAAGCCGACTAAGATCGCATCGTACAACAACTATACGTGTATCAGAAATATTTACCAGTGACAGGGCGGGATCTTAACTTAATTTTATAAGAGGCACTAATATAATTACATTATTACCACATGCTTGCCAACAGGTGCAGTCGTAAACAACTAACAAAATATGCCAAGCGCATGCTTGACGACTGAAGCAATCAATTTGACACTGAATTGCTACAAAATTAGGCCGTTGAGAAAATAAAATGCAAAAAAAAAATTTAAAAACCACGCACGTATTTCTTACCAATTGAAGTCGCACCACTTGAATTACAAGTGTCAAGTGCTGCCTATATAACTCTGCTATAAAACTCTTGCATAAAACTCTTTAGCTACACTTTGCGTAGTTAAATCCTAGTTAGCCACTTATGTGCTTAACCATAGTTAAAATTTAACAAGTCTTTTATACAACGTACTGGTCCAAGGTCAATACCCGTAATATTTTGGGGATTATTACTTAGCGGACGGAACAGAGAATCGAAACTATTCCTCAATTTAAAGGAAAAAGAGATGAAAAGGAGAGGGGGAAGAGAAGAAATATTAAGGTTCTTGAAATTAAAATGGTCAGTTAATTAAACCGGTAACTTGGAATCAACTTCCAGACTCCCGATAATTCCCTTTATCCTCGCATTCCTTAATAAACAGGAGAATACCCTTATAGCCTTCTCCGCAGTCATCTTTAATGTGTTTTAAGTTATAAAATACCCATACAAATATATAATTGATAGCTATGAAAAATTAACTGGGTATTAATTTAGCCATTTTTAGCACAGGTAATTTTTCAGAGATGACCTGTGTTACATTGACTGCCTACCTTTTGCTGTTTCGCTACAAGCGGCATATGTGATCAGAACGAGAATAAACCCGGTGAGTTTTGGTTCCAACATATTCGTAAATGCAATTTCCAATACAATTTCACGAGCTCGAGGTGCACTTAATGTAAGAAATCTTTCGTCTTTTATTACAGTGTCGATTTTGTCTTTAAATTGCTCAAAGGAGCAACCACCTGACTGTTGTGAAGTTTCACTCGTATTTGCATAGCGGCTGGTGTAGCCAAGAAAACACCTGCTCCGAAAGGCAACTACATTTTTAGGCAGCCCAAATTTGTGTGATAATTTGAACACGAGAAAGTTCGGCAACTTTTAAACATAATAATATTAGCACTAGCAATGCATGCGTGTAAAATCCATTTGCTTTTTGAAGCAATTAACATAATCCTGGGCGTAATTCATATACCCAGCCGTAATTAAAAGCTCCAGGCGGAATAAATTTGCTTGATCGCCTGAAGTGCTGACTGAGGGATAATTATATACATAAGCTAGGGAACTCTTTTCATCTTTGCGAAACGTACCCCTTAGGCTGGATTTATATTTGCAAAAATTAATAGTTCGCCAGCGAAATTTTTGCTTATTTAAAATGAAGACAGTCAACCTGAACAGTAATTTATTTATTCTGTCAAAATTCGAAAGAAAATATGCAAATTCTTCGCTAGCGAACTATTTCTCTGCAAGTGGAAACCGACCCTAACACAAAGGCAATTGGCAATTATTTCAATTGAGAACCCCTAAGAACGCTGTCAGTTTGCGGCGGAAAATGTTGTCAAAGAAAAAGGCTGTTTTGCAATAGTCGAGGGTCGAGAAAAATTTGTGGAAACTCGATTTATTACAACGCACGCAACTGGGCACTCAGGCATGCGCAGGCGCAGGAAATTGCTACTTATCATATGTATTATTGCTTGTGTTCATGAGCGCTAGTGGATCCAGAGTAAGCAGAATAAATTGTTACATCTCTAACTTGCAATAATGTTTTTATGTAAAATATAAATTACAACAAAACTACGTTTATAGTTTGATTATAGATTTATTATCGCACCAATTTTTATTTTTCTAGCTTAGCTCCTAGGAAAACTCATTCAAAGCTAAATAAAAGCAATTACATCATTACAGTGTTAAAATTTTATTAACTATCTTTTTCAAAGAAATTCTGCCACTTTCCACATTTGGGTGTGCCTAGTGTTCGAAGACTATAGTAACTACACGTTCATACCACTCCTTTTTTTCATTCAACTTGCCTAGCAATATGAAAACAATAAACCCTAATGCCATCTAAATTGAGAGAAAAAATTTTTGTAGTGTACCCCTTCAGGTATTTTTAATTTGAAATTGAGCCCTGTAAATTATTTTACCACGAATGGCACGAAATATTCGAAGCGATTCGTAGCAGCTGTCGCGATTACAGTGAACCCTAAACCAACAAACATAACTAGTGAACAATCCTTGTTTCCACTTGAATAGAGGCTTCAGGGAAAGTCAAAGTAAATTACACGGCCTTATATCCAGTTTAAAAAGGCTCTATTTCCAATTTGAAATACCTTAATAACAATGCATCCAAATGACATTCAAAACTCGCATGGGTCATTGTTACATGTGTTCAATTCTGCATTGTATGCATCACCGTTGTGTTTCTGTCCTCGGTCTCTATCGAGAAACCTGCTGATATTCCTATTACAATTTAGCCAATTGAATTTTCTCCAGAGTGTTTCCTTTAGTATACTCTCCAATGTATTCATTTCTGTCTTGGGTTAAGTCGCATTGATCCGGCTTCTGTATCGCATATTTTTTCCTCACAGCAAATGGGTTGCTCTTGAAAATTTTCTTCGGAAAAATTGGGCGTGTACTTGTAGAAAGAGTTCCGTTTTCGCCAGCGTTGCTGTAGTCACTAGTGCTTCCTGTAGCAGTATCATCTACAAGAAGATAATTTGATAATTTCAAATTAAAAATCGCCAAAGTTACGATGGTATTTGATTTGAATTTTTAATCTCAAAAGAATATTTCTGCAAATAGATTTATTTCATAGGCTTTTTAAATGGTTGGTGTTTCTAAATGTGAGCTGTCATGAACCAATTTTGACCAACACTAATTCCTGTACTGATTTATGGGTAGGGTAGATATTATTCACAATAAATTATATAATTTGAACAGTTAGCCGGTTATGACGAAAAAGTTATTAACGGTTCACACGTTTGGCATAAAGTATTGCAGTACGTGCCAAAAAAGACGAATACTCGCCTTCGGGAGAACGGCATCAGACATCATCATCTTTTTAACTGGTTCATAAGAACTTTATGTAATATATCGCACACTAATGTTGTTATTGACATTTGACGCATTCATACTTACAAGTGCTGCTCCTTATGAAAGCACAAGTTGTGTGAGGAAGTCTAGCTGCCTTCTTTTTCTTTCTAATTGCTTCGTGAACCTTAAGGCAATGATAATATTCGTTTACATATTTTTAGCAATGTACCAATGTAGCAATCCCAGCCTTCGGTGGTATGGTTTTCTCATGCGTCGCGTGGGTTTTGCGTGGGAGATATCATTGGCTAATTTGTAAATAAAGTCGGTTTTCCACTGGCGTAATATCGCTTAAGGAAATAGTTTAGCCGTAACGGCGAAAATATATATTTTGTTAATAGACCATTTCTTTATTAAAATAATTTCTTGGTTATCAGCTAATGATATAAAGTCACTATAGGCTATTACTGGAAATTACTTTAAAAGTAGGAAAAGAATATACAAGGATTTACACATACCCTGCTGTTAAGTAACACATGAAAAACAAATATCACGAATCCTTGCAGAGAGTTGAATATTGCGAATAAATATTTAAATGCAATTGTATCTCGATTGAAAACCAGTAAACCAAAAACCCACGTGAGTCCAAGCAGAGGTAGCAGTATTGCTGAACCTTTTAGACCAACTTTTACTCTTTTCAGCTTGCTAACAGCTTCTGTATTTGTGGTGCCTATTTCGCTGGATGCTAAGGCATTTCGTAAGGCCAGAATAAAAATAACCAAGTTGATCTGAATAACAAATATGGTTGACACTGTCAAACTCTGCAGGTGGTTGATAGGAAACATGTTTGTGTCTCTAGTTTCAATTATGCTTTTCATGTGATAACTTAAAGGGAATCCTACCGATAAAATTAGTACTATGGTAGAAACAAAAGTCCAGAACAGTGCACCACCACCACGACACCAACATGCATGTTTGGTTCTGAAATCCTCGCGATCAGTTGTACCAAGTAGAACCGACATCACAATAATTGGGAGACCTGGACAAGAAATCAACAACTTTGAGGCGAAAAAAAACAAAGAGTGTTTATCATTGCATTATTTCAGATTTTCAACAAAAAATCAGCGTGTTTTATCAGGTATTTTAATTCCAAGCCACCCCGTGTGTGAAATTGTCAAATTAAATGCTATTCTTACCCCAACCAATTGCATAAAATGCTTTCATATGTTTTCCTCCCATACCCAAACCTGTGAAGACATTCACGAGTTGGAAGTACATGACAATCCCTTCACATAGCATCCATCCAAAAAGGGAGAGTACGAAGAAATATAACAATATAGAAACGGCCATACAAAAGTGCTGGAGAGAGGAAAGGGGACCATTAGTGGACTGAAGATTATTATAGATATTTGAACAGCAAAAAAAACGATAAAAAATTACTAATTGTTGTGAAAATATATAGGTAAATTCATGCGTATTTAGCTTTACTTCATAATCATGTGCTGGTTCAGCCATGATAGCCAGGATGTCTGTTATTCCGATCACAACACAGAGATTCATAAGCACTTGGGAAGGTACTTTACTTCTAACATTTCTGTGTATGACTTTCCACATGAATGCATAAGAGAGTATGGTCACAGTCACTCCAAAAAGGGACAAAGAACAGCCAATCGTGGATATTAGTTCCAAAGCTCTCTTCTCGCTACCGCTTATCTTAAAGAAATACGGCAAAACCATACTATAAATCTCAAACCATGCATGACTGGAAAATACTGGAACAATCAAGCGAATTAAAGTTTATTAATTTTTACCATTTTTCTCGAAATATCCATGGACGCGAATGCGGTGAGATGGTAACATTCACATGCCAAGCTTTTACTGTCTGGAAGTCTTTTACATCCGTTACTCTTCCACCTGTTTTCACTCAATTCTGGCTTCCAGTACACACAGGTTTCAGATTGGTTCTAAAAAGTAAAATCATGCACAAATTGTTTTGAATGCTTCGGCAATTAAGAACAGCATGTTTCTAAAATTTTTGGGTGCCACCTTAATATAATATAAAATATGTAGATATTCATGTGTAGAGTTTTGTTTAAAACCACCTGCGCATGCCCAGGCTCTAATTTACCCACAATTGTTTGCAGGTAACTGAAAATAGTAATACCATTATATTGCTGTTTTTCCCTAGCAATACAAAGAATTCGCCATGTTTTATTTGAAAAAAGAAATTAAGAGGCATTCATTACCACTTCATCTTTATCCCAGCTGATACGAACAGGCTTCTCAAAAGGCATCTTTGGCTCAGGTCGCACATTTACACTGATAATTTCGCTTTTTAGTTCTTCCTGGATATCACCATAAAAGCTTTTGGTTAAGAAAGAGTGCAGCGTCTTATACCACAGGACAGCAACGACAGTATCCGTTTCATTGGATAATGCATCATTCGAAAGTTTGAACGATGCTTTTGAAAAATTAAAAATTCTCTCCTTTCTTGATAATTTTCCAGCTGGCTTTATGTACAAGACGCGTAGTTGTATGTTGGAATGGTTTTGGAAGACGGATGAATTGGTTGTGCTATTTCTCAGGCTATTTGCATGTTGTAATCCGTATTTTTCCAAGGTTATTGCCAAATCACGTATAACTCCCCCGTCCTAGGTATAAAGAAAGCAGTTCACGTTACGAAAATGGGCAAGGGGGAACTGGAAATACCGTTTGTTTAAGATTGCACTGACACTAATTGCAGGAAGTAGCTGGAATATGCATGCGAAACAATCAGAAGAGGCTTATCGAGCCTTAAATCGCAAAAACTTCTTTTGACATTTCTTGTGAATGCTGGAACATACTATATGGCCACCTTATTTTTCAAATGTTGAAATACAGATGAGACATTTACTACAAACAGCAGTTTTTGAAAGAATTGATCCCAACATAACATCTGAACTCTGTACTAACAAGAAGAAGAATGAGTGACTTTATTATTGATATCTAATATTTAGGTCTCTCACCGTTGTGGTTTCCCAGGTTTCTGTATATCTACGATCCAATATATTGCTTGCCGGGCGCAATAAATCAAGACTGCTATCAGAAATATTTAAATCAACGATCTTTTGAAGTATTCTTACAGTATCAGTGAGTATCGTAGCACTTTTGTTTTCCGTTACATTTCCTTTGATATCGTTTATGTCTGGATCTGTCAGGTAGGAAAGGTCGTTTATGATCTTTTCTGCTGCTTGTTTCCACGTTGACCTGTTTTTATTATTGAGTTGTTCAGCCTGAGATAAAAATAATGCATAGTAATTAAGTAAATGATATCCATTACTGTACATTTTAAATTTTAAATGGATTTAGTAGACCCACTTGTAATAATTACCAAGGAACAGCGCAGTGGGTCTTCTTCGTAACAAATGTTGTATAACAATTGAGGGCCTTCATCAGAAGAGTTGATGTGACTCACCGTGAGCAAGTTAGAGAATTATATCATTATACTAATGACTTAGCAATAGAGAAAATTTTATCTATCATTTAACGATGTAAAGAAAAAAAATATTATCTTGCCTGATTGTTCAGCTCAGCAATCGTTAAACCAGATTCTTTAAAAAGAGGAAAATTTAGGAGTAAAATAAGAAAACAGAACTGTTTTGAATTATTAGAAAAGAAAAAGGGAATGAAAATTAGACTAGACTAAGAGTACTAGACTAAGATACTAAGGCCAACACAGACCGAACGCGATTTGCCAAGGCAGTGCGATTTTTCAATTTTTTTATTTTCCAAAAGCAAATAAACTTTAAACTATCAGTATATTCTTCGTAGATTACTTAACGATGATACATTTTGACCACCCTGGCGTCCATAGACTCCAAATTTTGCTTCCAAAAATTAATTTATATGCTTCTGAAAACTGAACATTTGCATCGCATCCGGTCTGTGTCGACCGACCTTAACGCTGGTTTTCCACTTGCGGAGAAATGGTTCGCTAGCGAAATATTTGCATTTCCTTGGAAATGAGAGCCCTCAAGCTTAACTAATTTACTTATTCTGTCGAAATTCAAAATTCAAATTATGCAAATATTTCGCTTCTTAACTCTTTCTCTGCAAGGGAAAATTCGCCCTCAGGCTAACATGCTCCATTGGACAATGCCCTCTGTTGAGCATGTATCAAATAATTTGATCTCTTCACACAAGTCCAATGCAAGCAAACCTTAACAAATGCCACTGTCGAGGCAACGCAAGCTCAACCAATAGACTTACCAATACAAATAGTACTATTTCCAGAACAACCTTTTTGGTAAATAGATTGTACGTATGTACTGTAAATAAGGCTATCATTTTTGTGAACATTTAAAAGGGCTACGTTAGCCCTTCTAAAAAAAGTGCATTCACCACGAGGACATATGACTTGCAATAGTTCTAATAATGAAAGTCGCTACAATGTTTTGGAAAATTTCAACATTCTTCATTCGTTATGTATTGCTCGGACACTGTACTCTACCTTTGCAAACCTTTCCATCTCCAGTGAATCCTTTATTACACACACAAGTATATGATTCAATGGTATTCATACACATAGCATGAGCATCGCATTTGTTTTTTCGAAACGTACATTCGTCTGTATCTAATATCATTGGTTCAAAAAGAAAATTAGGAAATTAAACATTGTATCATCCTTCCCTAATTGGATCTTCGGTGAATACGACTTCATATTTTCGTTTTCTGATCGATATTCTATTCTTATTTGAGGAGTACTGACCGTTTCATTCATTTTGCACAAATATAACTATTATCAATATTCCACCCCCAAAAGAATCTTAGTTCAAATATGATATTGTAAAATCTGTAGATTATATTTCAACAATTTTTAGAAATATATTCTAAGGATTGTACAATATATATTTTTATATCAATTTTCTACAAAATAATTATTTGACGTACATAATTCGCAGATTGATGACCTCTCTTGTTCACACGTTTCGTCATTCCAAAATCCGTTCTTTTTCATTTCAACACATTCTTCGTTTCCTGTTGTATTATCCGGTTCTCCTCCGTCCCAATTGTAATATATCGACGTCTTTCCATAGGCATAACACCATGAGCCATCACTGACAGCCGTACATAATTTCAATCCAATCCACAAACTGATATTCCCCTTGCTGTATGTTTCAAAAATAAATTTGTTGAGGGCAGGTGAATGAATTCTGGCAAGCTGACCACCCATGCTCTGACAAAACTTATTTGATTTTGGCCAAGTGTTACTTTCAACGTTCATCATGTAGCAAACATTTCCATAGTTTTTCCACGGAAAAGAACATTCTGTTGTAAAAAAATAAGGGAATAAAACGTTTTTCAATATAGTCATGACAAAGAAGTTAAAGTATGTATACCACTTCAAATGAAAGTATACAACATCACAAGCTACACACGACCTTAGACATTTCGTCTTATGAACATGGCCGGCTATGACGAGCAGTGCAACAGAAGGGAAACGAAAGAGAGGGAGATCAAAAACAACATGGCGCCGAACTGCCTAGAATGTCCTATAGTGGCGTAGTAACTAACTAATGGAACAAAAATGAGGGTGATCATGCATAAACAACACAGCGCCGGGAGCGCCGGACTGTTGAGAATGCCCCAGTGTCGTAGTCATTGACTTATTAATGTGACATGAGCAGAAGTTATATACAACCTCTCATGAGACATAAATGCATTTTGCAGTCCACATGACTTATTTGTCGATCTGTCGTTTAGAATGTCTCACCAAATTTATATAATGTTTTAAACAACTAGTCTCGGTCTATAAAAGAGTCCTCAAGCAATAACTAGGAAGGAAGATTTTGAATTGGCAAACCGGCTCCAAATGTTATTGTATTCCAATTATTATTATAAACTGGGGGGGTGCATATTCATATACTCGTCTTATGTCCTAGCAACTTTTGATAGCTATTGCTTTTACGCTTATTTGCACATGAATATATAAAATATACGCTACGAAAAGAAATATTATAGGTAACACTTTATTTCTTATGATGCATGCATGGGACTTATGAAACAAATTATATATATATATATCTTGGCAAGTCCATTTTCCTTAAGTTAAATTTGGCAGCCAACTGCATGTAATTAATGATATATTTATTGAGTATGCCGGTTGCAAAGCCTGATTGTCGAGCAGAGAACAAAAGAGACACACCACCTGCTACGAAAATGATAACATGTCGTTCATTTCAAGTTTGCTATATGCATAATTCAGCCTTGCCTGTACTGTATAAAATTGAGGTTTCACCGCAAGCAACATGCATATTCACTGTAATTTAACCACTGTTAAAATGTTCTATTTTTATTTTTACATGCCTAATTTATTTTTTAACCTGCCATGTTATTTGTCTCATACTGACATCAAAATTATACCCTTCTGTAAGCAAATTTTTGCCCAAAAGCGTGATACCTTTAACATGGTATGCCGAATGAAAAAGTTTCGGGAACAAAAATACCGTAAAACAACTTAAACTGATGTCGTGACCATGAATGCAAATTCGGTATCGATGTGTGCATATCCTCTTTGCTAATGCAATGAAGAGTTCAAAAAACGGCCACCCGCTACGATATTATGATGTTGTTTTCTTCATGCAAGTTTGCAAAATTAAGTGGGTTTTTTTGGCAAACAACGCGCATCTCACTGCTATTTCAAACGTGTCAAAAATTTTGTCCTAAATCACATGTGATTTTGCCAATGCTTAATAATCGCCTTTGGAAATTGATCCGCGGATGTTCAGTTAGTACGTACACGCGTCCCAATATTCACGCACATGGAACAATAATTTAGGTATAACTATTTACTCGCTTGCATCCGAAGATTACATACGATTAAATCACGATTTTGATTAACCGTATACAGATATCCTTCCGTGGAATGAGAATATAAACGATCCTACTAATCGTTCAATCATTTCGACAATAGCATGCGTGCTTGTTTGGTTTCATAAACATTTATTTCAATACCTCAAAGTCATCTCACGCAAGCAACAATACGTGTATTAGAAATATTTACCAGTGACAGAGCGGGATCTTAAATTTAATTTTATAAGAGGCACTAATATAATTACATTATTACCACATGCTTGGAAACAGTTGCAATCATAAACAACTAACAAAATATGCCAGCGCATGCTTGACGAAGCAATCAATTTAACACTGAATGGCAACAAAAATAGACTTGCCAAAATGGAATGACAAATAAAATTTTATAAATGTGCTATAAAATGCTATATAAATGTGCTATAAAAATCTTGTATAAAACTCCACTTTAACTACACTTTGCATAGTTAAATCCTATAGTTAAATCAGAAATACACATGCAACTCTGATTGGCCACTTTTGTCCTTATTAACCAAAGTTAAACGTTAACTAGTCTTTTGTACAACTAGATATTATTACCCAGCGGACGGGACGGAGAATCGAAACTATTTCTCGATATAAAGGAAAAGGAGATGAAAAAGAGAGGGGGTTCGAAGAGGCGAAATATTAAGGTTCTTGAAATTAAAATGGTGAGTTAAACCGGTAATTTCCAGACGCCTGATAATTTCCTTTATCCTCGCATTTGTTTATAAATAGGAAAATACCCATAGCCTTCTCCGCAGGGCATCTTTAATGTATTTTAAGTTGTAGAATACCCATACAAACATATAAGTGATATAGAAAAATTAACTGGTATAAATTTAGCCATTTTCATAACACAGGTGATTTTTATTTATATTCATTTATTTGCCTAATAAGCATCGCGTTCATTCATGCAGAGATGACCTATGCATGTCACACTGGTAGCCTACTTTTTGCTGTTTCGCTACAAGCGGCATATGTGATCAGAACGAGAATAAACCCGGTGACTTTTGGTTCCAACATATTCGTAAATTCAATTTCCAATACAATTTCACGAGCTCGAGGTGCACTTAATGTAAGAAACCTTTCGTCTTTTTTACAGTATCGATTATATCTTCAAATTGCTCAAAGGAGCAACCACCTGACTGTTGTGAAGTTTCACTCGTATTTGCATAGCGGCTGGTATAGCCAAGAAAACACCTGCTCCAAAAGCTAACTACATTTTTAGGCAGCCCAAATTTGTGTGATACTTGAACGCGAGAAAGTTCGGCAACTTTGTAAACATAATAATAGTAGCACCAGAAATACATGCGTGTAAAATCTATTTGCTTTTAAAAGCAATTAACATATATTTTGGGCGTAATTCATATACCCAGCCGTAATTAAAAACTCAGGCGGAATCAGTTCGTTCGATCGCCTGAAGCACCTACTGGGGGATAATTATATACATAAGCTCTGCAACTCTTTTCAACTTTACGAAACGTATCCCTTAGCTTGGATTTATATTTGCCGAGAATTATTAGTTCGTCAGCAAAATTTTGCTTATTCTTATTTGAAATGAAGACAGTTGATCAACCTAGCTGAACTATCATTTATTTATTCTGTCAAAATTCGAAAGAAAATATGCAAATTTTTCGCTAGCGAACTATTTCTCTGCAAGTGGAAACCCACCCTAACACAAAGGCAATTGTCAAAATATTTTAATTGAATACCCATAAAAACGCTGTCAGTTTGCCCGCAGAAAATGGTGTCAAAGAAAAACGCTTTTTTTCTAATAATCGAGGGTCGGGGGAATTGGTGGAGAGTTGATAATTATATTACAACAGACTATGCAAGTGCACTCAGGCATGTGCAGGCGCAGTAAATTCCTGCTTATCATATGTATTGCTTGTGTCCGTGAGCAAAAGCGGATCCAGGGTAAGTCAGAATTGCTACATCTCGAACTTGAATCATATTGAAAGATTTTTATGTAAATTTTTTCTTTAAAAAAACGAATAGCCAATAGCGTTGTTATTAAGGAAATATAAATTACAACAAAACTACGATTTATAGTTTGATTATAGATTTATTATCGCACCAATTTTCTAGCTCAACTTCTAGGCAAACACATTCACAGCTAAATAAAAGCACCGTACATCATTGCAGTGTTAAAATTTGGTTAATTATCTTTTTTAAAGAAATCTGCCATTTTCCACATTTGGATGTGCCTTGCATGTGTTTGTAAGTATAGTAACTACACGTTCATACCACTCCTTTTTTTCATTCAACTTGACTAGTAACATAGAGAGAAAAGAATTTTTGTAGTGTACCTCCTTAAGGTATTTTTAATTTGAAATTACTCCGTTTAAGTTATTCTACCACGAAATGTTCGAAGCGATTCGTAGCAGCTGTCGCGATAACAGTGAACCCTAAACGAACAAATATAACTAGAGAACAATCCTTGTTTCCACTTGAGTAGATTACACGGCCTTATATCCAGTTTAAAAAGGCTCTATTTCCAATTTAGAACACCTTAATAACAATGCATCCATATGACATTCAAAACTCGCGGGTCATTGTTACATGTGTTCAATTCTGCATTGTATGCACCGCCGTTGTGTTTCTGTCCTCGGTCTCTATCGAGAAACCTGCTGATATTCCTATTATAATTTAGCTAATTGAATTTTCTCCAGAGGGTTTCCTTTAGTATACTGTCCAATGTATTCATTTCTGTCTTCTGTTAAGCCGCCTTGATCCGGTTTCTGTATCGTATATTTTTTCCTCACAGCAAATGGGTTGCTCTTGAAAATTTTCTTCGGAAAAATTGGGCGTGTACTTGTAGAAAGATTTCCGTTTTCGCCAGCGTTGCTGTAATCACTAGTGCTTCCTGTAGCAGTATCATCTACTAAAAAGGCAGTGTGAATTTTATTTCGATAACTTCAAATTAAAAATCGCCAAAGTTACGATGCTATTTGATTTGAATTTTTAATTCAAAAGAATATCGCTGCCAATAGAATTATTTTACAGGCTTTTTAAATGGTTGGTGTTTCTAAATGCGTCATGAACCCATTTTGACCAACGCTAATTCCTCCACTGATTTATGGGTAGGGTAGGTATCATTGGTGATATAGAACAGTTAGCCAGTTATGACAAAAAAGCTCCTTACGGCTCATACATTGCTTCATGTTTTTTAAACATTTTGGCATAAAATATTGCAGTACGTGCCTTCGTGAGAACGGTATTAAACATTATCAACTGTTTAACTGGTTCATAACAACTTTATATAAATGTTAAATAACCATTGCCTACAACGTTATTTATCGCAGACTGATATTGCTACTAACATTTGATGCATTCATACTTACAAGTACTGCTTTTTATGAAAGCATAAGTTGTGTGAGGAAGTTTAGCTGCCTTCTTTTCCGTTCTAATTGCTTCGTGAACCTTAAGGCAATGATAATATTCGTTTATATATTTTTAGCATTGTAGCAATCCCAGCCTTGGGCGGTGTCAGTGGTTTTCTCACGTGTCGCGTGGGTTTTGCGTGTGGAGACATCATTGGCTAATTTGTAAATAAAGACGCTTTTTCACTGGCGTAAAATCGCTTAAGGAAATAGTTTGGCCGTAACTGCGAAAAAATATATTTTTTTAATAGACCGTTTCTTTTTTGAAATAATTTCTTGGTTATCAGTTAATGACATAAAGTCACTATAGGCTATTACTGGAAATTACTTTAAAGATTGGAAAAGATTATACAAGGATTCATAATTTACACTTACCTTGCTGTTAAGCAACACATGAAAAACAAATATCACGAATCCTTGCAGAGAATTGAATATTGCAAATAAATATTTAAAGGCAATTGTGTCTCGATTGAAAACCAGTAAACCAAAAACCCACGTGAGTCCAAGCAGAGGCAGCAGTATTGCTGAACCTTTTAAACCAACTTTTACTCTTTTCAACTTGCTAACAGCTTCTGTATTTGTGGTGCCTATTTCGCTGGATGCTAAGGCATTTCGTAAGGCCAGAATAAAAATAACCAAGTTGATCTGAATGACAAATATAGTTGACACTGTCAAACTCTGCAGGTGGTTGATAGGAAACATGTTTGTGTCTCTAGTTTCAATTATACTTTCTGTGTGATAACTTTAAAGGGAATCCTACCGATAAAATTAGTACTATGGTAGCAACAAAAGTCCAGAACAGTGCACCACCACCACGACACCAACATGCATGTTTGGTTCTGAAATCCTCGCGATCATTTGTACCAAGTAGAACCGACATCACAATAATTGGGAGACCTGGACGAGAAATCAACAACTTTGAGATGAAAAAAAAAGGGGAGAGTGTTGATCATTGTATTATTTCAGATTTTAGACAAAAAATCAGCATGTTTTAGCAGGTATTTTAATTCAATACCGTTCCAAGCCACCCCGTGCGTGACATTGCCAAATTAAATGCTATTCTTACCCCAACCAATTGCATAAAATGCTCTCATGTGTTTTCCTCCCATACCCAAACCTGTGAAGACATTCACGAGTTGGAAGTACATGACAATCCCTTCACATAACATCCATCCAAAAAGGGAAAGTACGAAGAAATATAACAATATAGAAACGGCAATACAAAAGCGCTAGAGAAAGGATAGGGGATAATTAGTTGACTTAATATTATAGATATTTGCCGCGGAACAGCAAAAAAACATAAAAAATTACAAATTGTTGTGAAAATATATAGGTAAATTTATCCTTATTTAGCTTTACTTCATAATCATGTGCTGGTCCAGCCATGATAGCCAGAATGTCTGTTATTCCGATCACAACACAGAGATTCATAAGCACTTGGGAAGGTACTTTACTTCTAACATTTCTGTGTATGACTTTCCACATGAATGCATGAGCGAGAATGGTCACAGTTACTCCAAAGAGAGACAAAGAACAGCCAATCGTGGATATTAGTTCCAAAGCTCTCTTCTCGCTACCGCTTATCTTAAAGAAACACGGCAAAACCATACTATAAATCTGGTACTGGTGTATAATCAAGAAAATTAACGGCTTATTAACTCTTAATTACCATTTTTCTCGAAATATCCATGGACGCGAAAGCGGTGAGATGGTAACATTCACATGCCAAGCTTTTACTGTCTGGGACTCTTTTACATCCGTCACTCTTCCATCTGTTTTCGCTCAATTCTGGCTTCCAGTACACACAAGTTTCAGATTGGTTCTAAAAAGTAAAATCATGCACAAACTGTTTTGAATGCTTCGGCAAAGAACAGCATATTTCTAAAATTTTTGGGTGCCACCTTAATATAACATAGATACATAGATGTGTAGAGTATTGTTTTCAGCCACTTGCGCATGCCCAGGCTCTACAATTGTTTGCAGGTAACTGAAAATAGTAATACCATGATATCGCTGTTTTTCCCTTGCAATATAAAGAATTCGCCATGTTTTATTTGAAGAAAGAAATTAGGAGGCATTCATTACCACTTCATCTTTATCCCAGCTGATACGAACAGGCTTCTCAAAAGGCATCTTTGGCTCAGGTCGCACATTTACACTGATAATTTCGCTTTTTAGTTCTTCCTGGATATCACCATAAAAGCTTTTTGTTAAGAAAGAGTGCAATGTCTTATACCACAGAACAGCAACAACAGTATCAGTTTCATTGGATAATTCATCATTCGAAAGTTTGAACGATGCTTTTGAAAAATTAAAAATTCTCTCCTTTCTTGATAATTTTCCAGCTGGCTTTATGTACAAGACGCGTAGTTGTATGTTGGAATGGTTTTGGAAGACGGATGAATTGGTTGTGCTATTTCTCAGGCTATTTGCATGTTGTAATCCGTATTTTTCCAAGGTTATTGCCAGATCACGTATAACTCCCCCCTCCTAGATTAAAGAAAGCAGCTCACTTTATAAAAATAGGCAAGAGGGAATTGGAAATACAGTTTGTTTAAGATTGCCATGACACTAAGTGGCAGGAAGTAGTTGGAATATGCCTGAGAAACAATCAGAAGAGGCTTATCGAGACTTAAATCGCAAAAACTTCTTTTGACATTTCTTGTGAATGCTGAAACATACTATATGGCCACTTTATTTTTCAAATGTTGAAATACAGATGAGACATTTATTACTAACAGCAGTTTTTGAAAGAATTGATCCCAACATAACATCTGAACTCTGTACTAAAAAGAAGAATAATGAGTGACTTTATTATGGATACCTAATATTTAGGTCTCTCACCGTTGTTGTTTCCCAGGTTTCTGTATATCTACGATCCAATATGTTGCTTGCTGGGCCTAATAAATCAAGACTGCTATCAGAAATATTTAAATCAACGATCTTTTGAAGTATTCTGACAGTATCAGTGAGGATCGCAGCACTTTTCTTTTCCGTTCCATTTCCTTTGCCATGGTTTATGTCTAGATCTGTCAGGTAGAAAAGGTCGTTTATGATCTTTTCCGCTGCTAGTTTCCACGTTGACCTGTTTTTATTATTGAGTTCATCAGCCTGAGATTGAATAATGCATAGTAATTAAGTAAATAATATCCATTACTGTAAATTTTAAATTTTAAATGGTTTAGTAGACCCATTTGTAATAATTACCAAGGAACAGCGCAGTGCGTCTTTTTCGTAACAAATGTTGCATAACAATTGAGGCCCTTCATTAGAAGAGTTGATGTGACTGACCGTGAGCAAGTTAGAGAATTTTATGCTCATTTTTCATGTTTTAAATCATTATACTAATGACTTGGCGATAGAGAAAATTTTATCTATCATTTAACGATGTAAAGAAAAAAAAATTATCTTGCCTGATTGTTCAGCTCAGCAATCGTTAAACCAGATTCTTTAAAAAGAAGAGATTTTAAGGGAACAATTAGAGAATAGAACTGTTTGGAATTATTAGAAATGAAAGGAGAAATTATCAATTTGGTGGGAAAATCCAAAAGAAATTAATCTCTCGCGAAATACTTGCATTTCTTTGCAAATGATAACTGTCAAGTTTAACCAATTTATTTATTCTCTCAAAATTGAAAACAAGCTCAACCAATAGACTTACCAATACAAATAGTGCCATTTCCAGAATAACCTCTTTGACAGATACAGCTAAATGATCCTTTTGTATTTACACAATCAGCATGATTATGACAATTATGCAGATTTTTAGAGCATTCATCTAGGTCTGAACAACAATAAGTTAAAGTTTGTGTGTGTAATACTATAGCTGATAATTACGGGAGAGCTGTCTCGCATGGGTTGCTGCCGCTTGGGTATTCTTATCCAATAAAGTTGTGGAAATTAAAAAATTAAAAAAATTTCACAATTAACAATTTAGCGAAATTAAAAGAGTAATTGCGAAATGAGTTGAGATGAAATTGTAATACCTTATTTATAAAAACTTATAGTTATAAGAGAGACTAATCAAGCCTTATATAATATATTAATTTGCGAATAATAAAGGAACCATTTGAGATCCCATCACTCACCAAAACAAGATGCACCATTTCCTGAATAACCTTCAATACAAATACACTTAAAAGAACCATCTGTGTTCGTACACTTTGCTTGATTGTGACAATTGTTTACTTTTGTAGAGCATTCATCAACATCTATAAAAATATTTGTTGCATATTTAGCTGAAATAAAAATATAATAATTATTCTCCTTCCCCTGAATCACGAAATTCTGAGTCTAAAAGGGAACTTTTGATTTTATTATTATCTCCTACCTATTATAAGAACCCCTCCAAACTATATATGATAACGTATATAATTTTTAAAGTATATTTTTTTTTAACAACTAGATTGTGAAATCAAGCAAACGAAAGTTGTTCTCACCAAAACATGATGTACCATTTCCAGAGTAACCATTTTTGCAACGACAGTTGAAAGATCCTTTCGTGTTTATGCAATTCGCATTATTATGACAATTGTGTGAGTTTGTGGAGCATTCGTTATTGTCTGAAAAAATTTTTAACACACTGACTGGGATGGAAATAATATGATATATTCCTCACTGAATTACATCGTTAACGCCGCATAGTTAAAAAAGCCTTCTGTAGTAACTTTCTACGATTGACCTTTATACATTATGTTGTAACAATAGTCTATGTTTGTTGTTCATCGGTCAATTCTATAAAAATACATTTACATTATTAGTATACAAAATTAATTCTCACCAAAGCAAAAAGTACCGTTTCCAGAGTAACCATTTTTGCAAGTACAGTTGAAAGATCCTTCTGTGTTTATACAATTAGCGTTATGATGACAATTGTGTACATTTGTAGAGCATTCATCGACATCTAAAAAAATTTCAGAATTTTATTTTATTTTATTGGAGTTTAAAAAATGCAAGGCAATGTAAAAGGGTTTGAAACAAAGATATAATCACGCGAGCAAACATTAAAGATCATAGATTATGAATAAGTCAATACAATCATAGTTAAAAACTCCAAAGTTTGCAACAAAATTCAACCTGAATTACACAGCTATGCATTATAATTTCATAGCTATATCACAAAGAACTTATCTTTTACTAAAAGTATCACTGAAAATCTATTCAATTAATATAGTCATACTCAATCATGTAATCGTTCCTCACCAGAACATGATGTACCATTTCCAGAGTACCCAGTTTTGCAAAGACAGTTGAAAGATCCTTCCGTGTTTATGCAGCTCGCATAATTATGACAATTGTGTGAGTTTGTGGAGCACTCGTCATTGTCTAAAAAAACACACTAGCTGGGATAGAAGAAGCATTAATCACAACACAACATGTAAGTGATGTAACTATTCTAAAAAATACAGCGTTTAAAAAAATACCAACAATCACGGTGCAAATAAAAACCCATCTGTGATAATTTTCTACTATTGGCTTTGTAAAAAGAGTGTGTTGATCATCAAATTCTCGAAAATCATTTACATAATTGCAACAATTGATTGATTAATTGTTGAATTGATAATGCACAAACTAGTTCAAAGGTAATCATGCTAACAACGGAAGTGCTCACCAAAGCAAAAAGTACCGTTTCCAGAGTGACCATTTTTGCAAGTACAGTTAAAAGATCCTTCTGTGTTTATACAATTAGCGTGATTATGACAATTGTGTACATTTGTAAAGCATTCATCGATATCTGAAAAACATTTTAGAATTTCAAAATGCAAGACGTTGCAAACAGGTTTGAAACAGAGATATAATCACTTGAGCAAGCATTTAATGGTCACAGATTATGAAGTGAATAGTATCATAAGCAATAAAGTTTACATATAATAAAGTTTTGCAACGAAATTTAACCTGAATTGCATACAGCTAAAGTGCTAAACTTTTATATCACAAAGAATTTAACTTGTATGAAAGTGTATGCAGTGAAAACTTCTCACCAAAACAAAATGTGCCATCTCCAGAGTAACCTCTCTTGCAAGTACATTTAAAAGATCCTTTCGTGTCTGTACATTTAGCCTGACTATGACAGTTATGCAGTTTCGTTGAGCATTCATTTACGTCTAAAAAATCATTACACATTATGGTATCACGAATAGTTAATTTATGATCATTTTGCTTTTTGGTATCTTTCCCGATTGGTTCGACTAGACTTAAAAAGCTATGAAATAAATTATTTCATTACATGATTAGTGTTTGTTTTTGTAAATCCTGCAATTTGATTGGCTGCTGACGAGGCGGGATTTTCCCATATTGCCCACGGGCAATACGCTCAATTTTTATTGACCGGATGTAATGGAAATGAATTATTATTCGTGTTTATGGTTTTCCCAAATTAAGTCATATAATAAATAACTTACTGACTTCGATTGTTCGGTCTGTACGGTAAAATATCAAACCTCGGTCGTGCCGTATTGACCTCGCTATCGCTCGGTCAATACGGCACGACTTCGGTTTGATATTCTACCGTACAGACCTCACTCTCAGTCAGTAAGTTCTTATTGTTACATAGGTTCTGTGTATTTTAAATGTGATTGGTTCATTCGAGTCACATGACTTTAAATAAATGCAATGTTTCCCGCCAGGGAAACAAGTAAAAAATTGTTGCCCGCTTCTTGCCATAACAAAGTGAAGTGGGTTTCTTTTTTAATTGTTTTTTTCCTATATAACAAAACACTTAATGTACACTACCTCGGGAAATAGTGAGTCTTGTTTTCCCTCGAGTCTCAATGTTTACCTCGACTTCGTCTCGGGAAACATTCAGACTCTTGGGAAAACAAAACTCACTATTTCTCTCGGGAGCATACATTAAGTGTATATTATTACACACATGAGTGTTATTGAACTTTCGGCACTGCGAAATTGCACTTCGCCAAAAACCTCTCTATAAAAGGGACGAACTATCCAACTAACGAATCATAACACTTCTAATCTTCTATACAAAATTTGTTAATTTTTTCAGCAATTTTAGTTTGAAAGAAACCACGGCCTATCAATCCACAGTTGAATTCCGCAACAAGACCAGTGGCGTAGCCAGCCCGACAATTTATTCATGCTATGCTAATATTTTGGTGTTCATTGACTGTGAAAACAATGAATTTCTAAAGAAATGAATAAGGCTAATGACGTAAAGCATGACTAAATCGTCAGGCAGGCTACGACACCGGTATTTACGTCAGCTTAGTTCATCCATATTTATTTATTATTAATCTCTATATATTTCCTTTCTGGAACACCGTTGTTTGAACGCATTCGATTTTTCTGCTGTCTTGGATTAGAGCGGCTATCCATGGTACGTCACTGACGAAATCGCACAATATTATTTGCGGCAATTTTCCATCTTTTGTAATCGCGTGTGTCTGATTTGATGGAAAATTTGCAACAATTTTCCATCTTTTATAATCGCGCCAAATAGCACGTATGAACCTACCATTACAAAAAGTACCATTTCCAGAATAACCACTTTTGCAAGTACAGTTAAATGATCCTTTTGTGTTAGAACAACTTGCCCGGATATGACAGTTATGAAGGTTTGAGGAGCATTCATCCTTATCTTTAAACAGAAGGAAAAAGGGATGCAATAGAATGAAGAAGGAAATCCACTTACTGGAAAATTTTTAGTTAGTATTATCGAGTGTTAATTCGTAATGAAAAGCTTCTAATATCTATGCGTGCATTTGCAAATAGCTACACAGGATGACCTATAAACTTATCGTCTAAAAAGTAAGCCATTCTTAGAATTGCACTCAAAAAATTAATATTGCTTTTAGAAAATATTTACTTCGCTAATAGATTCCGCTCCAGGTCCCGCTCCAATCCTTCACGTCAGGTGATTTTGTATAAAGGACATAAATTTATCACATTATAGCTATCTCTATAGCTACCTCATTAATAATAAGGCCATTATAATTACACTATGCGATTTGTCGTATACAATTCGTATCCTGGCGTATGCGAACGTATGAACACACGTATACAAACGTGACATTTCAAATTCCCCCTGAACAATTTGAATAGAGATTGTGGCAAAGCCCCTCTTTTGCACTCGTCAGAATGATAATTGTATACAACTCTACGTGTAGTCTAAACAGGCCTTTATAGCTACCTGTACAGACGGTTCCATTTCCTGTAAAGCCCGCATTACAAACACAATTGTAAGATCCAAAGGTATTGTTGCATGTTCCTTGTGAAGAGCACTTGTGAGTTCCTAATGCACATTCATCAAGATCTGACGTAGCAATAAAAAAAAGAAAGTCAGTATGTTCTCGAAATATATTCATCTTAGCTTACATTTAAAAAAATTTGATTTAAATTTTTTTGCCAAAGTCCGTGGGCCCTGATCCATTTGACTAGATATATTAATGATATATATTCTATTGTGTCTTAACCCCTCCTGCACCACTTCAGTATATAATCTTCCAATAAATCATTATCATTGGCTCCTACCCCTTGATTGCGATTAAAAAGCGAATAGTCGCAGAAACGTTATAGTTTTTTGCCGCCTCGGGTAATTATCAGAGGTGGAAATTCCCAAATTAAAACTCTTTTTTCGCTATGGAAGACTCCGCACCCTTTCATTAGGCTTCAACATTGAATTATGTTTAAAACTTTTTTCGTTTTTATTTAAGTAAGCAAATATATGATTTTAAGATCATATAGCACTGTTCCTATTGTATTTGTCTAAAAGCGTAAATCTTAATACAAGCCTTCGGCTAGCGGTCCCTGTTGTTAAAATCTTGACAAAACAATCCTGGTAACTAACTCTCCTATTTTTTATTGAAATACATGTTTATGCATGCAGTTGTACCTATACGTTTTTTTGCCAGTGAGGGTCCTATTTTTCAATGCTTGTCTTCTTACAAGCCCACCAAACTTATTTCCTTTTTTGCTTTTTTTTATAACACTAATTTACCGTGTGTTTGAGAGAATAACATACCTATCATTTGGCAGACATAAGGCTTAGATTCCCTGCATCTATTGTTATTCCAGGTTCCTCCAATATACATTTCAACGCAATCTTCCACCCCACCGGAATCACTCGGTTCACCTTGGCGCCAATTTGTATACACTACGCTTCTTCCATTACTGTAGCACCATTTCGTCGCTATGACAGAGCATCTTCTCACACCAATCCAGAGATTTTGTTTTTTTAGTTGGCTTCTGTATGTTTTCATTATAAAATTGTTAACGTCATCCCCGCTAATATGAGCAAGCTTTCCCCCTTTATCCTCGCAATCAGTACTGGCTTCCTGCCAATTCTTCTTCTCGAAGCTCATATAGTAACACGCGTTATCAAATCCCTTCCAATTTCCGAGACAATTAAAATCTGTCATGAAACAAAAGTATTAAAAGATCTTTTCTGCATGGTATAGTATTCTTAAGGACCTTAAGCCACTAAGTAATTTAATAAGATGAACACATATAAAGTGAACATTAAAGCTTTTTCGCTCTAATCCTAACCAATTTACAAACCCAATTTAACAGACGATTCATTGGTTGGGATGAAATTAGGATGCGGAGACACCGCGGAAATTGGCAAGACTTGCCGCAATTTTCAATTCTTAGGCTTCAAACTTAGTGAGAAAAAATATTTATAAATACTCAAAAAATATGTCTTCACAAAGATTTGAAGCTTGCACACGGCAAAAACCAATCTTTTCAATCAATAACCTTCTGATAATATATAACGTTTAAATTATATTAAATTTTTACGTGCGTGTTTGTACCTACAAAAAGGCAACAGTGGAAAACAGCCCTAATTCCAATGCAGATATCAGCGTGCAATACATGGACGAGCTTGTTTTTATATTGGCTTGTACCTTTTTTCACCTTTATATTAGTTTGAAGCAATTTTTTTATGTGTAGTAGTAGGTGCTCGTCACTTTCGACGGCGGCAATTGCAAACAATAGTTCGTGTGCTTTTCAGTTCATCGGCTTGCGCAAGCAACTTGTACTTCGAATGAATTCTTCCAATAAGCGCAACTGCTTAAGTAATTTCATCGTGTAACTAAAGCCCCGAATTAACTGAAAACGACTACTGCATTCTGGATTGATAAAGCACATACGAATAATTTTATTGTAGACTTGTAGCTATATATATTGAAGTAAAATTATGAAATGACGCGCATCAATCAAACTTGACAATCAATGAATCAATCAAAAAATTTTATTGACGTTTCTAATCCTCCAGCTCATACTCTGCTTATCGGAGACACAATAAATGAAACCCATAATAAATTAAATTTTTTTTCGCTTTTTTCAATCATCAATTTTTTCTTCCGGTGATTAAATCGGGAAGCTCCTGAAGACCAAATATTAGACCAAACAAATATTGAAAATATATTTGGTCAACTGCTACAAGCTCTCTAGAAAAAAGATGGGCATATATTGACATCAAGATGGGCGTATTGACAATCGAACAGTTTCAACTAGTTTGGAAATGCTATAGGCGATTATTTCTCCACAGTTAAACATATTTTATGTCGAGAATTATCACATGCTCGTTTTTTACTGAGTAAAGTTTTAGTGAAGACGTAAGGTTGTAATTACTCATGCGCGTGAAGTGAGTGACAGCACAGACTTGAAACGTGCACATGTCGACAACGTTTAAAAAATTAACATATAGATTTTCGTCTTTTCCATAAACGATGACACGTCACTTATTATTACCAACGGCATTTTTAGTGAGTCATATACTCTGACTAGACTGCCTCAATAGAATACAACTCACGCTTACACCTAAAATAATTTACCTTATCTCTTTTGACAGGCGTGTACAAGAAAAGTTATTAATGTTTTACGTGTGACTGAAATTATAATAATATTTTCTATTATGTAAATTAATATTTACTTTCATGGTTCTTGCGGTTTGTAATAATTACTTTTTCATTTCATTTTGAATAATATTTGCCTTCGAATATTTTTTTCATTATTAACTAGCAAACGTAATTTGACCTTGCATAATTGATTTTCAACGAATACAGCTAACTCAATAGACATTTTACAACAATTAATTACTTACAAGTCAGAAAATTTTCTACCCTAAACTTGTTAAGCAGATTTTCTATCATGAGCCTTACGTGTTCTCACAATTTACGAGATTTGCAAGTTAAGGAGTATAAATAAACTGTAACTCATCATTCCTAGCGCGCTCAGTTGGGCTCAGTAGGTAACGTTCAACTATTTAAAGGTAACAATAGTAACTCCGAATAAAGCAAGCATTTTCATTCAACGTTTCGACTTTATTTAGTCATCATCAGGAATGATTAATTTACATGTGCATGCGTTGTATCCATATTATACATGTAAATTAATCATTCCTGATGAATGATGATGACTAAATAAAGTCGAAACGTTGAATGAAAATGCTTGCTTTATTCGGAGTTACTATTGTTGTGTATTTTATGAAAATGCTCAGTGGTTCCCGCAATTAAGGGCAACCTTTATTGAGTTAGCTGCATGTATACATGTATTTCGCTGCATAAACAATACGTTTTACTGTCTATAAATATACAAGCTGTTTTTTTACATCAAATTATTTATCGAGAACTGGAAGATTTTAATTATTTTTCAAAAAAGGACACCGCAATTGAGTCGAACCACCAAGGTTGAGCCCATGCAGGATACAAATGCATGCATGTAGGCATTCAAATTTTAACATTTCTCTCTGCCAAAGTCTCAGCTATATAAATTATTACAACTTATATACGCTATGAGAAAATTATGAAATAGCGATGATTTGTACAAATATTACGAATGTACGTAAAGCATTTAAAGAACGATCAGTTTAACACATAGCATCAAATCTATGCCAGCACTTAAGGCAAATATGATTTGTTTCGGCTCTAGTTAAAGTATGCATGCTTACCTTAATAACGGGCTGTGGGAATACCGCAGTTTACAAAGTCAAATTTGCATAATATTGGTTTTAAGACGTTTTACGCAAGCCATAATAATGCACTTATTCACCCGCCCCATGTAATGCACTTATTCGCCAGGGAGTTTGGGAAGAATAAGAGTTTAATTATTTCTTATAAATTTTAATCTGGGAAACATTCTATCTTTGCCCGCAGCATAAAATATTAGCCAAAAGTAGCGCTCGATAACTTTTGTTTAATGCATTTTTGGAACTTCCGCTTTCAACGTCGTCTTATATATGAACATTACACACTAAAGGAATATAATATACATAAAAGCTTTAAACTGTCACCGTGTCAACTCGACTGACAATGGGGCTAACACTGCCTACGTGACCCATGATTAAAGGAAGCCATTTGCACTGTACATTTACATCAAACAATTCATGTAATTGTCATGACATATCTGATTTGTGAAATGTAATGATTAAATTTTAATCCAAGGCAAAATTCCTAGAGTATTTCATAGTTGGCTTTTCTATAAGGCTATATATAATAGATTGGTTACAACGTCTTATAGAGTAGCAATTAAGTACAGTAAAATTTGGAATATTAATATGAATTTAAACATTCACAAATAAAAGCTTAATTTTAGTGCACGTTGCATACATTGATAATTTATACACGACAAAGTTGTTTCAGACGTGCTCTTCTGCACGTAAATTACTCACATATTACATCAAGACGTCTTTTTAGCCGCGTATACAAACAAAACCGCTTTTAATTATAAATCCCAAATTAGCATTATGGCTGTCCGTGGACTTTTAGAGCTTGCGCTTTTAAAGTTGTCTTTTATGCATTAAAATTATAGACTTAAAAATTGTTAATATTAGACAGGGCGCTTATATATATTTATATATATTATATAAGCGCCTTGATATTAGACTTATATACTTCACTCATATCGCCGGATTGCTGTTGATCGTATGCAAGATGCAATTATTAATAAAAACTATAGGCCCCACACAGTAATAATACTGCACATTGTAACGATTTCGAGATTGGAGCGTTTTGATTAGTGTTTTTGCGAGAAAACAGATGCATAAATGCATGCAAACAAGAAATGCCAAACACCAATTTATTACAGAAGTTGACATATTTATATATATACATGCACATGCATATTTGGCGACTTTCCATCTGTGCCGCGTGATCTGGCTCAGAACGATAAATTGAAACGGAACCGTATTATAATTAAAAAAAAAGTAAAGTTCATAGCACCGCGCTTCATCATTAAACGCGCAAAAAAATACTAAGTCTTAGATTTCGCGATAAACAGCTGCATATATCTCATGACAATGTGACCTAAATTCGAGTTAAAATAATCCCTACTTTAATTGATGCCCGGCATTATATAGCTATTGTATTCTATGTTCACACGACGTTCGCAAGAACAGCAACCTTTTTTATAAAAGAGTCGTTGAGATCATGACAAATCGAGACCCGCTGGCAAAACAAATTAAAAACTACACCAAGTAGGTCTATACGAGACGAATATGAATGACGTAAGATCTCTAAGTATATCGCGACGTTTAAACTCTCTCGCTCTAATAACACCTTCGAATGAGGCGATTTTATGGCTTCTTGACGATATCAAGGACAAAGCACAGCTGCAACATGAGAGATTTTTCATAACGTAAATGGAACATCAATATCACCTAACATTGGACGTACGATTGCTAAAACCTGCTTTAGAGAATTATGCCAGTGTATGGCTCCATGCATATAGCCTTTTTTAGCCTATATGATCTGAATTGTCGCTACAGTCTTAAATTAAACACCCTGATCGCAGATTGAGTTCACCCGCTTGTTCGCATAGGTGCATATGAAGGTATATAATAATTTCAAACTTTAGATTTTGTGAAAGGGTTTCTTTGCCATGCATATATTCTAAAGAAACTGGACATATAGCTATATACCAATAAAATAGCAGAACGCGTAATTAACAGTTTTGTTTATTATTTCACATTTAACTGAAGCATATATGAATCAAAAATACACATGGAAGAACGGTTTCAAAGCAGCGATAAAAACGAGACTAGAAGTCATGTTGGCTGACTGCATTAAATTAAGCTTACCTTGTGTGTTTACCGTGTAAGCGGCATACAATAGGACGCCAAAACTAAGAAGTAACCGCTTTAGCGCAATCATCTTTGTGTGATGCATATCTTCAACAGATGTTCGAGTTAACGTTAGCCGGAATATAATGGCTGGACTAATTCATTCTATATACAAGATAATAGCATGTCGAAAACCAATCATTTTCAAAGAATGGTAAACTTCAAAAAGTTGCATAATTTATATCTTGTAACCAAAGTACACAGTTACGCTTCGCTAAGTAGTATTGACAGACATTTAATGCCTTTGTTCATATAAAATTATACCGGCCAAGTTCACGATGAAACTATAATTTAATTGATATATACCTACAGAATTAAAAAAGACAATTTCAGATGAGCGATATTAACGGCGAAAAAAAAGTGCAGATAATTGTGAATTTTGAAGGATACGTTGATAAACTTGGTAATATTCTATCAGTCTATCCTGTAAGTCATATTAGCAATGCAAATTATAGGGATTGTTACTAGAAAATATCATTGTTCCGTTTCCCATTAAGTGTTGCTACTTGCATTAAGACAAGCTTCGGCCTTCGTTCCTCTCATTTTGAACGTCATGTATAATGTGAAGGGTCTAGCTAGGCGGGGTCTTCGTGTAGCTTTTAGTCGCTTCAAATTTCAGCTGCATATTTGTTCAGTTCTCTTAAAATATTCACCTTTTGGTAAATATCTGTATAAACATTTAAAAATTTTCTGTCTATCACAATCACAAATGTTCCAAGCGAATTTATCTTGGCCCAAGCCTCAGAATCAAGATAATGCGGTACACCTTTGTTTGACATCACCAAGTATTAAGTGTCGAGCAAGTGTTATAGGCATAAATATGAAACATAAAATTGCAGTAAAACCGCAAATATCAAATAAAATTTGCAGATAATACACAGGCTGTTCGATTTTAATTATTCCTTCCGGATATATACCTTGAAGCTGATTCAAAAACGTATGTGCGGTCACTGCCCCGTAGGCATACTTACGGGCTGCACTGCGTATACATACATATGGAAATGATCGTATAAGATTTTGTACTGGATAAATCCCACTTCTCTGGGAGCAGATGTAATAGTGGCTATCATTATTTATAGGAAGTAAGAGTTATCTCTCTCACGATAAGATACGGATATTTTATCAATTTTATGTCGGTTTCACCAACATTGCATTGAAGTAGCTAGATAAATGCAATAATTAGAAAGTTTAATATTATTTTCGTGCAAAACAAAGCAATTTTGAACTTTATTGTTATATGAGCTTGATTCGTGTGCGCATGCGCTGTTTATACGATCTCCGAAATCATGGAGAACATAATGCCGCAAAAATTTCACTGTTTATTCGATCTTGGGTACCAGGGGCTGCCATGTTGTCTTCTTAATAATGTTATATGGCTACTGCGCACGCGCCGTAGAAGACGTTAACTCTTTGGGCCTAGACAAACTATTAAAAGTGGTTAAAAGCCTCTTTCGTAAGCCGGGGTGTCTCTACCCCCAAGGTGCCCTACCAACCAAGGCGAGATTAAAACTTTCCATATAAACATTTGCATTTGTTCGAAAGTTCGAAACTGTTCTGATCAGTAGCGTAGCCAGCTTGACGATTTGTCCCGCTATGCTGATATTTTAGTGTTCAATGACTGTGAAAACAATAAATTTCTAAAGAAATGAATCATCAAAATAACTCGAAATTTACATAGCGGGACAAAATCGTCAAGCTGGCTACACCACTGGTTCTGATTACCCCTACTTTTAACTAGGGATAGTTAGAAAACATCACGTGACACGTACAATTTTCACGTGTTTGAAAGTGATGGTAATTGGTAACAGATAATGTGTTAACCGTGATGTTATGTTGGCCTTTTTTTAAGACTTTATCGTCATGCATAGACATATATCTATACTCAGGAATGTGATGGCCATTGTCGTGAGAAATTCAATGTGTAAAAGTGTCTTATACGGTGTATTATAAAACGCATTGTTGACCACATAATTTTACGTCATAGACGAACACTGTTCCAGAACTACATGGGCATTCCATTACACACACAGTGTTCTGAATTATCCAGAACAGCAAATGGAGCAGCCCTCTTGAATTCACTGTTTCTCATTTTGCTGTAATTGTCGTGAACAGATTATTTCTACTGATGCATGTAGGATGGTCATCTTAAAAATTTGTCTTTATTTCTGCATTTGAATGAACTGTATTCTTATTCATCAACCACCTGGATATGTTCACGACAATGTCAAAATGAAAAACAAGCCCTTTCCATGCATCACATACGATGAATGCCAAGTAAAGTGCACAGAGGATGGGAACTAGATGCAATATTTAACGGGGTGCATATTTCTTTTGCTACTTATACTCGTTTTCAAAAAAGATCCGTTGGGAAGAACAGAATACATGAATACACATCCCTAATTATCGGGTTATAGTTTTGGGTATATAAATGATGCAGTAAATGTTTAGACAATCCAATAGCTATAAATATTGTTTATTTCATATATTTATGTACGTACATGACATGAATATTTAGACTCTAAAGGCATGATTTCACCGGCGAAATTTTATAGCAAAATGTGAAATATTTCGCCTTCTTCATTCTATATTGAATTTTAAGACTTTATTCGCGCCCAAGGCGAGTGGAGTTTTTTTTTACTTGCGAAATCATGTATAATTACTACGTACGCATAAATTATTTTTTGGCGAAAATATTTCAACTCGCGCTGAAAAAATATCCCTGTCGTCAGGCGTTTAAAACCAATGTAACCTGTTGGGATTTCATGTATATAATTATGTTAAATAATATACGTTATCGTAAGGCTGAGTCTGACTAAAGTTTTCAACGTATTAAGGGATGTTCCATGCAATCCTTAGTTAAGAGTGAAGGAGGAACGCTCAGTAAAGTCGGGAATCATTCGATCGCCAGAGGCCCAAAATACGACCAACATAACCTATGCAACCTACTAATCTTATTTCCAGGTCGAAGATGGTACATCAGGTATAGGTTTGCTCCCGATACTGGATTAAATGCGCGCTGACAGACACGCTAATCGAATGTAACAAACTGTAGTCACGCCCAAGAAGTTGACTGAAAAATATATTGTTTTTAACATAATCAGAAAAACACTGATAGTTACTCATACTAGATATCCCATTCCTTTGCTTGAGACTTAAATACGACATTAAAATATATTTCAGGCTTTCCTCTTCTGTGACTGTGGGTAAATGGGCTTATGGAATACAAGGTGAGCGTATGTTCGTGAAATAAAAGTATGCATTTAGGTCAATCTGTTATGTGACTGAACTGATCAATTAATACGTATACTGGATGTTTTTGCAGCTTTGTATAGCCTGGTTTTCATTTCGTTGCAGTTGTCGTAGTAAACAAGTCATTTTCACCGATAAGAAATAGTCATCACATTACCCATGTTGACATGTTCACGACAATAACGAATGAATGGAAACCAGGCATACATGGCCTGAAGCGACTTATAGCTGATTTATTGTTACTTCAGTTCATCCAGGGAGCTTCCTTTAGTGTACGCGAACTCGTCATCGTTGCGTTTAAGGGTTTCACTGCTGCTGTGCTCCAAGTTGTATCTTTTTTTCACAGCAAATGGCGAGCTTGCCATAATTTTCTTTAAAAACACCGGTGTACCAGACTCTGATCTTGAAACACCGTCGGCTACGAATAAATAATAATTTACATATTTAGCTAAGGCCTTTCTAATCAGACGAGTGCCGAATCACTGGAATAGAGGTAATGTTATCAGACATAGGTACTAAAATCAACCCATATGGCATATATATTGACCCATTTTTGTTCGTGGATTTCTATTAAACCCTAGCTTTTGAACAATCCAATTACTGAATACCTGAATTATGTAAGTTCGTGCCTTATATATATAAACTTGTAAGGTGAATTTATCGTTGATATTTAAAAAATATGTCTTTTTGACTTTGTAGCATTTTCTTCTTATACCATGAAATAACTTTAAAACACTCGTCTTGTGCTAGTAAGGTGCAGCAAATGTTAAAATAGTAATAAAAACTGTAATACAACTATAAGGTAGTTCATCTCATCGAAATGATTTTCATCAAATCACTGAAAAAAACCTTTTAGTTTGCTCGGAGATTTAACACCGTAAACAACATGGAGGGATTTTTTTTTACATTTTCAAAGACCCAATCAGAATGCAGAAATTTTCACTACTTCCGGTAAAATGGCAAATTATTTACCATTTTACATGAAGTATAAAAGATTTAAGCATTCTGGTTGGCTTTGCTTAAAGAATATAAACAAATATGTCCATTAGTTTAAAACGAAATTCCACCTTGTTCTTACAATACTTACACAAATTGTTCTTGGAAAAGGCATAAGTAGTGTGCGTGGTGTTGAATGCTTTCTTTTCTTTCTTGATTGCTCCGTGAATCTAATAAAAGAAAATGGTGCAACTTATAAAGTAGCAGTTCAAATGCGCTTAAACATTCTAGATTGTAGAAGAATAGGCAGGAAAATAGAAGGAAATGGTTTTACACGACATGCAAGAAAGATGTGACATTTCCTGTTGCATACCTTTTTACTCAACAACACGTGGAAAACAAATATCATCAGTCCTTGCAGAGAATTAAAAATGGCGAATAAATATTTAAACGCAATTGTATCTCGATTGAATACCAGTAAACCAAACAGCCACGTCAACCCAAGGATAGGCAGCAATATAGCTGAACCTTTTAGACCAACTTTTGCTTTTCGCAACTTGCTGTCAGTCTTTGCACTTTCGCTTGCCATGCTGGAGGACATGGCGTTCCGGAGCGCCAGAACGAAGATTATTATGTTTATCTAAAAACAGTAAACCATGTTCAGTTTACTCACGAATGCTTGCTATTTTACATAGAGTTATGGGTGGGACAAATGGAGCCTTAAACACATCGGTATGCTTCCATGAAGAGTATCCGCTGGAAATTTTTGTCAATATCCATACAATGGAATATGCTATACCCATACTGTTTCCATACTATAAATTTATTATTCTGCGATATGAAAAGGGCAAGTATAAAAAAATAAGATTTCGAAATGGCATAATGATAAATGAGAAATGTTGTTTAAACAGTTTTGACAGTGTATATATACCTGATCAAGTTAAATAAATATTTGCATAACCTGGCGGCGTTTCAATAAACTTGGTTTGAAACTTAAAATCACGGTAGATCCATGCAAACTCGAAACTAATTAGGCGCAGGCTTTTATACTTGTTTAAAACACGTACGTTTCTCTGATTTTCAAGATGTGAATATTTGAGTGTAATACCTACCAGTAAGATAAGTATTATAATACCAACAAAAGTCCAAAACAAACCACCGCCACCTTGGCACCAACATGCGTGTTCCGATTTGAAATTTTCAAGATCGTTTACTCCAACTAAAACCGCCATAACAATTGCTGGGATTCCTAAAAATGGATATCATAAAATGATAAAATGATCTAAATTATTGAGGCAAAACGGCTATACCACATATAGAGAAAACCTATACACCTTAATGACGGACTTGTTAAGATTTATTAATGGTAATGACGAGGGGAAGAATGAGCTAAATAGTTGAATTCTTTTGAATCGAAAAATACACGAAAGGATTTGTATTATGAATTCGTCAGTTTTTTGCTTAGGAAGGTTGTGAAGTTCAACATTTTGAATAGTTTCATTAAAAAAGGACCAATATTTCGAGTTTTAATTCAAAATCGCGATTATATTTGCTCACGGCAAGCAAGCGGCCCCCTTAGCTATTATTTTTTTCCCGGGTGAGTTTCAAAGTAGCTCAAAACACCTACATCTTGCATCAAAAGTATTCAGTGTTAAAAAACAGGGTCTGCTTTCAACTTTTTTAATTTCAGTGAATCAAACACATGCATTCATATAATTATTTCGATTAAAATTAATTCAATTCGCTTACCCCAGCCAATCACATAAAATGACTTGAGATGTTTTCCTCCTAAACTTAAACCAGTGAAAACATTCACCAGCTGAAGGTAAACGACGATTCCTTCACATAACATCCATCCAAAAAGGGAGAGAACAAAGAAATATAATAACATAGAAACGGCTATACAGAATGGCTGAAAGGAGAAGGTTATTATATGTAAGTTAAAAAATACAGTATAGTCTGCAAGAAAACTCAAGATATGATTGAAAACGCTCATCGTTTTGCAATAATTTTACTACCTCGTTATTGAAAGCTGGTCCAGCCAAGACCGCGAAGATATCTGTCATTCCAATCGCAACACAGAGGTTCATAAGCACTTGGGAAGGAACTGTGGTCTTAACATTTTTGTGAAGTCTTTTCCACAGCAATGCGTACGTGAGTATCGTCAGAACCACCCCAAGTAGGGATGCAGAACAGCCAATTGTTGATATTACTTCTAAAGTTCTTCTTTCTTCATCTTCCATCTAAAAAAAATAAGTATAGCATGCCTCAATTGTCCAATCAAAAGCATTATTATATGGCACGCGGTCTCGTGACTAAAATAGCGTGCGCTGATTGGTTCTTTGCCGGCCTGGAATCCTCCAGTATTAGACCGTTGCCGGAGTAACGGTCCAACTCTCATATTTTTGAACAAAAACAAGCTTGCATTTTCATTTTTGACACGAAAAATATCGACGAAGAATGGACGAGGAAGGGCATTATTTGGTACATGTGAATATTACATTTATTCATCTTTGATTTTTGTTTATATTACTGTATCATTCTTAGTTAACGAGTAAAAAACAAAGTTTTGAAAACCACCCCAGTGCTTGCGTGGCGACTGGCTGGTGAAAGAGCCGACAAGAATGCTGCAGCGCATTGTATAAATAAATAAGCTAAATACTGTACGCCATATAATAAATCCCTTATTAACCGAATACGTTCGGTCTGGAAAATTATCAGACCTCGGTCTTTTATGTAAGGACCTCGCTATCGCTCGGTCCGGACTGTCAAGACCTCGGTCTGATATCTTTCTTTCTTTTGACATTTGACATATATCATGCCACGTTTCGCGTGGACCTGCAACTGCAAGGTTTATATAATTCGCATCCGCCATAAGAAAGTCGGATTTCGTCTAAAAAGCGGTCAAAATATGTAATAAGGTTTCGCGTGCAAATCTAAATCACCTGGACTTTATTTGGTAAAATCCTTCGTCATCATATTATTAAAACTAAGTGTAATTTATTCAAGTATCCATCACTTCTGATTGCATGGTTGATAGCCATGTGTGAAATAGTATTTGAAACGAGCAACGTCATAGCGTGGGAAAGATTTTTCTGGTTCACGCTATTACGCTATTACGTGATCATCACTATCATTATCGCAAGCATATATCGTTATGACATCATTTTAAAGACGATCATATCAACATCTTAAGGGGCGGGAATGTAAAGCAAAACAGATGCATGCGAGCGAAGAAAATTTCTATTTTTAAATAAACAATAAACAATTTTTGAAATGATTTCAATTTTTGAAAAGAATTATCAAGCGCTGTCGTTATGAATCTCAGACTTCGTCTTCGTTCGATGACGATAACGAGAAACTTCGAATTGACAATTCCCCATATCATGTTCTACGTTATCCAAAAAAATTATATAATGCATGTCAACGAACTTTACCAAAAAAGATTATGGGCACGACATAGAATTGCACGCAAAAGGCTGCAAAAAACTTTGACCAGTTTTTCCGTTTGGCTTTGAAACAAAAAACCCCAACTTTGATCTGAATCATGTGATATATTCGAACCAATCATTATTGAATGAGTTTACACGTGATTCAGCCGAGTATTTCAATTGTTTCTTGTATTCCCCACATTTCCGCTGCTCGGAAAAAACTGCCGAACCGGAAAAAATGATTCTTACCATATTTCTAGAAATGTCCATGGAAGCAAATGCTGTAAGATGCTTGCACTCACATATCAGGCGGTGTTCATCTGGTACTTTTGTGCATCCATCTGTTTTCCATCTGTTTTCACTTAATTCTGGCTTCCAGTATACACATTCTTCAGATTCAGCCTAAAAAGTAAGTAAAAACTAAATATAAACGTTTTCGCGTGATGAGATTACTTCCTGCATGCACTCGGTGGGCGAAAATTTGCTTTTTGTAATTGCTTTTCTGCATTGTTTCTCTATTATAAGGGTGATATTAAGGTATTATGGCGTCAAAAATCACGGTAACCACCGAGTATTTTGATAAAATATAGAACAATTGAAAAAAAACTCCGTAAAAAAAGTATAAACATTTTGAAAAATATAATTTTCTACGTTTCGGCTACACTATAGTAATTATTGACATAAGAAGAAAAGAAAGAAGAAGAAGAAGAAGAAGAAGAAGAAGAAGAAGAAGAGGAAGAAGAAGAAGAAGAAGAAGAAGAAGAAGAAGAAGAAGAAGAAGAAGAAGAAGAGGAAGAAGAAGAAGAAGAAGAAGAAAAAGAAGAAAAAAAGAAGAAGAAGAAGAAGAGAAGATAAAAAAGAAGAAGAAGAAGAGAAGAAGAAGAAGAAAAAGAAGAAAAAGAAGAAGAAGAAGAAGAAGAGGAAGAAGAAGAAGAAGAAGAAGAAGAAGAAGAAGAAGAAGAAGAAGAAGAAGAAGAAGAAGAAGAAAAAGAAGAAGAAGAAGAAGAAGAAGAAGAAGAAGAAGAAGAAGAAGAAGAAGAAGAAGAAGAAGAAGAAGAAGAAGAAGAAGAAGAAGAAGAAGAAGAAGAGGAAGATAAAAAAGAAGAAGAAGAAGACGAAGAAGAAGAAGAAGAAGACGAAGAAGAAGAAGAAGAAGAAGAAGAAGAAGAAGAGAAAAAGAAGAAGAAGAAGAGGAAGAAGAAGAAGAAGAAGAAGAGGAAGAAGAAGAAGATGAAGTAGAAAAAGAAGAAGAAGAAGAAGAAGAAGAAGAAGAAGAAGAAGAAGAAGAAGAAGAAGAAGAAGAAGAAGAAGAAGAAGCACGAACTAATCATGCACTAATGCAAACACTAATCTCATGGGTGGGCCAATGAATTCCACATGCATTTCTTCACCAACATAATACTACCGTGATGTCCGATTCAACACGTCTTCCTAACTAATCGAATTCTATACAAAGCAAACATGTCACGAAAGAAGACAAAAGTGAATACACACCGGGTCAATGGTATCCCAAGTGATACGAACTGGTTCTCGAAACGGTATTCTTGGCTCAGGTCTGACACTTGCGCTGATAATCTTGTTGTTCACTGTCGCATAAACGTTCTTTCCAGATAACCTTTTTCCGAGAAAGGAATTTAAAGTTTTATACCACAAGATAACGACGACTGCACCAGACTCTGTCGCTAGTGCATCGCGTGAAAGACTGAATGATGCGTTTGAAAAATTAAAAAGTCTCTCCTTTTGTGCCAATTCAACATTAGTTTTTAAGTATTTGACATGTAACTGTACGTTGGAACGGTTTTGAAATACTGAAGAATTGTATGTATTGTTTTCCAGTTTATTTCCGCATTGAAATCCATAGTTTTCTAGCGTCATCACAAGATCACGGATCACTCCTTCATCCTAAACATAAAAAGGACAAACATTACGAAAGAAAAGTGATAAGTGGAAATCAGTGCCTCTATAGAGCAGACTAAGGAAGAATTGGCAGGCAGAATGAATGCAAAGGTTACTGCATGAAGAGAAGTTTGCATAACTGCTGAAGTGGGTGCTTAGAAAGCTCTTTAAAATTAGTTATACGGGAAAAGGTATTGATAGGAATATCGATTTACAATTTGAAATTTTTTCTACACATCGCGAGAATGTAAAGATATAAAATTTATTTGCTCTCTTATTCTACTTAAAACTGGGCTTCTTTCCAGCATCCCTGCTGTTCATGTTACACATTGGATTACTGCCTGTGATAAACTTGAATTTGCTGTACAAAAGCAACGCTTACGTCAAAGCTGCTTACTACAAAGCTATAGCTGTATTGGAATGCAAAACATGAATCGAAAGAATGGTAGATATAGCAGACGCTCAAATGAAGATGACATGGATGGCTACGAAAGCAATTGAAAGACGAAACTGATCAATGAAACTCGAATGTCTTCAGGGACCGACTCACCTTTATTTTTCGCCATGATTCTGTGTTTCTACTATTTAATATATTGCTCGCTGGACCCAATATATTCAGGCTGCTATCAGAAATATTCAAATCGACGATATTTTGAAGTATTCTGACTGTATTGGTTATATTTTGCTGCCTTGCCGTTCCGTTTTTTCCGCCGTTATTCAAATCTTGACGTGTTAAGTAGGACAGCTCATCGACAATATTCTGAGCAGCTCTTTTCCGGGCTTCAAACGATATGCCTTTATTATAAAGTTCTTGCGCCTGGAAAATTAAATCATAAATTGTTGATGATAGTTTGTACATTTCTTTCTTGTCCTAGTTGCTAATTAATTATGCACTACTCTGAATCCGAAGATGAATAATATACAAAATTTCGAGTACAATTTATTTTGTTTTGGGTGTCACCGAAGAAACTTGAAATCTACTAAACCAGCACAGGTTGTGTCGAAAAAAATTGACAAAATCTGAAATCGTTGAAATTTGGATTAAACAAAAAAATTGATAAAATTTTTCCTCAGTGTGAAAATCGCTTTTGGAAAGAATATTTTGTTGTCTTTAGTCTTATGTCTTCTATGTCTCGGAAAACATTTAATATTTCACTATTTTCATGCATTTTTTCATGACTTTTTTTTATATTTAGCAATGAGGCCTGATTACAACATGAAGAAGAATCGAAGTTGTTCATGAAATTTTAGCTCGAACAACTCACCACTTGTTAACATTCGTGCGTTTTTGTTATGTTCTCAAATGAAAACACTACTCAATAAGCTAAAACGAGTTCAAATTTCTTTCTGAATGCGTATACTCTGCAATCTAAATGAATTATTGAAAACTCATCAAAAACATCTGGCAGCTGGAAAATGGCCATTTTGAGATAAACAGGTATTACTGTGCGTTTTTCTCTCAACTATATAATAATTAAATTACTTAATCCTTTCGATTTTTTTCTGAACGCACATCAATTTTTCACTCTTTGAAGCATTGGGTTAGTCGGCGTACCGCAATCTACGTAAGCATTCAAAAAATATAACAAAATATTCTCTTGCCTGATTTCTCAGTTTACCATATGACAGTGAACGCGATTCTAAACAGATGTATACGTTTAAGTTATACATTACATCATATATTTTTGAAAATGTACAGTACATGTACAGGAAGAATAAACAAGCTGTGGCAAAAAAAAAAAAGGCAACAAAAAAGTGTTGACTTACCATCACAGAGTTTACCATCTCCGGAATAACCATCTTTGCATGAGCAGTTAAAGGATCCCTTTGTATTTGTACAAACAGCACGACTGTGACAGTTATGTCTGTTAGTGGCACATTCATCTATGTCTAAGAGGTATATAAATAAATAACTTAACAAATGCAATCGGATTCGATAAGATTTATAGTAAATTCGTTTAGGACCTGTTCATCTTTTCTTCGTAATTTTATCACGTTTGTCAAAAGTAAAGGAGAAATTATTCTTTACAAATTAAAAGTTGACATTTTCTCGAATTTGCAGCTCAACTTCCACCATGAATATGCATTACTTCCTCAATCATGCACCCACTCGTGTGTTAATATCTTATCGATCCAATTCACTTCTGAAGGATGTTTTATATAGTCTGTTAACATGTAATGTATATGGGCAGCAATAGAAGAACTCATACGGCGCTTCGCATGGCCATTCCCTGAATGATTAACCATGCACTTTCAAATGCACCGTTAAAAGACCCGTTTGAATTTTCATAACTTGAATTTGGAGTTCATGTACGCATGATTTATGTCAGAAAAGTGTGCATGAGCAAGATTATACAAACGTAGATACGTCCTTATAAAGACTTACCATTGCAAAATGTACCATCACCATAATAACCAATTTTGCAAATGCATTTAAAAGATCCTTTTGTGTTTGTACAAACAGCGTCACTATGGCAACCATACATGCCAATAGAACATTCGTTTATGTCTAAAAGAAATTAGTATGACTTAAAAAGCCAAATAAGGAACATAACCAACTAATTAACGATTAACCATACAATCGTTATATACCACATAAAATTGCTAAAAAGATATGCAAGAAGTACGTTTTGAGCAAAAATTATTTAAGTTCCTTTTCTATAACCATTCCTCATCGCTATCCTGCCTAGCCCAACCGGCTTTATCAGAATTCTAATATTCTACCTATGTAAATATTAGCTGGCGGGTGGTAGAGGTTTTATATTTATATATTGCCAAATGTTTAATACTGCACGTCGAGTTTTTAATGCTTATTCCAGCTCTTAGGCTAAAATATTTAAAGCAAAAAAAGAAAATTCTATAGATTTGTGATGTGCCTATGGTGTTTATAACTACTCTAACTGTACATTCACATGCCTTTCCTTTCTAAAACTATCGTCTATCGACTACACTCCCATATATTCGGCGCGCCAAGAGTTTAAATTTTCCCTAAAATCGATTTCACTAAATCGATGTTAATTAAAAACTATATATATTTACCATGACAAAGAGAGCCATTTCCAGAATAACCCCTTTTACAAAAACACTGAAAAGAACCTTTCGTGTTTATACACCTCGCATTGTGATGGCAAGGACTAGGAAAGTTTAGAAAGCATTCATTTATGTCTAAAAAGTAAACAACAAAAAATTATTAGATTCCGCACTAAGATTACTCCGAATCTAATTTTTGGAGTGACATTTAGAAATGGAAATAAAAGAAAAAAATTTTAATACTAATTATATATCTCCTGCAGTATTTGGCAAATGCTGCAATTTCATTGGCTAAGAGGAGTGCGACTTGTGCACAATTGCACCTTACTCGTATAGTCAATGAAAATCGCTGTAGTATATATGTACAACTAATCAATCACCATTCAGAATACAAAATAATTTCAAATTGTACTATATTTATCAAGCATTCTGGTGATAAAAAATTAACAATTATGTCGAGGTTCAATAAATTGATGAGATATATAATTCATAAGTAATAGAGCGAATCATAAGAGTGTTTACAAAATCGACTGCGTAGCGGGAGTATACCTTAAAAAGGTCTTGCACTCCAATTTGTTCTATAACCTTTTTTTACCTTCGCATACGCTCCCGTTTCCTGTAAATCCTTCATTACATGTACAGGTGTATGATCCAATAGTATTCGCGCATTTGGCGTCAGGAGAACATTTGGAAGTACCCAACTGACATTCATCCACGTCAACTAATGTTATAGTTCAAAAATAAAAGAATATACACATGAGTGTTTTTAACATTGATAAACAATTTCTTCTATTATAGTAGATCATCTTGACTCAAAGAAATGAATCCCTGATAGCGAACATTGCATAAGATTGAGTTTTACGAAGATATTGAATTAATGACATACGTACATGGCCTTTGGCAAACGTAAGATCTGCTTAGTTTACATGAATAATCATTCCAGGTCCCGTCGTGGTACATTTCCGTGCAATTTTCAACTCCACGTACATTATTTGGTTCGTTGTTTATTTTGTCCCAGTTTGTATACACGGTCACTGTTCCATCAGGATAACACCATTTCGTCTCATTGAAAGAGCATCTCGTTAATCCAACCCAAATATGTTCGGACTTTCTGAATCTTTTAAGGATGAATTCGTTGACGTCTTTGTCTGTGACTCTCGCGATATCTCCGCCCTTGTTCATACAATCGTTTTTCGCGTCAAGCCAGCTTAGCTCCTTTGAAATACCCGTGTAACAAACACCGCGATACTCTGTCCAGTTATTCTGGCATCCTGTCTCAACACAAAGGTTTTAATTAATATTTTACTATACTTTAAAATCTCGGAGAAAAAATATTCGAGTCGCGAGTACAAATTGCGCTATTTATCACTGATTTTAACAAAAATATCCCGAATTTTGACCGAATTCGATAAAAATTGCCCAACTTTTCAATGTTTAAATTTTTGTGCACCCTCTAACTACCCCCCCCCCAACTTCGTACGCCTGTATTTATATAGGTGTTTTCATCGGTTCATCTGCAACTGTTTATTTAACTCCTATGCCTGTTTCTGTATAGAAGTTGTTTGAATTATGTGCATGCATTGTGCGTTATTTGAATTGAGATATCAAAATACTGAAGTTTTTTTATTCCTGTCGATGACAGTACTGCTAATCCATGCAGATTTTACCCAAAAGCGCACGGCACCTGGTTCCAGGTGTAGGTCTCGTAGCTCACGAATGTCTATATTTCCTGGGATGTGATTTACGCATACCGCTCAACTACCAAACATAATATTGATTAACCATGTCTTTCTAAATAAACATGATTTTATAGGTAAAATTAAGTTTCTAAATGTTATGACCAGAACCTATGCGCAGAACGGATTTTACCTCGCTGTGAACTAACACCAGTCGCAAACCTAATTAGCAAACCGGATAAACCATGCAATACTGTAGAACAATACTTCTACGGAATTTCCAACCAGAATGCCAACACGTGGACCAGTTTTATCATTATCAATGTCACAAGAAGATACTTATAACCTTATAGAGCTCCATTAGTTTGCCAAGATCGCTCTGTTTTTTATCGAAATTTGTTACACGAAGCACGCTCTACCATTTATGGAAGTGCTTTATGCTAGAGACAAATCATACGTCAAATGAGGGAGGTTCCTAGTTATTGCAAGTATATATTGCATTACTGACCGCAACCCCCTACACTATACAACACAGCCTGGGAACACAAATTACCCTGCGAACGAGGTTGTATTGGCGGTACAGACAAAATAATTGCCTCGTAGAAATTACAATAACGAAACAGGACTAAAGTCTGCTTTTCACTAGAGCACTGAGTAGAAAATTATGTTCAAGTGAAACCATTCAACATTGCCGACATCGGCTTCCGGCTTCGATAGCACTTAGGTTTTCCTATGTGCTATTATCCACCACCAAGTCTCAATATATTTTTCATCAATTCATCGTGTCTATAAATTTCCTGCTCTCATGCGCAAGATACTAGCAATTCGTAAATTGTGAAAATAAAATGCCCGGTTAAGGTTATAAGCGTCTTTCAGTGTTAAACTTCCAGTGCCAAAAGTGATATCATTCCTCTCTTAATTATAAGACAAGAGTGGTAAAAAAAATTGACATCGCATAAAATCCGCCCGCAAACCAAAAAAATGATCGGTATTTTTTTTATCTACCGCAAAACACATGTGACGTAAAATGACGTGGTTGTTTATTTGCAGTTTACGTCAGGGTGACGACAGTGTTGTTAAAGTTTGCAGTCAACTTCTGCAACCGAAAACTATGTATTTACATCCTATGACGATTCAAAATTATTCCTGATTACCAATTTGAGGGGAATTTGGTCAATGGTGTATAAATAACTCAGACTACAAAATAGACTAGGCCACGCAGGCATGGTCTAAACACCACGTTACTGAAATCAACCGAAAAAATAGTCCTATACAGTCGTATACAAAGCATTTGGCAGCAATCAATTTAAGGATGTTTACAAAGTGTTTCTTGTATTGCACAGGATGTAAAAAGAGAAGAATTATGTTTATATATATATATTATATAATCGTCACTCGTTGTAAATTTGGCTGCTCTACAAGCAGGGCTCATAAAAAATGCTACAACCCTATATAAATTGCCTGACAGCCATGCACTTGTACCGAACAGACTTTTCAGTTAATATACGTCGCAAAAAAAATCCGGCTCATTTTTTTTCAAATTAGAGCAACCTTAAGTGCAATGCAAAAGCGGCTTTCTGATTGGTTTCGAGCAGGTAGAGGTAATACTGAGCTTTTTTAAGTCCACCTTCTAGTCGGAATTCACCCGGTCAGTTTGGGATTTTCAAGATCTCCTCCGATTGGCAAAGTTGCTGGTCAAAATTCCTAAACATTGGCAATTTTCCGCAGAACGTGTATACTAACTCGTCTACGAAGGCCCTCAGGTCGAAACGTCGAGAAGTGTTTTGTCTGTTTTAGGCAGACAGTTGTTATTCCACATTTGATGCTAAATTGTTTGAGGACGCTGCCACGCAGCTACCTGGTTATATTGGAACTCATTCCACAATATATGTAGATTTTTGAACGCTTTTTCCCAAAATGTCATGAGATAAAGCTCGGAAATTTTGGAATTCCAGCCTCACTCGGTTCGTAAATCCCGGATACACCCCCCTGAAAGTATGTTTGTTATGAAATATCTTTGTTACAGCTTCCTTCAAAATTTATTGTTCAAAATAACAAACTCTTTCTCATTCATGTGTTTAAGAAGGATGTTTTGACTCTTTGGACTTGCCTCATTACTATCAACTCAGTGACGTAATCACAAGAAGGTCTATAACAGCTTCCCTATTTCCTGTTCCTGATATGAAAATTAAACTCCTGGGCACTTAAATCAGGTACTAGGGCTAAAACTGCAAACTTTGAAAACTGTTAGCAACTTTCATACAGCTTTTGTGAGTTTATATGCTTAGTAACTTAACGCTGAATTACTTGCGAATTCTATAAATATATAAGGTGATTTCAAGAGGTGCGAGTTTTGTCGTTACTTTGTTCGGTGTATATAATATGTTCTATAATAGTGTAAACTATATGGAATTTAAAATAACCAAGGTATTGTGGTTTGAATAGCTCTTGAGACTGAATTAAATACAATAACTAATTCTAACTTATTTAACCGTACAGTTTGTTGTATACGCGCCGTATTTGTTTTGAGATAGTGTATTGCATTCGTTGTTGGTGAATAAAACTTAAAAAGGTCTTCTTTTTCTCGCCCATTTAATGTGCAATGTTTTGCGTGCCAAATATATAATATTGCTCAAAAAGCTGCTGATTGAAATCTAATTTAAATTGGCGGCTAGGAGCCCTCCGCTGCGATATTCGCTCTGATTGTGCATTCAGCAATCTTCCAAATCCAGACATCGCAATCATCAACGACAATATCATGTAGTGGGCACTTGGGAAATGCATAACTGAACCAGATATCGATTAAGCATAAACGTCAATCCCTGACATCAGGATTTATTCAAGCTTTTTCATACATGCCAGCAAGCTTTCCATTCATTTTCAAGGTGAATAAATTGAATCGCAATAGAGGCATATATAGCATGTGCATTTGGTGGTATAAGAGCAGGCTTAAAAAGATTAATTTTGGATAAATAATGCTGTAAATAACTTAAGTAGCATATTCAAGCGTCCAAGAAATGCAGCGATAATAATTTCGCTTTCCGTTCTGCCTTTAGACCGACAGCAAATATTTGCAAATGACTTGTGTAAAAAATTTATTCCGTGTAAAATTTCGAAATTCCGTGTAAAAGTTGCACTCCATCCAAAGGGCCAAACTATTGAAATCCCCTCTGTCAAAATATGAATGCGGCACCTCATTATAAGTAATCCTTCGTGGGGTGAGGGGGAAGGAGGCATGAAGAAAATGGCCCTGAGTGATTGGTAATAAGGAGAGTGGGAATTGTATAGGGGTCTGGGGAGTCTCTATCAATGACCTAATTCCCCGTACTTTGGTGGATGATTACTGATGAATCTGTTCCGGCTGGGCGAAATTTGGTATGAGAATATCATTATCATTACTTTTTTTAAACATGGATACTTAGTTGCTAATATTTACGAGTATAATAAGAGTACCTTCATTGGGGAGACCGGCTTTAATCGCCCACCTCCGCTATACATGTTGAAAAAGGGCCTGTTTTAATGCTGAGAACACAAGTTGGACCAAAAAATCATTCTCGAATTCTACCTACTACGACATCAGCTATACCCTCATTCTCACGAGCAGTGTTCGATCCACAGGCCAACAACGCTCATTATGTTGGTTATGGCAATTATGTCGGTTTGCTATAGTCCCCCCCAAGAACCCTCTCTTCGCGCCTGCCGTCGGTAGCTTTAGACTTATGATGATGTTGTATGATGTTACGTTGATGTTCTTATTATATGATGTTGTACAGGGTGTCACAAATGAAAAGAAGTCGTCACTTTAACATGCCGTAACTCATTAAATATTAAGTCCAACGATTTAATTTTTAGATAGCAAGAAAGATGAGTTAATTATCTTTCTTTCAATCTTTTATGCCATAATGGCAGCAATGAAGAACCAAATAATTGTGTGTTAATAGTTGCAGGTCGAAAACTGCATTTTTTTATGCCGGGGAGTTTAATAAACAAAAATTTACTGGCGCATACACACATTAAACCTGATAATAAATTCAAATTTTCTTCGTGTTGCCTTATCTCGGCCAAGTTTTAGTTTAATAACCAAGGCCCTGTTTACACTGTGCAGGATTCGCATGGTCACGACAACGTCCAAGCGAGGTTTTCCCAAAAAAGCATGATAGCATGATTGCCATTTATTAAGACATGATCCGCCAAATGAAGAAGTTCTGGAGACAAAGATACCGTAAACAACATAAACTGATGTCGTGACCATCTGAATCCGGTAGTGTATAAACTAAGGCTATATCTGTACATGAGCGTCGTTTTCGAGCGTTTCGGTTTTTAAAATCGTTTTTGTCTATTAATGTTTAGATGCCTTGACCACGCGATCCAAGGAAAAATATGCATAAATCCGTATGTTAAATTAGCTTCAACCTCTATTGTAAATTAACCGGGCGGTGCCAGTTGAAACCGTTTTGGCATGAAAACGAATAGGAAAACGCTCGAAAACGTTACCGTGTGCGGACTAGCTAATTTTCATTTCAAAATTATTTGATCGTTTCTCGCTGTCTTTATACTGAAGGAAAGTATCATTGGAAACCTAAATAACTGCCCTAGCTTCCGTAACGCATAAGGATTAAATCATAAAATTCAATATATGCTTCATTTAGGTCTGTTAATTTCCATTTCGTTTTCTTAGACACCATATATATATATATAACAAATCACAGACGAATTGAAACTTAAGCAATCCTCACATGCACGCACTTAATCCCTCTGGTGTATGCATTGATATGTCTGCATGAATGCAGTATACCTAAATTTTAGCTTAGCCTAAGAAACAGGATCCATTGCATTGCATTGCTCTTCGCAAACAAGCCAAAAGGCCTTGTTTTATTTACCATAATGCACGCGGAAGTCCTAACAATTTTTTAAGCCCATGCATGGCTCTGCCTTGGTGTTATAGTCGTGTTTATGTTACGAGATTACCCTCCGCATGACCTGTACTATAGGCCTAGCTTCATTCTAATACTGAATTGTGAACGCAGTTAGCAGAGGTTGGAGAGAAAGTCAATACTTGACTTGATATACCGTGATAATCTTCATGGGCAAGCGAGTCTTAACCATGCAAGCTTGGCGACCAAGATTAATGAATAGCAAACTTGCGTAGGGTGAAATATTGTCAAATAAGGGAAACTATGGTCCATAGCTTCTTATAGGTATAAAAAATTTGCTAAATTCCGAGAGCTATATATCTCTACACAAATTACAATAATTTACTATAGCAAGATATGGCAAAATAAACAAGCACCCATGCATTGTCTAATTTGCTGTGCATGGAATACGTTCGTTAGAATAGACGGCTAAAAACTTTTGGAGAGTGGTTTAACAGCATTGAAGAAAAATTTTTCTCTGCCCATACAGTTCATATTTGTCAACAACTTTGAAAAAAATGGTGAAACTGAATCGTTTGTAACAATATTGTTCAATGTTGTTGACAACTGTGAACAAAATAAAACAGCACAACACTGTATATCAAAATTTCAACAACTGATCATTTTTACCAGTTTAAACAAAAAAGTACAGTGGAAATCGGTTTTTATTGCATTCATGCGCGTATAGACTTCACGCGCTGAAACAGATTTTCAGTCACGTAATGACTAGAATTAATCTCTTCCCACACGCGACTTAACACCTTTATTACTTTAAACAGATGCATGCATAACATTCCCTAACTACGTCTACGGTTTATAGAGATTAAGCACAATGCAGGCGACCCTATAAACCCAAGAATGAGCATGTGATGACACTATACTGTACATCAATATTGAAACGTTCATTTCCGATTATTTGAGCAAATAGATTTAACTCCGACGAGACTTTTACGCCATTATATTTTTCGTTATTGTAAGGTGATATTGTTACAATCAAGAAATATTTCGCTAATATATAACATCAGGTCGGACCAACCTATCATAGCTATATATCGTCAAATAGTACTAACGCAGGGTCAATTTTCTGATAATAATATACGCATCATGCTTTATGATATATATTCCAAGAATTATCGTGAAGTTCTATGGCGAGCTTAACGAAACATCACTGCATGGTGCTTAGCACAAGATTAGTACGTTCACACTTCGCCCTAAGGTCCTCGATTCCGATTTTCCGAGGTCATTTGGCATACAAATTACTGTCGATTTGTCCCCATTTATATGCGATTTCCCGTATCGTGGGTATATAAAATGTGAACCGAAATATATGCTAGCAAATATATCATGAAATTTTCTAAGATAAATTTTGAGAAGCAAAATATAGGAAATATATAGTAAATACTTGAACATTTTATCTTGGATACAATCGAAAAACATATATGGATGATGTAACATACCTTGTGTGTTGACATTCCAGGCCGTGTGAAGCACAAAGAATAAAATTAGCAAATTTCTAACAATCCAGCTCATTTTTGCGTGTTAAGTCTGACTATAGTTATAGTGCTTTCTCTATCGAAACGCAGGATACGACACGACACGACAATATTTATTTGTCGAAAACGCAAAACGATTGGTTTGGAGCACTTTAATTTGTACTTGAATTGCAGATCCGTATCTACCGTCACAATATATCCCAACCGTCATATATAAAACACTATTGACATAAATTCCTTTCTTGCGTCCTATATGAAGAGTACCCTGTCATTTAATGACGGTGATGCATGATGTAGGAAGCTGATCAAATATCCCACAAATTCGTTCCAAGTCACGCCCATCATCGATTATATAACGATGTTTGTATTTTGGTGATCTGTATTTGAAGTGAGATAATTGCTTATTTTTTTACGGCTTAGTTTATTTTGTACAGTTAAGGAAATCCCAGGCTGAAATGGGAATTTCGCAAGCAATACAAGAACCGTACTTTAAACTTTAGCGCTCGGTATTTTCAACAATGTCTGCATGGGTTCAATTTTCAGATCATGCTCTGGGATTGCTTGTTTGAACATCCATGTTTTCGCTAAAAAAAATTTGAGCGGGAACTAGCAGGAATATATGTGGTTTGCCGTAGGTCGCAAGAAAAGGATTTCTTTATTTCTTTCCTCTGTGCATATGGAGATATGGCTTCTACCTGGCCCCTATGGCTACTAAAATTTTACGATTTTATCATAATGCCATAATGATAAACAAATAATCATGCGATGTTCCTCGTACAATTCAGGGATTAATCGTAGTCCCGAATTGTACATTTGTACTCGCCATCTCATGAGCCCCCTTTAAACTACAGTGAATTTATTGGAACGGCAGGGGTAACATTGGTACCTGTACCCAATTTTAATAGTGTTATCCTTGCTCGGGCTACCAATACAAAGGCTCAGCACGGATAAATGGGCATTGATATACCTATTTTATATAGCCGTGCCGATAAACCAGGTGTAGTGTAAACGCGGCTATGATTACCAGCTCATCTTATACATATTACTCATCTTCAACACTGACCACCAAATTGAGACTATATCCTGCAGATATACCAAGGAATGAGAGTACGATTGCTTACATGTAGCCAGCGTCCAGATCTATAATTTCGGCCAAACAAATATATTATGAAATCAGCGATTTGTCTCGAAACCAATCCTCTGACGTCATGAAATTATAAGAAAAAGAGGAATGCAAACTATACTGGATTTATCGGCACGGCACGGCTAAAATTGGCACGTACCGAATTTTATTAGTGTTCAGGCTACCAAAACAAAGGCCGAGCATAGGTGAAATGGGCACGGGTACCCATTTTAGCCGTTCCGTGCCAATAAATCGAGCGTTAGGGTAAACGGGGCTTTGATTGCCTTATTAGAACATCTATAACCCATCCACTAGTTCACATCTACTAAAAAAAGGAAAATCCAATCGAAAATCTTAGCATTTTTTGATGTCATCATCTCATTTTGATGAGAAAGGGTGGATATAGTTAGTGATATTCAAATATAGCTACGATAACTTATACTGTACATGCATCAAAACATTTCATAACTATAACCTTTTCTACTATAACTTAAAAGTAGAAAATCGCATTGAAAATTGCAGCTTATTGAGCTTAAGTTGCAAGACTTATAGTGTAAACGGGCTTTAAATCGCCGCATATAGATAGAGCTCATAAAAGACCTTATAAACTGATCTCTACGGCAAACCGCTACGTCCTGGAAACGGTAAATTCTAAAAATTCATTTTTTGTCGACTATTTGTCGCAACAATCAGCTGTTATAGTTGACTAAAGAATACGATTTTACTTTTGCCGTTCGCCTGCATAGCATTCGTGGAATTACTTAGAGTTAAGCCGGAGGTAAGTGGTATTACTTACCCAGATAATCCCGGATATCTTAAAAAATGCATTATAAATGCTTGACATATTAATTTGTCAATGTATATAAAACGGTAATTTGATAAGATTATTGCCCAACAAATTACAAACCATCCCACCATATTCTGACTTTCTGACTAGGAAAGAAATCTGTAAGTAAATCTCTTAGAAATAAGAGAGTATAAGCTTTTAGAAAGATCTCAGATCCTTCTCATCATCGCGACTCTAACATATTTCACTGCTCAATTCCCCCTATAAGTACAACAATAACGCCAATCTTTAAACATTTTGAGAGATTGAGCTTCTTGTCAAACTATATGTATATTCTTTGTTTTTTTAACTTGTTGATACACGCGTTACTATATATATCTTGAACATGATTATACATCTTGTAACCACAGGAGCAGCGTCGCAGCGTTTTCTAACAACATCGCGACAAATGCGGATTAACCACTCCCCAAAACAAACAAAACACTCCTCGACGTTTCTAGCCAAGTGTCTTCGTGAGGACTATATATCTCATGACTAAGGCTCTTAGGTCGAAACAACGAATGGTGGCTTATATAATATTCTTATATAATATTCTTGTAATTTTGCAGGGTGATATCACAATATATAGAGATTAGCTTGTATATACGTACACCACGTAAGTAATTCATATGCAATTATATTAAATACTGACTTACCTGGTGTACCTACAAGCTTATTTATACTGCATGTAGCTCTTTTTTTTAATTATTTCTTGTTTTTTTTCTATAGGAAACTGTAACACCACATTTAATACGAAGTTATCAGTATTAAACAACTTGTTTACATCCACTTTCTTAATTAAGCTTGTTTAAACTGGATTTAAAACCAGTTTAAAACCATTAACATTTCGCAACAAAACTGTCCGATTGATATGTTCTTTTCAGCCATTTATCTCAGAACCGATGGCGGAATTGCCATTGAGCCTGATGGCCCTTTAATATTGTGAGAAAACATTACTTATTATAGAGATTCATTACATCTTTTTTGCGTATTATTTTCAGGGCAAATATCAGTGGCGTATGCAGCATCAATAATTGGGGGGCGGGCATATTCATATACTCATGTTAACAGACTGTAAAGACAATTAATTTGAAAAGAAATGAATCCTGCGTATCACGAATATATGAATACGCCCCCCTCGCCAATTATCGTGCTGGCTACGCCACTGGCAAAGATATTCTTGATTTCACAATAATTGAACGCACATCAAGTTCAAGTAGCTATTTATTTTAGGTTTTTAAAGTTTTTTATAAATTTATTGCCAGAACAGTATGCTAAATGCCATCGCTACACAACATGCCGCAACATATGGGCTTTTTCTTTCACCTACAAGAAAAGTTTAAGACTTTAGCAAACGGCCCCCGCTTCACCATTATTAGGTAAGTTGTAACTAGAAGTAACACCCTGGGTGGGCAGGTGTCCTAGCAGATAGTGTACCCCCCGCAGAAAATGTCTCCCCTATATTATTGCTAGTCAACTTTTTATTTCGTTATAACTGTATAGTTTAAATTGTATACTATGCGAAATATTTTATACAGAAAATATTTTTCACAAATACTAACTTTTTTTTGGACTATCACGTGGTCCGGGGGGACACTATCCGCGGGGGGGGGACCCATCCGCTGTAACACCGGAACATCTGATGTCACAACTGCCAAGAAGTAACTTGGCAAAAAGATCATCTATAAGCCGGGTATTCTGCGTTTGCTTTGCGTCTACTTGTGCCGCGGGTCCGCCTTCCCTCCGCTCTGCGTCTACGGCCGCCGGCAGCTAAGTCATAAGGGAGCTTTAGCAGTGACTACGAGTACAACTACAAGTACGAGAGTGTCAAGACTTTCTATTCGCGTGTTGTTTCCTTATGCCTGGTTTCCATTTAATCGTGGACATGTCAATGTGGTTGATGTGATACAGGTGCGCTCAAAAGGTATTGGACACGTAGTTTTTTTATTTTTTTTTTGTCTGGTGAGGATTTGGTCGGATAATAACAACTTATTTTAACACAGAATTTCAAAAGTCTATGCTCTGATACCACATTTACGAGCTACATACTATATAGCCTTGTTCATTTATGCAAATTACATGCAAATGCGCCGATACGTTCTGGCCATCTGTTTTTTTGTGAATGAAATGTGTTCTTAAGGGTTGTGGCTTACAAAATCGACTCATCCCTATGCAGAATTAGAAATGACGAGTGGGAAATGTCTGGATATATGCGAAAATGCCAATAGCATTACAGTCCCACAAGTATAACGTGGATTCATTCATATATATATCCACGAGTCTGAGCTTCCTCATCCATGCAAAGTTTCATGATCTTAGAATGGGACGTGATAAGAAAACTAAGAAGATTGGTGGAAGACGTTTGAAAGACGAAACCAAGTGGCGTGCTATTCTTCTCAAGAAGAAAGGAAAGTTGAGCAACCGACAGATTGCTGCGTGCTGCAAGGTCAGTCCTTCAACTGTAACAAGCCTTTTGGAGAAGTACAACGAGACTGGTAGCCTAAATGAGCGTAATGATCGACGAACTGGAGCACCAAGAAAGACCACCCCAAGACAAGATCGAGCACTCGTGCGTGCTGTTATTAAATAAGTTGTTATTATCCGACCAAATCCTCACCAGACAAAGAAATAATCAAAAAGCTACGTGTCCAATAACTTTTGGGCGCACCTGTACAGTGATAGAATATTTCTGTTGTGCAGTCAACAATGACCGATTTAAGGCAGAAATAAAGAAAAATTTACAAGTGGACAGTCTGGAGCATTTCTCATCGGTGAAAACGACTTGTTCACGACAATTACGACTAAATGGAAACCAGGCTATACAATATCAGCAAAAACTTGCAGTCGTGGAGCTTTTGAGTACCGACGATTTTTAACCGATTTAGTTAGCCAGGAGAAGAAGCGGACAGTGGACGCAGCCTGCAGGTACAGTTATACTTAACATTACCCGCGCGAAGTTACAGCAGTTTCACGTGATACGCGATATTGGGGCTAGAGCAGTGAACTGTAATAAATATTTATTACAGTGACTGTAGTCACGTTATTTAATACTTATTTTCTTTTCGTTAGTACAGTCACGTTATTTTCATTTCACTGGGCTAGAGTCATCATTATTACCATCATTTTTCAACAGAAATGAGAACTGCACGAGTTGAAAAATTTGGTAAAATTATTAGCTATTTGCAACAAGAATAAATCTTGATAATACTAAAGCGTTGTCCAATACTCACCAATTCTTGCCATTTTCCAAAATATTCCAAGAACACTAAAGGTATAAACAATAATATTGTTATTCTTATAACACAAAAAGCATTTTTTTGAGCAATATAATTACGATTCATTTAAACGGCATTTTTTGTCTTTATGGTCTATAGTCTGTCTCAATGATTACATCACATACAGGCACAAAAAAACTGGGATTAACTGTGATAGGATCATAGAAAAGTTACAATAAAGCAATTAAGCAACAGAAAAAGCAGGCTCAATAACAGCATAACACAAATACCGCAGAGCCTTATTTTCAATCCATCCATTCTCTGAGTTAGAAAAACAAAATAAGTGCTCTGCTAGCTTGCATAAAATTAATGCTGTCTACATTCTTCTTTAAAAAGGTAAGTTCAACTATTATGAGAACCTTTAAGACAGATTCATTTAACAGGTTTTCCATGGATCAAATGTGGCATGAAAACTGTTGTTTCACATTTAATTGCAATTTCTTAAAAGAGGCTAACATGATGCTTCTTGGTTATATTAGAACATAGATTTCATCAAGGCTGGATTTTTTATAGAGAAATAGTTGACATTTTAGTTGACAAATAGTATAATCAACATTTAAAGACAACTTTTGAAATATTATTATTGTGAGATCTGAGATTCTTTTATAAACTAATCGAGAAACACTAATTGTTGTAAACTACATAATTAATGGCAGGTTCCCCATTAGCAGGTAATACTTTGTGATGGTAGTAATTTAAAATATTTTGGGCATTACAATAATAAACCCATAATCAGTAGCTAGGGCATACTTTAAATTCATTATTGCTACACCATGTAAACAATATACTGCATATGCCCAGGAAATATTCATGCCTGCTGTTAAAATTCGTAGAGATGCTGTCCTGTGGTAAGCTGATAAATTTTTTTTCACACTTTTGGCCAGTTTGAGGCCTGTTCATATGGTATAGTCTTACACAGGAAGGCCATTGCATATCTATACAGCCACTATAGTGCTTGACATTGAGTTTTGCACAGAAAATTAACTTTACACATGCAAAAGGGAAGTCAAGGAGAGCAGGCATGCAGGGGTCCTAGGGCACACACTCCATTTCCTTGGCAACTAATCTCTAAATTGCAGCTGAATGCAACCTTTATATATCAACATTCATGCTTTTAAAAAGCACCTAGGTACGAGGCAGTCAGTGAAAAGTCATTCTACTCTCATGAGTTGATATTACAGCTAGGCGAAGCATTGTCTGCATTTATGTACTTAGTTTTATACTTATACTCAAATGCAAAATAGAGTTGGGTATAAACACAATATAAACACTGGAATTGTTTTCTATCTATATTTTGTCATGACTATTAAGATGAGAAAACCCTAAGAAAGATTAGTGAGAAGTATTAGCGCCTTGGGCATATCGTTCTTGGTCCAAATCGAGACTTGAATAAGTGAAAAATGTTAGCAAACTGCAATGACAAGAATTTTTTAGGAAATATCTAGATTTGATTAAATGTTTCTGACTTTGACCCGAAACATTTAAAATTCCTGGATCTTTTTTCATAACAGTGGTCTCTCCATGATTGGCCAAACAAGGAGACATTGTGGAATCATTAGGAATCATAAATGAATGTTACAAAACCTTGCCTAGTCATCTACGCTCCACGAAAGGTCAACAATTGGCTAGATTAGAATAATCATCATACCTACCCAGTTTTATTTTTGTCTAGAATTGCTGGTGCGAAGCCACGAATGTACGTACAAGCGCAAATCAAGAGCAATATGACAGCCAACAAGCTTTGAAAATTAAACAGTGCTGACTATAAAAAAATATATAGAAAATCACATCATCATATTGACCCAAATAGAAAAAAGTAACAAATTCGTAATTACCATGTTGCAAAACGTTGTATGAAATACAAATTATTACAAGTCCCCTCCACTTTCTTTGAAAATATGTCTCATTTTTACAGCCACAATGTCACATTGACACATCACACATCACCTTGTTCTTTGCCGCCCGCGATGTATATCATGTCAGCGGACTTCATGCGACACTTTGTGTCTTTACAATATAAACTGATGCACACTGCACAGCCAGATTCCTGAGAGTAGCCCCCGAATCAAACTGATCCTTTAAATTCGTTTACTTTTCACTGATTGTCTCAGAATTTTGGTGAGTATTCCTCTCTTTTGCTTGCAAATCCAAATGTAATCGTTGCCCATATTAGCTGCGTAAGAAATACTGTGGTGCTAATGGTAAGTTATGGGTGGACCGTGGACAATTTTTAGATTGATGGTTGATTGGGTTGATTGGTTTTCAGTGTATGAAGTTGTATGTAGTTTAAAGAACTACAAAATAGACTCAAACGCACCATCTCAAATGCATGTAGTTCTAAATTTGCCTACTCTCCCAGCCAAATGAGCACCAGCGTGTATAACACAAATTACTTCATGTCTGCCCTTTTAATAACTAACCTCATCATCAGTGTTTGATGATGAGTTCACCAGATGAAGCAGTTTTGTTTCATGGAGGATGTCACTGTGGCAAAGTACGTTATCAAGTGTCAACTGCACCTGTTGTTGATGTCTATAACTGCAGGTATACCTATTTCTCTCTATATACTGTTACTCTATATTATATATATATATATATATATATATATATATATATATATATATATATATATATCAAAATTTAGAAAGGTTGTTATAGCAAATCAAGAGTGCACAAGCCGAAGCGTATATATATATATATATATATATATATATATATATATATATATATATATATATACATATAAATATATATATATATAAATATATATATATATATATATATATATATATATATATATATATTATATATATATATATATATATATATATATATATATATATATATATATATATATGTATAACATGTTCACTCATAGACACATAATCACCCATGCACAGTACACAGTAATTTCTTCTTGGAAAATGCTAATATTTCGGCAAATAGCCATGTAAAAAGGTTTCATGATTTCAGTTAATTTTTTTGCTTTAAATTACAGTAATGCAAGTAGGCTGATCGATGCACTGATATCTTAATTATGCAGCCATTACCCCATGACATGAATGAATCGAGGCCAGAGATATCTGATTTTTGTGGGCAAAATACATCCTGGCCTTCAGGATAATTTAGAGCTTTATAATGTGAAGATCATCCTGAAAGTGATTATCATCATTCATCATTGCTGTTTATTTTGCAAATCAATGATGAATGAATTGTATTCAATTTAATTCAATTATGATTTTTGGCAATTCACTAGATGCAGGTAAATTCTAGAGGTTGAAAGGCTCTTAATTTCGAGTGGAATTATGCACGCTTCAAATTCGAGCCAGGTACAATTGATGGAAAAATGAGTCAACTATAGATAGGTCTTCCAGCAGCAATAGCATTTCACCGGCATCCCAAAAGCGTAGGTTTGATTCCTCCCAGAGGATCTTTAGTTGGCTCATTTTTCCATCAACTGTTCCTGGCTTGAATTTGAAGTGTGTATAATTCCACTCGAAATTAAGACCCTTTTAACCTCTTCAATGTAATTCAGTTATATCTACTGGTCATCTGTGTGTGCATTTAACTGCGCCTTTTCTTTCTGGTAATACCCTGCATACCTGCAGCTTCTTTGCAACACCTAGTCAAATGAGCTGTGCCATGGCACCAGAGGTATTAAGGGTACTGCCCTTCCCCTAAAATGCTGGAGACTGGATATGAATTTGTGGAGCTTCTAATTTGTGTTGTTGCTAAACTAAACCGATACTTTTTATTGGTTAATTTAGCAACAATAATTTATTACTTGTGTTGTTGCTAAACTGAGACTATTTTATCAAGTCCAGTATTTACAAAAATCTAGTTCATTGAAATATTTGTTCCTATAGTTGTAGCATCTGCAGAAAAAAACAGAACCAGCATTTTATTGTTCCAGATGCTTCATTTAAACTCCTTCAGGTAAGTGTTCATACTATAACATGCATTCAATTCATTTAATTGACTTTAATCCTGAAAAAGAAACAATTTGATAAATGATGTGTAGAATTCAAGTTTTTTGAAGCTAACTTACGTAGTTAATGCAATTATATTTTATTGAACTCTGATCAAAATTGAAATAGTGACAGAATATCCAACACTAAATTAGGCAAATAAAGCAGAAATTAGGCAATTTAAATGATTAAATATACACAATTAAAATGAAAAATTTACATCATTTATTATCAAACTTTTTTCCACTGCCATAGAGCACAGAATTCTAGAGTTGTTAAAATCTTAACAATTTTTTCCTAGGGTGAAGACAACCTGACTTGCTACACGTTTAACCAGCACATAGCAAAACATTTGTTTTGCAAAACATGTGGTGTCCAAAGTTTTTACAAACCTCGGTCGAACCCAAACGGCTACGGAATAATGCCACATTGTATTGATGAAGATGGCCCTGTCTTGAAGACAAATGTGAAATATTTTGACGGAAAAAATTGGGAAGAGGCAATCGTTGACAACAATGAAATACTTTCCAAGTCAGAACCGACGTCGATCAACGACTAACTTGACTCAAACTAATTTACGTAAACGATCAATTTAACCCTCAAAGATAAAAGGGTATTAACAACCCCCCCTTGCCATTGGGGTCGGAAACTGCAAAAGTCATTTGAAGAGAACCGTCATTTAGTTGTACGTCAAAAAGCAATGTTTAGAGAATGGGCTGTTTTAAGAAACTTCTCGTCTTCTCGATCCATTCGCAAGTCGATACATCAATAATTATCCACCCACCGCATGCATAGGGAACATGACGAACAAAGCTTTGGTATGACAAAGAGTAAGCAATAGATGCAAAGTTACAACTACGTGGCGTTTACTAATTAAATATGCGGGGTTTTTGTAGCCGCTTTTTTAGTGCGCATTAGCTAAAAGTGACCAACGCGAATTTTCATGTACCTATTGTACCGAACCGAACGCAAATGAACTTAAAAGGAGACTTCAGCTCATTACATTCGCGCATGAAAAGTTGGACAATATGAAATAGGCCAAATATGATATTTCTCAAGGCGATTTTCCGTAATACCATGCAGCGCAAAATCGGTGAACATTTCACAATTTTCAAACGCTTCGGACGATGGTAAATAGCCGTCGAGTTTATCACCTATTATTTCTTGAATAATGTAATGAACAAAGAAGAAATCCAACGCTAAAGAGTAAAGTTGATCAAATTCATAGTTGTTTATTACGTTTGAATCAATACAAATGGTGCACGGTGGTTTCTCGTTTATAATATAGTTTGTGATGTGTTGAAATGTGAGTCTTCTTATATGGAGAGAGTTCATTAATGTGATGTTCTAAATTCTAACTACATTTTGATAAAATTTATCGTAAATTTGATACCAGAATAGTGTCTGTCCAAGGTGAAGTGTTCGCTACTGTTTAGGGAGATATTTATCCTCGGCTTGAGTAAGTTCGTCGTCACCCTGCAGACGGAATATCTCCTTCACTGTCGCAATCTATATAATAAAGAGATATAATGACTAAAAAACACAAACGTTTAATCGGAGAAAACGAAAAAAATGGGGTAAAATTTTCTAATGCAAGATTTTCTACTATAGAAAAAGGGTCCAGGTGACTTTAACTTTGTGGTTCCTTCCTCGGAACAAAAATATATTTCCGAATGAAATTTGAAAAGATTCCAGTGCGCATGCAGTTAGCAAAAATTTTCCGGTTTGTAAATTAATGCAGCTATAATCAGGTCTTCCTGCGAAAATAAATCGCTAGTGGAAGGCAGGCTTTAAACCTTCAAACAAGGTCGTGGAACTAAATCTGACTGAAAGTTCTAGCTGGAGTTTTAGTTGAACAATATGGGGTCATGCTAATATTAACTAAAACTCCTTTCGTTCCCAATTTTCACTTGCTTCCTTCCTGGATTTTTACCTTATCTTCAACGTTAACGAGTGACTGATCTTGGTATATTTGTTGTGTAGTTTGCTTTATGGCGGCAACCGAGGCTCTCATATTGTGATTGGCCCAAATTATCATCGAAATACCAAGATCTCTGAAATGATCTGTGGGAACTTTGTAGTATTTCGTTGGAACAATGATCACTGGCCCCTGAATCAAAAGAAATTCGTTATAACTCGAAAACAATGAACAATTACAATGGATAATATGATGTATAAAATAAACTACGGTACAATTTAAATTCAAAGTACCTGAATAACGATAACTATTGGTTCTGAATTTTTAAACAATGTTCAACCTCAAATTTACCAATCGATTTACTTTGAAGATTTTTTAGTGTTATAATCTATCTTAACCCTAAATCCGCAAATGCTCTTAATTACCTTGCCGTATTATACTAATAGCCTATAACAGGACACCTTTTAATATTGAATCAACAAACTATTTTTTACCTATTCAGTAGTCACAGAACGTAACGTAAGAACATAACGTTACAAAGAACATAACGTTACAAAGAACATAACCTCAATATGTCTAATAGAAATTTTACCATGATTATGGCTGAAATATTAGGACGCATAGTAGGAAACCTGAGGCTCTGCAAAGTTTTCGGTATATGCATGTATAAAATTTTATACTATTCTGCATGTTCTTTTCATATCGAAGGATTTTTTCGCGTCTATTCATAGAACATGACAGTGGTAGATGTATATATACGGATTTCTGAACACGAAGCAGCGCTGCGTTCTTTGCATAATGGTAGTGAGTTTAAGGGGCACCAAATTATGACACCGACGTGAAGTATGTAATATTACTCTAATTTCCACAGTTTCCAAACGGGGATGGAAATTATAGACACAATAGGAAATTTTTGATAAACAAAGTCAGAGGCATACTGTATATAACAAAGTAATATACTGGTTTCCTAACACTAGTAGCAGTTTTCATGTAACGTCCGCGTCGTATAGATTTGGTGCATCTTAAACTCGCTAAATAAATATGCTTAAATATAGGGTTTATATCTGGTCCTCACTGTGGGCTTATCGCGATAAAAGCGATGACGTTTTATTGTCGTCGCAATATCGCAAATGGGAACGTGATTAATCATCGTATTAAACATCGAAACTATTCACGATAAGTAATTACGTTCTAATCCCGATAAAGTGCTTGGCACGTGACGATTGCATGCGATTATTCCACTGACGTCATTTTTATCGCGATAATCGCAATTACTTATCGTGATTTTTCGAGGTTTAACACGATAATTAAACATGCTTCCATAGGCGATTATCGCGATAACAGTTACTGTCATGGCTTTTATCGCGATAAGCCCGTAGTGAGAACCAGGATTTACGATCTACCACACCGTTAGCTCGACGACGCTATAGTCAAATATTTTGCTTGAAATAAGTAACGGGAAATTAATCATGCTGTGAAATAATGACGCAAACGTTTTATTTGTGCTAAGAACCCCCGATGTCTGGATAACAATTAACAACGTAGTTTCATCACAGGCAGCCCAGTCAACGCAGGTAGATTACCGCATACCATCTATACATAAGCTAAGGTAGTATACGGTGCACGCATTGACCGGGCTGCCTATGGTTTCATATATGCTATTAAACAGCTACCACGCGTTGCCGCTGCTTCTATGTCATCAAGAGGCCGTGAAAACGACTCGTTTGAAGGCGCCGTAAGAATGGCAACGCTGTCATGGGCCACATGGGCTGACCACAAGTTACGCATAGCTTTTGTCTAGCGTGTGGAGTTTCTTTGTTTTGCAAGCGCGTCGTTATTCGCTAAGCTGGCCGCATCGTGAACGTAATCTCCCTAATAAACGCCAATATTCGTTCTTTGATGGTACGAATTTATTGAAGGTATTCCCCCCCCCCCTCTCTCTGAGAAATGAACTTGTCTCATGCAGTGCGTGGATAGGCGAACCTCCATGTGCACAGTATATATATATATATATATATATATATATATATATATATATAATTATATATATATATATATATATATATATATATATATATATATATACTTTATACGCACCTGGTTTTTCCATGCGTTCATGAAAGCCTCAATGTCTGACGGGTCAGATTTCTTGCTATGCATAAGAATAGCATCAGCTCCTGCGTTTCTATACGCTTCTGCCCTCCTTAGAGCTTCATCGAGGTCCCAGCCAGCTATGAATGCCTCAACACGAGCTGCTACCACAAAGTCAGGATCTTCCTGGGTCTCTATGAAAACACATAAAGACAAGCGTTAACAGATGAAAGGCACTAAATAGAGACAAGCAAAGAGCAGCCATGCGGAAATGGGTGAACGCACGGTCTTATCGTGTAAGAGCTGCATTCCTCTGTCGCGTTTTTTGCACGTGGCTACGTACACACGCGTGAAAGCTTAAAACCTGATAATTTGTTATATAATTAATTCTATAACAGAAAAACACATGCACCAAATCATCAGCAGACGGAAAACGACGCGAAATTTGAGTTTTCGGAAGCATATAAGTTAAATTCTGGAAACAAATTTTAGAATATGGACAACAGAGAAGTCAGAATGTATTACCGTAAAGTAATCTGCAAGACGTAATATGATAGTTTAAAATTTATTTGCTCTTAGGAAATAAAAAACGTCGAAAATTCGCGCCGCGTTGCCAAATCGCGACTATCTGTGTGGGTCTACGTCTAGCCCCGTTTCCACTACACTCTTTAATTTATCGGCACGGCATGCACGGCTAAAATAGGTACCAGTGCCCTTTTATTTGCGACCGGCCTTTGAATTGATAGCCCGAAGACTAATAAAATTCGGTAAGCGTATACCCATTTTAGCCGTGCCGTGCCAATAAACTGCTTTCCACTGTCGCGTTTTTTATACGCACGTAAAAGTCTAAATCCTCATATACTGATATGTCATATTAGAAAAAGCTAGGTAAATAAATCGACAGGACTTAATTTTCCGGAAATTTTAGTATGTATTTGTTGACCCATGTGATAAATAATAAAAATTTAGAAGCATTTAAAATTGAGTAAATTAGCTTGTAGGTTATTCAAAAATTTCCGCGTGTAAAAAACGTGCAAGTGGAAAGCATCCCTTAAGGCTGTTTTCCACTTACGCGTTTTTCATACGCACGTACACGCACGTAAAAATCTAAATTCTTATACATGTTACCTTTGAAAAAACTAAGTGAATAAATCGAAGGAACTTAGTTTTCTGCATATTTTAGTATGCATTAGTTGACCTAGATGTTACATAATAAAAATTTAAAAGCATTTAAAATTTTCCGTACGTGTACGTGCGTATAAAAAACGTGTAAGTGGAAAGCAGCCTTTATAGTGAGGGGCGCTTTTACCAATACACTGAATACAGTCAGAGACTGCAAACAATAACTTAGAAACTGACTGAAATTGATACCTGACTGTATTACTAATACAGTGGGTGAAATTGTTAAATAATTCTTCCCCCTAAATTCTCACCACCTCAACGGTATACTCTCAGTGAACTAAAAAGGTTGTGTTGTTTGTTAACTAGGGAGTTTTGAAGACGTTTGGACTGTCTGACTGTCGGAAATCTCAGTGAAATTTGGATTTTCCCCTCTTCGATTCTGCGGACAAAATTTACTTCCCTTACTGATATATATATTTTTATTATATTATTTGGGCCACAGGCAATAGTCTCTTGACTACATACCTTTACAAGCTTTAATTTTCAGCGAGAATTCTTCAATATCCGCGAGAGGTTGGGCACGACCATCAAGTAATGAATTGGTCTTAGGAAATAATTTATCCTCCATACAAGCGCCAGCGATACCACGTTGTTCCAGCTTAGTTATCAGTCTCCTGGCGTTGTTAAAATTCCCGTATCCAGTGTCAGCGTCGAGCAGTATGGGTACGTCCGTCGCGTCACTCATGAATTCCAGAACATCAACGACCTGTGTCCAGGATGCCTCGTTGCTGTCACGAACACCAAGTTGTGCGGAAATTGACAAACCGCTGCCCCAAATGCCCTTGAATCCTGGGGACAAATAGAATCAGGCGTTAATAATCGTTTATTGTATGGCTTTTCAAAATCCTCTATTCCGATTGGTTCAGGAGCGGTCCGTAGAACCCATATCCGAACCGTGGTCCGTACTCCGTATATTCCGTATCTGGTCTGTACTGTGAAGTATCAGACAGAGGTTTTTTGCAAAGAAGCCTCGGTCTGATATTTCACAGTACAGACCTCCCTCGGTCAATAATCAGTTATTATTTGGCGATATCGAACAAAGTATCGTGATTTGTCGGTGGCGAGCAGACGAATTGTTTCAAGATCGTCTTGCTTCGAAATATTGGCGAGAATGAAGCACCGAAGGTCTTACTAACTCTAAACACTGCCCGAGAGTAGATTGCCCGGGAAAATAAAAATTATCGCCGAGAGCTGCCTCTTAATAAATCATAAAATATTATCAATGCTAGAATTAAAAGTGATTCTGTGTTACACGAAGGCGAGGAATTGATACGGAAAGCATCAAAACCAGGCGTCGAATGCCAATTTCATTCAGTTCAAACAGTTGAGTTGAACCATATTCATAGCGTAGTGAACGAATCACTGCGACTATAAAAGTGATCGAGAAATATTGAATACTGAATTGTTGACGGACTATTTACGCTGGAAATATATCAATATCATCATTCTCATAGCGTTTTCAGCATGTATGTAGCTTTATGTAAATCAACTTCACTCGTCTTTAGATACTGAATCAACTAATGCCAGTAACGGACGGTCAACTTTGAATCCTCGCTAGAATTATTGCACCCATGGTACCCATCACGTCCATGCATATACAACTATTTTGACGTCACCGTTCACGTACCTGCTTCCTGCACAATCTTTGCACTCAGACCATTATGAGCCTCCATGATAAATTCTAAATCAGGGGATTCTAACATCCTTTTTAGTTGCGTCGTTTTCTAGAAGACAAATAAGTATGAGTACGAGGTGAATGACTGTCTGAGGGTGTCATTATTTAATTCGTTCTTCATACATATAGACGTGGCAATCTGGGCGTTTCAAAGTTAGAGATAAAAAAGCTTTTGGTCGATCTCACAGGGAAATATAAGTTATCCAAGCCTAGGGCCTAGGGGAAAAGGGTGAATACCATAAGCAAATAGATTCATTAGAAGCATTAGTGATTATAGATGACAGATGTAGAGATTGTGGATATCTTATCATTCTTATATCAGCTCACACTAGACTGTTTCATATTAAAACCACTAGAACAGACCGGCTTTTTAAAACTGAATAAGGCAGAAAATCATAACACCACTTAAAATGATGATGAAAAAGATATGGCAAACTGAAGTGAAGTGACATCCTTTGTTAGATATCAGACTATTTTAACATTTAAATTTATTGCATTTTATGTTTTTTGCTAATCCAAGAGCTATGTCGATTGGTCAATTTATTTACCTACATACTTGTTCACTTCCATGCTTTGACCATGTGGTATTTAATCATCACTGTCATGCAATATTGCTGTACAACTTGCTGAATTAGAAAATTGTAACTGAAAAGTGGTATACTGCTTAAAGTAAATGATTGGATTCTTTAATACTAGCAATAAATTATACCCTAAACTGGAGCATTTATCATTTATGGGGGAAATTTCCATTCTTAAAATGACTTTTGATGACTAATGATTAATAACTCATCATTAACTGGCAGTACTCTTCTACTTCTGAGCAAAATTGTCTGGCATTAAAGGCAAAAGTACTAAAATAGGGCAAATCTGGGCCGGTGCATTGCCATTGTAACCTAATTAATTAAAAAGCAGTGCTGACAGACAGTTTTGTTAACTCACCAACTGACAATGCCATGATGAGTAAAATCATGTGGCATATAAAATACTAAAGTAGGGCACATAAGGGTGGATTGCAAGCTTGAATTAAATGAACAAAAAATTGCAGCATTGTGTGCATGACAACAATGGAATGTATACTTGGTAAAATGGATTAGATTGCAATTCCTACCGGAACCTTTTCCTTTGATGCTCCATTGGAAAGAAACCGAGCTGGAGTCACTAAAATGTGATGAAAAAGACATTCAAAATATTAACACTAAACAATAAATACCTGTACTCTGTGTAAAGACCTCCAAACTTTTAAATGACAATGAAAGTTAGAGCATATATAACCTGATGTCTTTACTTGCAGAGCTTACGACTAACTTTGAACAACTTATCTAGTACAAATGCACCTTGCCCAGACCTATCGCAAGGTAACCCAGACATTTCAGGTGAATTAACCTTGCAAAATATTTTTACACAGCAAAAATTAAGTTCATATTCAGGACAGGCCTTTTAAAGCCGTCAGTGTAAACACAGCTATGGAACTGGATTGTGAAATATGGTAAATCCTTTTGAAATGCTGGACTATTTTATGTTTACTCATGCAGTCGCCTGTATATCTGTTAATTATATAGCAGCTTATATGAAGCAGGAGACAGCAGATTCCTGTTGTAGCCAATTAAGGGTCAGCCATCTGAATTAGCAGCCACAAAAAGTCAAAAACGTGACAAAAATAGGATAACAGTGCCGTGTTTCTCCTCACAAACATTTTTTAATAAATTGAGGACAAAAACTTGTTAAGCCTTAACAGGAGTTGATAACAACCATGTCTGGAATGTCAGTAAGGTGGTGCAGCACAACATTCTCTAGTCCTGTTTTCAATTTTAATCAAATGGAACAACTTGTGTATTCTAACCCATGAATTGTATTAGTTTATAAGTACATTAATTGCTATATCATGGCTATATAATCTTTACTGGTCAACTTATATATTCTTTTGCTTGCTGGACATTGTATATATTACTGATAATTGTATATATCAATGAGGTTTTAGGTAATTTGGCAATTGGCACAAGCAATTAGTCTCTAAGAGGAAAAGCACTAGCCCAATCAAAGACGTGAAAAGTTTAAAAAAAAACTTAGGAATAACAATTCTGGGAATCTGAACTTCAAAATATATTTTAGGGGGTAAATTGCCCCCAAACCAGAGCAGGCAATTGCTAAGGAGTTATGACAAGGTTCAAACTCAATTAATTTTATCAGCCCACGATGAAAACCATTGCACAATGATCAAGAGTAAGAAAGCTAGAGCTAGATTAGCGTACTAGCAGTCTAGCACAGTGCAACGGAATCTAACACAACATCACACAACATCAATAATACAACATTGTGGCAATTTATGTTACAACACTTGCATACATTTATAAATCCTACATTCATACTGCCGCCGATACAAAAGAAATATACGTACAAAATGTATCAATTACTGATAGCTGCCAATAAAGGCACCAAATGCATTTAATATTTAGGGCAGGCTCGCATATTCGGACACAATCAAACTTTACCTCTCGACGTTTTTAAAATGATGTTCCTGTTTTGCCACAAAACATTGCGTAAACTTGTTCCTAACATATTTCTTTTTTTGCAGTAAATTTGTGCGAGAAAGCAGGACGCCAACGATAAACTGTCAACGTGTAGCGCATCTGCAAACAAAAGACCTCAGCAGTGAACTTTGTGACCGCCTGACCGGTCAAAATTTCCCCTTTGAATTTGTAGTGTTTCCATACGCGTGTCATAGAACTACCCCTAGGGGAAAAGTATGCTGCCTTTATTCAATGGTGCAGCAAAAATATTATATTGGTACTTGGTAGATGTACCATTTCATTCGGCCGAAGAAAGATTTGAATACTGTGAAATTACAGCAAAATTATGGATTTGCATAAAGTGTAAATAAGAAATTGGAAATAGAAATCGTGCTAAACCAAGATATACCTATGCTTAAATTAGCAGTAATCAGCATTGTTGTAAAGTTACTAAAGTAGTAATTTCCACATAATTATACCATCCAAGGGAATCAATCCTGGGTATTGGCCATTTCCCCCTAATTGTATAAGTTACCTTTCGAATCGAACGTTTCGAACTTTTCTCGTTGTATTTTTATTATACAATTTAACATAGTCAACATGTCTCTTGAGTTACATTACAACATAAAATTGATATGAATTCTACAAGACTGACTCATAAACACTTGGGAAATATAATACGTACGGTAGAAAGGCGTTATTAGCACGGACTGGGGTGACTGGACACAGAAAATTAGATATTAGGAGTTATATTTACAATTTTCGATAACTAATATGAACAATTTATTAAAGAGTACAAGAGGACCCTTAGTCAGCAAGTCGCTGGTTACTATTTACAGGTTTAGAATGGTGCGTTTGCTATTTCTTAATTTCTTTAACATTCATTTAAAGAATTTCCGTAAAATACCGATACCTTGTGTTATTCGCTTTGGGCCAATTATTAGTGAATTCTTTGAAAATATTCTATAGTCTAAACTATGCAATTCTACCGCAAGTGCCAAAAAGTAGCTATTTTACAGACAAGCACGCAAGAGTTAAGGGTGCAATTTTCATGCAACTTGCAATAAAATTGTAGCAATGTTATTACATTCTTTTCACCCTTGTTACACTTACATTTTGAAGAATCTTCACTAATTTACATCTCTTAAAAGTAGACGTGCATTGGAAGTTGCAAAGAAAATTGCACGGCGTTTTACAGGGCCTTACGTGCATAGAAACCGATCAACTCGGATCAGGTGTTTTCAATCACGGTGTGTCCTGGTTTTCATCGCTTGTAACGGATTCCTCGAATGTTTGGGATACAATTTGAATATTGTCAGCGTGATTCTCCGGCGAAACCTTTTGTGCTTTTGTCCACTGAACTTTTGTCTGCATGAAGAGCTCATACTGATGTGAACGTTTATGATCCCGTAGCCTGTTTGAGCGGGTGAAACCACGGCCACAAATATCACAAACATGCGGCTTAACCTCACGATGGATGTGCATGTGTTGCTTCAAGTTGCCTTGGTGACCAAAGCATCGACCACAGACACTACATTGGAATGGTTTCTCTCCGGTGTGCGTTCTCTCGTGGTTGTTGTAGGCGCTGCGGCAAACGAAGAACTTCTTACAATAGAAACATTGCAATTTTCGTTTGACAGGGCGAGATTGCTCGGCCTAAAACGTAAACCGCTGGATAAATCATCGTAAGTCCGCTGAGGAGCCAGAATATCGGATATATAAATAAACCTGGAACGCGCACCCAGTGAAGCTATGAAGTTGGAATACCAAGATTGAGGCCCTGTATATGTTTATTTAACTTTTACTGAACTATATATGTACACATTATTGTCCTCACCGGTTCGTTTCATTATTCGTAATAATATACCCCGTAACGCCGCATCTCAGATTTAAGCCAGGAGTTGCATGAGAAAAATGTGTCAATTACTGTCCTGCGGTGGAAATCGCTTTTGCGATGCCGGTGCAACGCCCTTGCCACTGAGGAACTGACAAGAGCAGGCAAGGAATGCACGCGTTTATTTACGCGTATAAGCTCCATTATCAAATTAAATTACCTGATGGTGTGGGGAATTTTGAGATGACCCTCCAGGACTATCAATACTCGCTGTACTAGGAGACGTGCTATCTCGGAGAAAAGCAACACGTTTTTCTTCATTGTTCTCGTCTCTCGTCGTGCAATCAATTCTCACTTCTTTACGGCTCGCCAAATACTCAAAGGTGCTTTCCACTGGCACGAATTTTTGCCGCGTTTGCACGTTGAAGTGATCAGGAAAGCCTTCGATGTTCTTACGTTCTTTATCCATTTTCTCGCTCAAATAAATACCACTTTTTGTTGTGGTTTCAACATGATTTACAATGTCGTCTGGCGTTTTTTGCCAAGAACGTCTGGTTGAAGCGGAGTATGAATCTGCCCAAGCCGGGTACCACATTTGGTCCGGTCGCAATGAAATGTACGTGTTTATCTCTTTGTCATGTTTATTAGTTGATTTCGTCTCTAAATTTGTCTCTGCTGATTTATTCCCACCTAGAGAGAAATAGTCGATGATAAACGTTTAAAAAAAAACAGTGAAAAGCCCTCCCCCCCCCCGCGACAAAGAATAACCGAAAAACAGTACAGTGATGTATAATTGTATATGTCAGAGTTGGCTTGACTTTTCAAGTTACCTCTGTAATCTATTTTTTACTTCAACACGTCGATTTCTGGTACAGCTAGTTTATTTACGGTCTCACTTCTAATTTTTTGCAATAGGTCAATTCTTACCATGTAGAATAATGTCATATTCTTGCTCTGTCAAATTGGTCTGCTCTTGTGTTATAATAAAAGCCAAACTGGAAGTATTTTGTCGCTGCTTCAAGCCAATGATTTTACCATTCCCGCCTATCGATTCATACAGCATTTTTATCAAACCAAACGTTGTTCCTCGCTCCACACTTACAACTGGTACATTGGAATGAAACAACACAACCTAGAAAATAAGAAGTTTTTAAATTCATATTTAATAAAAAAAATCGTTAGCTTTTCAACGATATGAATTATTGCAAGGGCAATGAAGAGGGCCGGGGGGAGGGTTTGGCCACTCGGGGGAGGGTTGGCCACTGAAGAGAGCCGGAAGGGGGTGGTGGCGAAGGAGTCAGGATTAAAGGCCCGTTTACACTTGCGATTCTTGTTGCGAATTTTTCCTTTTGATAGCAACAAAACAGCGAAAAGTTATGAATAGACAGAATAGTCTGATGTTTAAGTGCTCTTATTTGAGCATTCGTAACTGCAGCAAAATTGCACTTAGGCAGGGCCCGCGGAGTGAGGGGGCTGGGACTAAGTCCTAAATAGAAGGGGGGGGGGCTAAACCCGCGGTCCATGCTGTGTAAAAATTCCACTTTTCTTTTCAGTTTCGAACAGGGGCCAACAATTTTAGCGAAAGTAGTTTTAGCTAACAATCCCCGAGAGTATAAGTTTTAATACAACTTTCTCCCCTCTTTACACCGGAATTCTCGATTCTTATAATATATCTTAATCAATTTAAAGAGTCATTCTCTAGTAACATTCTGAAATGGCATGCATATTCACTGAAGATAGACTGTAAATAAGTTATACGACCAGTAATATGAGAATGCAAGCTACAATAAATGGTAAACATCAGTGAACAGTTTGTAACCAAAATTTGTAGCTCAGCGATTATTTGTCCCAACTTGAAGAATTTGCTTTTTTATCAGCAGGGGCTGGTTGTTTGAAGCCCGTTTAGCTTAATTAAACTGTGGATAAGTCAAAATTAAATAACACTCTTAAACTTTTACATCACTCTTACATCTTACATCCTCATGCACTCTTAATGAGTCAACTTTTGAATATATTATGCACTGAATATCAGAATATGTTCTTTGTAAACAGTATGAAGTATCTTTGTATTAAGGTTAAAAACATTTAGTCCGCTTGCTGAATAAAACCATAGTCTTGCATGTTTTCTATTTCCAGGTTTGAACTCAACCACCTAAATTGGCTTGATACAACCGGCGCATGATTGACGGTTTCTTTGCACGTGAAGCACGCATGCGATTATCGATGGTCACATGCATGGGATTAAGATTTAATTTCATTATTATGAAAACCTTACAGTTCCGCTTTCAATAGCCTTCCACATAAATACTTTTTTCGCACATCTCTCGCACAATATAAACAGGGCAGGGCAGTCGAAAAGGAAGTTGAAATAGGGGTGTGACTTTAATCTTAACGAGAAATGGGCATGGTCAGTACGCGTGACCAAAGATCTCAAATCAAAGTATGTCACTTGTAGCCGTAAAGTACAACACTAATATGCAGTGTGCAACCAAATTTTCATGATGTCGATCCTCGCGATGTACACTACGAAAGGCATCCCGCATATTATTATCAATGTTCTGTATATAGGTCCCTCATTTAGATATGCAACAACTCCACGAGTAATTTTTCTTCAAATCTATTTATTTACATTTGCCACATCATACTAATATTACAATACACAAAAAACACATAAAACATATACACAATAGATGCAATGATGATGGTCGAAACAACGTTAGCCAATTACTGTGGTCCCGTAAATCTGCAGTACTGATAACTATTCTTTTTTACCATTTCTTAGAGCTGCTTTCCACATTCGCGGCGTTATTTGCACGTATGTCACACGTAAAAAACCTGGCTAAGTTGTTGTAAATTTAATTTTAAGTTAAGCCAGAAAAACACACCGAATTCAACCGTTGATTTCATAAGATTAAATTTTTACGTGTATGTACTTACAGAAAACACGACAGTGAAAAGCAGCCCCTATTGCGCGCAATTAGTTATTCACGGCTGATTCAAACCAAAAATATTTTCTTGAAATAGATACTTTCGATAGTTACGTCACAAAATTATCGTTTTAAATTTAGAATCAGCTTAATTAAATGAGATGGGTTTCAAGTTTTACTCGCACGGGCCACGTGCAAAGATACAAAACATTGTTCTTCAACACATGCATGAAAAAGCCGAATTTCAACTTCGACCAATAAATGTTAAAATAAGCCGAAACACTAAAACGAGGCTACCAGGCCACGACCGGGAACCTCGTTCTCGAGTAATGGCTAATTTGCACACTTATTTGTCAAAATGAAAAATTCTTTTTCATGATCATGCATGTGTTGAAGAAGGCCTGAAGGATATTTGGCATCTTTGCACGTGGCTCATGACAGTAAAACGTGAAGCCCATCTCAGCCATTACTATATTCTATAAATAGAGATTTCGAAAAATTCCGCCTAGTGGAAAACTGGCTTTAAAAAACAGAACTTATCAGGAATGACATTGACTTCATCGATATTTCGAGAGAGGCGCCATGCAGGGTCCGCGCAGCGGGGTCGCGCGCGCCATACCAACAATTAAAAACACTCAAAACATCGAGAACGTCCTGTTTATAATTATTTATAGCGTTGCTATATAATTAATGCAGTTAGTAAAGCATTTTACCTCTGAATAGATTGAATTGAGGATTTTGCATAATACGGTTTGTTCCGCGAAATAAACCTTTATGACTTGGCCAGATTAAAGAATTTACACGCGCCAATTTCTTGGTCTGAACAGGTGCGATAGTCTCACTTCGATTGCCGGATGTGAACGAGTAAATTAGTGTAATTTATAGCCAGTTGAAATGAAATTGTTTCAAGACTCAAAACTTACTTATTCCTCAGCACCAATAAAAAAGGAAAATCGCAAAATTGAGTAAGAGACACTCTGTATCGATTTCTTTTTAGTTGCACTGACTACAATAACACGCGATCATGTGAACGATATTTAGTTTCACCGCATGGTAATGAAGGAATAATTATATATATATATATAGACTTCCTGTGATTCAGTTGAAACTTATGCACCTATAATTTTCAGAATTTATACCTTAGACCTTTTAGACATTGTATATGCATGATTAATTACCAGCAGGATTGGTTAATCGAAGAAAGGTTTTATAAGGGAAATACCACTACTCGAAAGATAGTAGTAGTAGCCGACTGTAGTAGATGTAAAGTCCACGAACCTACTTTCTATAGCATGCGGGGTGACTTAGGAGTCTCTCTTAGCAGAAGTTCAGATTTAAGTTTGAATTTCTCAGCAACAAGTTCATACAGACACGCGTTAAATTTGCAATGCTTGGCAATTTTTTTTGCGGGTGGGTAGGGGGGTGAAGCTCATCCTCCCGCCTCTTACTGACACTGTTAACTACACACATGTTTGTTACTGTAACTTGTTGAAGTCGAGTTTGTTTTATTTCATTGCAACCCTGCATGTATGTTCGAGCATGTATGTTCGTGCATGTACGTCGACAGTTGATCGACACACCCTATTTTATCAACAGAGGAAACGTGTGCGTGTCATGACAAATCTCATCTTGACCTAACCTTTTAATTTCCAGAATATGTAAAAGCCCTCAACTCGCATGTGGCAAATGCAAAGGCGATCAATGTTCGTGAAGCATTTTGAGTGCCTGTGTTCTTGCAAACACTGACTCTCCCATATTTGTTATAAGTACTATGGTTTAAATGTGAATAAAGAAGATATGAACAATTAATATATATTGAATGGCAAATTTTCTTTCCATTAATAACAATACAGGTTTTACTATAAACCTTTATCCAGCTGTTACATCAAAAAAAGTCAACATGACTATAGTTAAATGTATCATTCTTCAGAGTTCAGCCCCGCAATTTTATCTTGAAACTTTTGATGATGATACATGCAGACGCATTAAATGGCCTCTCTACCTCGAATTTACCGTGCCACCTAATTAAATAATACACATGTCATATTCATCCCTAAACTTTATTACCTCCCTTACTTAGCTTTATTAAACTTTACAGAATTCACAGACCATTCAACTTTAAGAAACGCGCATTAGACAAATTCAAAAACCTAATTTTATTAAAAAAATTCAAAAACCTAATTTTATCAAGAAAAATGTCTTATAAGCATTAAAACGTTATAAGCATTTTTTTGGCGGGGTTTTATTGTTGCTATGAGGTAATATAAACATACAGACAAGGCACATGACATGTTGTTTTGAATTTCTAAAGAATGCGCGCATGGTCCTTTTGTTTATAGTGACATTTTCCTTCATTTTGGTATGTGGATATTTGTTCAATCTTTTGTATTGTGTTAGTTTAGAATTTTACTCTGTATAACTGATTTATAAAAATCACAGATATGACATATTTAGCATGCATGCATATCTAAATAAATATTTTACTATATGGCTGTATAATGTTGGCAATGTTGCATTACATTAGTTATTACATTTGCTTCATAATATTTCATACTTCAATTAATGTAGAACATTTTGAGTATTCAAACTGTCTATCTGTCTTGTACAAAATTATTGAAGACTTTTCAAAGTGAACTATTATTATCTTTAAAAAATCTTATAACTTCCTGTCCGTTAGAGCATCCGGCCGCCCACGCACAGACACAATGTACGAAGACTCGTCTGTGATCCGCGAAAATATCCAATTACTCGCGTGGTTTTACTTTCATATGTGACAATTTCTCTTTTATTTAGTCCAAAATAAAAAATCCTTGCTTTCAACGAAACACTTCATCCGGATTTCAAAAAGGAAGTCCGCGTGTGAGAGCCGTTTTCGGGGAAAAATTACAAAGCAGAGCGCGCGAAATTTACACCACTATTGAATCATACAACTTAAATTTCCCCCTTGACAAATTCTAATTTAATCGACGAAACGAGTCAGTTCAAAGTAGAATAAAAAAGGAAAGCCGTGCTAATAAAAAGGAAATACGGTGAGAACTGTAGAGTAATTTGTCAAGGAAGTAATAGCAAGTGACTAACACGGAACGTTTCTATGACTATGAAAATATACAAAGAAATATATTTGGCGATTCAATTTGATTAATTCGTATTCCAAACCACCTAAATGTGAAAAATAATCTTACCTAAGTCCCCGCTATGGATCTCGCGATTAGCAGAGGGAAAATTCGGCAACAGCTACAGTTCATAGTATATATTTTGCATGATTCCTTTGCCAAGCGTTGCAGGTCATGCATGCAAATTGACAATGCAAGACGTGCAGTAAATTCTATATGCTGTCTAGAAAACGTTGAAGACTTGTCGTAGCTCTTGAAAGCGTTACACTTACATTTGCACAATCTGTCTCCTTGCCCTGATTGCTGTCTTGCCGTATCGGCTGTGGCGTGGTTGCCATTTCAACTCCTGGAAACGCACAGATAAATCGTAGCAAACCCGCTACTCGCTAGCTCTTCACCTACAGGGAATGTAATCTGTCAAAAGTAAACCACTCAATTTTAACGCAGTAAACTGATTTAAGTGTAAAAGTAAACGCAGTAAACTGATTTGAGTGTAAAAGTAGCCAAACAAGGAAAAATTACCTCTTTATCTGACAGATATCCCTCGTGCCCGATTTGTAATGTGCGACTCAGTTTGAAGAAGCAAGCTGTTTATTAACTGACTCTGATCAACTGATTAGTTTTTGTAAACGTGGAATTCGTAAGTTCGCAAAACTGTTTCACACACTCTGAATCAAAGCGTCGCACGAGCACACTCAAGCACGACTGGTTTGTAATTATGAATACAAACATCGCCGGACGACTTCCTTGTTACTACTTCCTCGTCGTACTTCGTCTCTTCATGGCACACTTTGTTTGCATTTACACGAATACTATAATTGATGCCAAGAAATGCCTAGAATGCAAACATGCGACCACGATTGTGTTAAACGTGAGCAGCGGTGAACCAGTCCCGAGTACTTTATATTGCTCAGCAAATTTCTTTGTTGTTGAACCATTCGCTGTTCCGTACCATACTTTCCCAGCGCAAATCATCCAAACTGAATACGGTCTTGGCAGCAATGGCCACACTAGCCAACCAGTGAACTCAAATAAGACTGGAACGCTCACTCTGTCGGACGTTTAAAGCCAAGATGGCGGACACTAAAGCCTTTCTTGTATGTATGATCCAGGCCTCCACGCGGAAATTTCGTAGGTAAAATGGCGGCAATTTTTATTTTTGCTTTTGAAATTTGCGCGCCAGAGGCCTGGATTATACCTACAATATATATATATATATATATAAACGAAGAAATTCAATTTACAATAGACAATTTCAGCTTGTATGCAAATTAACCCATTTCAAGTCACATGGTCTGAAATGGTTAAGTTTTATTGGCTATTCCATGGTCACAACATCTGAAATGGATTGATTTGCATGCAAGCTGAAAAGGTCTATTCTTGTTTGAAACTCGTTGTTCCTTAAAATAAAAGTAATTATTTACGTTTTAATGCAGAAGTGACTCCTGAAGAATTCCCCTCCCCACTTTCTTTTCTCCTGGTTTGCTAATTTATTATTAGCATAAAATCACTGGACGCCGATTGAATGAGACTATGAGAGTAGCACAGTTATTCATTTATTCTATATCTTCTTGACACTGGCAAATACTGGCTAAGAGGAGTGCGATTTGAGCATTAATTACACAAGAGATATAATTAAGTCGAGTAATTAATGCGAAAATCATACTCATGGGTATCAAAGCACCTACCGCTGGGCATAATTGATTCTGTACACGCGTAAAAACGCTCAGGTTGATGCAATATTGATATGAACAAGATGGAGCAATGTTGTGCTGCCCACATTGTTCAGAGTTGTCATCAACATTGAACAATATTGTTGACACTGAATCGGGTGTAACAATAATGTTCAATGTTGATAACAGCTCTGAACAATGTGGGCAGCACAACATTGCTCCATCCTGTTCATATCAATATTGCATCAACCTGGGCGTTTTTAGGCCTGTAATCACTTGTATGATTTTCGCATTAATTAAACTTCTATTCGTTGTATTACCATTATGAATTATACTGGAGTGCCATACAAACAGTATCTGATTTTAGTCTGCCAAAACCACAAGGTGGAATTTTTGTCGTGACTTTCTCCGCGAGGTAATTCGAAGAGCCTGGGAACGAGGCTGACCCGTACTATTAATCCTAAATTGCACTCGCTATCGCATAATGACCTATATACTATAATTAAATTCTCATATTAATCAATTCTATATAACTGACCTATATCAATTATTAAATTCATATTAAACTTTCTTTTGATCATCCTGACCGGTCTGTTCATAAAACTCGGTTATTACGTCGAAAGTGTTCTTCAATTCGTTCACGAAATCTCCCATTTCGGCCAGGACGACACTTTCATCTTGACCATTTCCTAGTTTCTGAATGAAATCTTTCCGATATGGAACGGCTTTCATCGCCAACTGAGCAAAAACAAATTATTACCGGGGGCTTGTATTGATTTATTATAAAATGAATTCACACCAGTAACATGCTGTTATTATTATCTATAAAATCCTTCAAAACTGTTATTTTAGCGACGATTTTTACGTGTTTATATTTTCCACTTCCTTGTCGTCCATTTTGAATCAAAGTTTACGACCGATTAGCAAGTTAAAGGCTGGTTACCCGAGATTCGACGAAGCGTGGGATATTAAAACAAGTCTTTATGAAGCAAAACAGGCATGCATGATGATGATGATGAAATAATTCATCAGGTAAGCCTACTCGCCGAAGCGATTTTCAGTAAGGACCTGGTACAATGAAGTATTGCAAAGAAGATATGAAAGTATTATAAAGACTAAAATTATATCTCAGTACATTTCTAGCCAATTCCAAAAAGTACGCCTAAAATCTCTAAAAATGTGTTTTAAAAGTAGCTAAAGAGTTACTATTTCGTACATCATTTTCTAGAGAGTTCCAATCAATAGCAACATGATAAACAACTCTCTGCTTTCCCCAAGGACATGCTATTGTTGGAAATACTCACTACACGACTACCAGGATCATGTTACACTGTATGTATACTCAATACCTCAAAGTTATCTCACGCTTCGTAGAATCTCCGCTAAGCGGGGTCCGCCGGGATCGTGTAAACAGCCCCTTCACCCCATTAGCCAGGTGGGTTAAATTTAAACCGCTGCATACTTGCCGGGATATGTGCAACCCAAATTAAGAGAGGTTTAAAATTTAACCCTGGATTAAGCATCCTCAACCTTGGGTTAGCGTTACCCGGCTTTTAACAACCAACCCAAGCAAGATATAAATCATGAAAACTAAACACTCACTGAGAAAATGCTCTGAACCATCCAGCCATGATATTTCTTTAGAGTTCCCTCGTAGGCTGCTTTAGCGCACTTTGTGAGATCCTGCTCACCAGTCAGAACCTCCTGAAGAAACACCAGAATGAAGGACAACGCCCTGGAGAGATATATGCAACATTAGAATCTGAGAGACTTGTTAATCAGTTATGGTCAATAAATATATAAAATTTTTTATCAAGTTGTAGCATCAAGCAGAAGTGAAGAATGTTGGGCTGCACGCCATGGACAGAATTGTGAACACTGTTGATCATGTTCAATAACCACTGGTAATAATGCCGACAGTGGCGTAGCCAGCACGATAATTGGGGGGGTCACATATTCATATTTTCGTGATACGCAGGATTAATTTCTTTTCAAATCAATTGTCTTTACAGTCTGTTAACATTAATATGTGAATATGCGCCCCCCCCAATTATCGTTGCTGGCTACGCCACAAAATGCCGACCAAAGTATATACTATATATACACCTTCGGCGCGTACTTCCCAAATGTTCACGAAAAATACACCTAACCTAAGAGACTGTTTTTTCCAGAAATATCAACTCCTACAATATTACCCTGTATACTGTTACGAAAAAACTCCTATACTGTTTTTTAAATCACGTAGTGTAGTGAGGACTGTAAAGTTTTTGTCGGTTTGTTTTTCCATAAATATATCCGGACCGTATCATCAAGGGTCAATGTTAAATTAAAATAAACCCCAAACCATGTATTCTTTACCTCTTCAACCAAAGAAGTGCGTCGGTTGCGGAATTCTTCGCCTTTGTAGTGCCAGAATCAATCTCACTTTGAACTATATCTTGTAGAACCTTATATTTCTCCTGGTCTTCCTTGTATTTTTTTGTAAGTTTCTGCAATAGATAAACATCATACATGTATAAATGCGCGCCTGAAGGTCTAACATTGTCTTCCCACCTAAGATCGTAACTAAAACGATAATTGGCGGGGGTGGGGGGAGTGTTTATTCGTACATTTAGTTATGCCTGGCGGATTTTGTTTGTAAGCTATTGCACTTACGAAAGAAATCCGCCGGGCAGAACTGAATATTTGAATAAATACCTCCCGCACTATCGTTCTAGTTACGCACTGCTTCCATCCCATTGTTAATATTTGCTCCAATTAATAAATGGACCTTTTGCATAATAGACAAACTTAGGATGTACGTAACAAAGGAGGTAATAAAACACCATGCGCAGCTCCATTTAATTCCATTAAGGGTGGATTTCCACAGAATTTTGATAGAATAAATAAATCAGTTCAGCTTGAATGTTCTTATTTCAAAAGAAGATATGCAAATATTTCGTTAGCGGACCGTTTCTCTGCAATCCAGCCTTGAGGCTCATACACTCGATTTATTGGCACGGCACGGTTAAAATAGTACCCGTGCCCATCATCTGTGCTCGGCCTTTGTTTTGGTAGCCTGAACACTAATAAAATTGGGTATACGGGTACCGATTTAAGCCGTGTCGCGCGAATAAATTGACTGTAGTGTAAACGGGGCTTTCTTGTAAGGAGAAAAAACGCAAATTTCGCGATTATAAGGCGATACTCCAATTACGCCCGTTCCGAATGCGGGCGAAGTGCGCTTTGTTTTTCAGGCGTGTCATGGTCGCATCAGCAGATTTTCAAAGACTTCGTTTCGGGCAAAGCGATATTTTTTTCGATATATCGATATCGGGTTTTTTTAAATATCACACAGCTTACACTATAGATTGGAGATTTCAAACGTTGGTTCTCGATCAAACGAGCGATGGATTGTTCATATGTATATTATAGTTGCTGGTAACTTAAGCCGCGTTTACACTTCAACCTTGGACCAGGTCTAGGACAAGTCCAGGTAATATGTGCCACGTTCACACTGTCTTCCTTGTTGATGATATCGGATAGCCAAAGTAATTGACAAAATACTTGGAAGAAGACCAAAAACACACCGAAAAGTGGTAATACTATTTGGATCCTATACAAATCATACTATTAAGTTCAAAACTTGTCAGGACTAGGTTAAGCCTGTTCACATTACCAAAATCTAGCCTCAGGTCAGGTCCAGGCCACCTTCTGCTGAATGTTGGCCTGGATTTTGTGGTCAGGTCCAGGCCTGGTCTAGGTCAGATAAACAACGTTCATGTACATCTAGGCCTGGTCCAGGTCAAAGCACGTAGTATAAACGCGGTTTTACAGACTTCATACTGATTCCATATTCATTTACTTACCTCGATATTGCCATTGATATCAGATTTGACTGGAGCAAATGCTGTGGGTCCAAGAATATCTACAACAAAAATGATTTTTCATGTTGAAGTGCGTCTGATAAATTGGTCTTTTTTGAGACCTAATCACATTCATTTCAATCATTTGTTCCAAAGGCGGTCATGTTGACCGTAAAATGGCATAATTACATATAGTCAACCTGCGAAGAACGAACGAGTATAATGTTTGGCCTCGTTAGAACAGAGTTTGAACAGGACTGGACGATTTTGGGAACGGTCTAAAATTGTCCTTTTCTGCCTGTTTTCACGAGACCCACGGCACCTGACGACGCCGTGAATCGACTAAAGGACCCTTCCACTTTAGAATAAATTTAAAACTAGGGCATTTATTAGTACAGTTGGGAAAATTGATTTTGAAGAACGTTTATTTGCAAAATATTAGTAGGTGTGAAAAATATTGCAATATAGGAGTTTTGTATATATACATATTACTCTAGCTCCGTTTAAACAACACACAATTTATCGGCACAGCATGTCTAAAATGGGTACCCGTAACAATTTAAAGCCTCGTTTACACTACACTCGATTTATTGGCACGGCACGGCAAAAATAGGTATATATACCCGTGCCCGTTTCATGCGTTCTCGGCTTTTGTTTTGGTAGCCAGAACACTAACATTAACTAAATTGGATACGGGTACCAATTTTAACCGTGCCGTGCCGATAAATTGAGTGTAGTGTAAACGAGGCTTAATTCATCTTCGCTATATTTGACACAGACATTGTTCGTGACTTACAGCGGCTTCCAGGGCTTGGTTGCACGAAAACTGGATAGTGCTATATATCCAGATGCCCAGATAATGTTTTTTTTTTCAATTCCTTTAAAATTGTCCGGTATATAACTTGGATCGAATCTTAACTAATCATACACTAGCTGAAGCTTCTCTTCACTTATTTTTTAACAATTGTTACGTCAAAAACTGTAATGTTATTGTGTACCTAGGCCCCCTATGTTAGTGCTTTTACGTCCGTTGAAAATTTACCATTAAACGTTATTAAACCTCTGCACAACCGTCTCCAGAGTTCGTCAACCCATGCTTCTTGACGGTTTGTCGTGCAACCTACTGTCTCAAAATATATTCCATATTTAACAAGCTGTCGTGCATAACAGATTACGGTTAGCAATTTATTTTTGACACATTGGGAAACAGCAACTATCGTGTTTTAACTATGCATTCTAAGTATGCCTTTCGAGTTTCGTTACTTCCGTATGTCATATAACATGCAGAAAAAAGTGGGAAAATATGCAAGTATTATAATGATTACTGACGACAGAATTTACATTCTGCCAATGCTGATTCCGACAGCTACAGTGACTGAACTTCTGTCCATCCATTCGTCTATTCGTATAATTCATATTTGAAAATTTCCAAAGACACAGACACAGTGCATATTCGTTCGTTTTCGTGCTGCGGTACAGCCATAAAATGGCTAATACAAAGAACTAAAACAATTTGAAAATACGTTTTCACAAAACAGTTTCAGCGAAAGAAAAACTTGCATTCCGGGCAATTAAATTGAGAAACGATTTCGGTATTAAAAAGATCAAAAATTAAAACAACAGCGGCCTTTTCGAAACTTTCACGCAATGATTGAGATTAATACTTTCATATCCATGACTATGGTATCTGATATCGTAAAAGATCTGAAAAGCGTTAACGTTGTTAAGATTTTTCGGATTTATGAATAAACCCAAGGCAAGGGCTATATAATTGGATGAGAAGCTCTTATCGACATTCCACATATAGTAGTTTTAATGCATCAGCACTCACTTAGCTATGTGTCTGATAAAATAGTACAGACGAGTTTACGGCTTTATCTTTGTTTTGCCGCTCGCAGGCTCGGAAGAGACGACCAGTAAACCACCTCCCCCCCCCCTTAAGCTCAGGCCTTAGCAGTTGAATTTCACCTTGCACAAAAAAAATGTATAAATCGAGGGCCAAAACCGCTACCTGGTCCTGGTGTTTGAAAACGACTTTGAATTGAAGTCGAACAGTCTTCAATCGCCTTTTCACAGAGCTGCGCCTGTGGCATGGCTCAGTCCCATATACGAATATCCACCGCCAGAATTATAGCGCTTGTTACGGCCTTGTCGCCTTTAAATCTTACTCGTGCAGTAAAAACGTCACTCTTACAAATACTGAAATATACTACAAATGCTTTTCTGCATGATTCCACAGGCTGATGTTGACAACCAGCTGATATATTTGTGATATATTTGTCATATGTTTTTGCATCAGATTGGCAGTAGCATGTATATGTATATACATATAGCATGCCTCATTTTATAATATTTGGTAATCATTTTATGATATTTAGTAAAAATTTCATCTGCGCATCTAGTTTGTTGAGAAAAATTATCACTTATGATCTCTTATTATAAATTTATATTCTTGACTGTTTTTTATTTCAGAATATGTGACAGGAAGACTAATTATTGCAGTTTTTCATTCATATGTTGAAAAAATTATATGAATTGCTAAAACTGAGAATAAAAACTTTTTGATCATTCTTGGGAGAGTCCCATATAGCCTACAGCACAATGATTTAACTTTTCACAATAACATTCATGTGTGGATATTTTTTTACTTTGGAGGGCAGAGCTTTCCCAATTTGTTCCTTTTAGTGGTTATGTCACTGTCACAGACATGTAAAATCACCTGGCAAAAGTCTGATTTGAATAGAGAAAAACACTAAAGATTGTTTTTTCCATTTATTATTAATAGCGTTGTTGCTGCTATCCAGCTTATCTTCATCTAATATATTCTCATATCAATGCTTTTGATACCACATAATTAAAGATTAATGGAAACCTAGATTAAATATTCACACATCTCTAGACTCTTTAAACAACAGTTGAATAGTCTAAAGGTATTCACAATTTACATGCAGTACCATTTTACGTACGTTGTAAACATTGTTCAAACCTGTTTCAATACTTTTTCAGATCATATTCAATGAAATTTATAGGAACACACTTTATTTAATGTCAGATTCAATGATCTTGAGCTATTACATACATTCCAAATTGTGAAGTGTGTTTACATCAAGCAAAATTGCATTGATACAAATTTGGCAAGATATTTGACTGCTGAAGAGTGCCATCAAGGCAACTAGATCAACACTTACAATGTTGATTAAAAAGCAAAATGTGTTTTTTTTTCTTTTGTGTGAAATAGTTTTTCATGAACATAAGAGATTTTCACTGTGCAAGGATTCTTTGTTAACTTTCTACTATATTTTGTAAAGAGCCTATTTAATAGTGTGATGTTTTGAGAGAGAACTGAGCTTTGGTAACAAGTTATGTTTTTGACAAATAAATTTGTGTAAGGATGACTTCAATCTCTTAATATATTAAAAAATGTATATGTACTGAATTTAATAATTACTCCTGCTTGTTTGGAAAATTTGACATTTGTACAGTTGTTTGTACATTTGTACAAAAGAACTTCCTGATGACTACATTAATTTTTTTCGTAATTTTTGAAACTTGTATGGTAAATTATTCAGATTAAATCCTGAATTTGTAGGAACACAAAATGAATTTATTATTTGCAGAGCTTTTTAGTGTGTTAACCCTGGCCTACATCAGTGAAATGTATCAATTTATTACATCACCAATTTAATAGTAGACACACTATGCAGAGGCGATCTCACGATCTGCATATAATAATATGCTCTACAAATTGTCGAAATTGACGATTTAAATACATTTTTATACTTTCACATATAATTAAGACCTGACAAGCTGTATAGTCGACATTCGTATAAGCAAATATGAAATTATATATATTAGATATAAAATCTGTGCGATGCTGAAAAATATAAAAAATATATATATTGAATAGCGAACATACCAAAGAAAGGAACAATTTCTTGACATGCCTGAAGGAATGGCCATGTCTCAATTCTCTTGTCGTCTTGGATAGGTAGAAACCTATATTTTGCCTGTGTAAAGAACGTCGTCATTCTTGCAAATTATAACGTTTTGTTCTAAATGTTCTAACTTCTAAAAGTTGTTCTTTGACTACATTGAGCCTGCAATTTCGGCCACAGCCGTGTTAAGGAATTCATGTTAGACTTATCTTCCAGGCCTCCAGGATTTGATTGCTACAAATCCTATACAAATTGTTACAAATTAAAGTTATACCAATTGAGTAAAATATACAGGGTGTCCCAAAAAAACGAAAAACTATTGAAATTACCCGTAGCAATGTAACTCAGAGTTCGAATGCCTAAGCACTCTGTTGGGACCCACAAGTGTGTAAATGTTTGCTATAAGCATTTTTATGCATGCATATGATGCAGTAAAATTTGCTCCTACGCGAAAATGATATTTATTAACAATATTTAAATGTGAATCTGAATCACCATGACCTTCGACATGTCTCCTTTCTCTAGCAACACAAAGCATCTAGCATTTCACTGAGTTGCATTAAATCCCCACGGGTTAAAATTCGTGCACACATAAAAGTACCATCATATATTAGAATCATTTTTATCAAGTTAGACTGGTAACAACTGACAAAAGCGTCTTTTTAACAGCTTTAAAATATTCACACAGCTGCAATCGAGATTACAAGTGTTGTTAATTTAATAGTAGGCTATCGCGAAAATATTCGTGCTAAAATCGCTATAAAAATAAGGAGAAGAATTTTTTTCAATCCATTTGGCTCAACGTTCGGAGTCCAGCGACCGTTTTTGCAAATCATGAGAGGTTTAATGAAATCAGAGCCATAATACGGTGTTAAATACTTCGAATAATCTCTAGGACACATGGAAGGTATTCCGAGGAAAGAGCACGACTTCAAAGGAAATAAAACTTCTCGTTTGTGAAATACGTTCCTATATTCGTCCCACAAGATATCACCGTGGTTTTCAATCATAAAAATATCCACGTATATCTTAGAATGAATGTATAGTCGGGCGTGCGGGTCAAGAATGGAACAGTCATCTGTGATGGTTCTCACAATTTTACCATTACAGTCTTCCCGGGGGGTGTCTGCGGAAGGATGCGGAGAATGCCTTTGAAGAAGCAAGCGAATCTTTCCATCATTCAGGTCCAAGGGTCTTCTTGATTCTTCAGCGTAGAGTTTATGGTATTCGTCTCTCAACATGCATATATCAGCATCTGTGTCCAGAGGTATCACATCGCCATTACGTAGGGAACCCAGCATGGAACCAAAACATATGAAAGACTTGTTGATGTTTCTTCGTTCTGCTATGAGGTTCCATTCCTGGAGTAATATCTTAAGTCCTTCGCGGTACGGATTTCCCTCGCAACCTTCCCCGTAAAATTCATCCTGTAGACGATGTGGATTCTCTTCTGAGTGGATGGAGTGATTTTGCATGTTTCCTAAAAGTTTTCTTTTCCAGGTAGATGGAAATCCCTTATATGGCGGAATCCTGCTGAGTACGAATGCCTCATCGTATAAATAGATGAAAGTTAGCGTTCCAAATGAAAAAATCACAAATATAAGGATACGCATTCTTCGAGGACCCATGGTACCTGTTCCTCAAGGATAAACAACCCTTATTATTACACCTGGCTATCGGATTTGTTTAATATATTCTTCAAATTTTTAGTCATTTAAGTACAAGGCACAAATATCCAATCGCGGAATTTCAGCTAAAGAATTTATATGCCTGTAAACAGAAAATCATTATATTAGCACAACAGATACTAGCGTACGAATAGCTGCTGGGTTTTCAAACAAACTCATATAAAACAAACAAATATACGTACATCACGTAAATTTTACACTAGGAGCACTTGCGTGCAGGAACCTGTTAAACAAAACTACACGGATTTTGCTTGAAGCAGAAATTTGCATAATTATTCACAACACAAATATATAGTGAAAGATGTTGGAACAGTATGTACTGTCACCTATACGACTTTGAAATACAATTTTGAAAATTCTGTTAGAGTTGTGTGCAGAAGAGTAAACCGACTTTTCTGAGCAAATTAAACCAACTAAATTACAAAAATATCAATCTCGAGCCGCCCGGCTAATAACAGGAGCAAAATTTGATAATAACAGGAGCAACATATGATATACGCATATAGCTGAAGTTTTCAAGACATTCGCTTGTACAAATCTAGACCAAAGGCGCCAATATTTGAAATCAACTTTTATGAAAAATTTTAAACAATCTCGCCGCACCTAATTTAAAAAAATGTTTCTTAAGATTAGTGATTGTTCTATTTCAATGATTTGCGAAATGGTGATACAGACTTACGCCTGTAATCAAAAAGCTCACTCACACTTACACTAATTGAGTGTGGCATATAAATTTTGTTAATGCTGGTCAATGAGAAAATTTTCTCCCAAAAGATGGAAAGATGTAAGGTAAACCACTGAAAATCAAGCCCCTTTTCGGCTGGAAATTCCGCCATTGAATCGTTATGAGAAGATTAAGATCTCCCACTCAATGAGTTTGAATGTGAGTGAGCTTTTAGAATACAGGCGTTAGTGTTGCCAAAACCAAATACTGAATATATAAAAAGGAGCTTTTCATACGATGGCGCATCTCTTCGGAATAAACATATCTAGGGATGCAAAAATGGATTTCTGTCAGTTGCTCATTCAACTTTATAGGCCAGCAAAATTCGTTTAAAAAAGCATATATATATATGTATATATATTTTCCTATATACGGCCCGACTAAACCGGGTATATAATATATTTTTTTCACTGATTGCCGCCCCCCGTGCGTGCGTGCTTTTAAATCTCGCGCGGTCTGTACGGCTTCATACGGACCGCTCACGTAGCCAATAAGATTGCAGGAAACGCTAAAATATGAATTCGAACCGCAAGAAAAAATATATAATATGTAAATAGTTGTAAATTGTTAATGATTGTTATATTTATTATTTTTATGCACGCCCCCCATGCCAGCTTTTGCTGTTGGGGCTAGCTTGCTAAAACACAGTTTTAGTGTATGGTGTATGTATGTAAAAAAAAACTATGAGGGCCATGGCAGGCCATGCCATTCCCAAAGCTGCATTAAGCCGGTTTTCCAATCGAAGGAACCAGTTCTCGACCGAACAAAATTTTCCACTTGATTTTCTTTTCAATTGTGCATGAGAATTCGACCGTAGACTGATTCCCTTCACCGGTCACAATTGAAAAGAAAATCGGGCAAAAAATTTCGTTCGGTCGAAAAATTCCACAATTCGAAAAACACACCAGAAAAGTTTCCTCGGAACGAAAAACTTCCGCCTACGGCATGCGTAGCAGAACTTTTCAATTCCAATTCAAAAATATTTAGTTCCGTCGCGAGGAATTCGAAACAAAGTTTAAGTTATTTAAATTTCCACCGGAAAAAATCTCCGAAAACTCTCCTTTCCCATGCCGTTGCGATAAAACTTTTGCTCAGTGTAATAAAAGCAGCTGCTTTAGCAGACTAGCGGCTTTCTCAAAAACAACACCGGAAAATCTATTGCAGACCTTAGATTGACGTTTTCCTTCACCGCGAACCGCGACTTGACGTTCTGTTTTTTGCCTTCTTGTTTGTGGTCAACAGTTGCTGAGTTAGAAGTGTGTTTTTCACGTAACTCTGCGTGTTACCAGGGAAATTCTTCTTCATTAAAGTACCCCGCTACTTATTATTCCAATTTAGCTTGGGGGTAATTTTCTAACTTGATATCAATTATCACTGATTTTCTTGAAGAAAGCGAGTACATTTACTCGATAATGAGTTTGGTATTAGCGGTCAGGTATCACAGTTTGACATTCTCTCTATAAATAGTATAATATCCTTGTGTTCCTGCATGGTGTAAGAGAGAGTTGTTAATAAAAATACAAAGTCAAGGCAAGCGGAAGAATTCGAACAATCGACCTATTTGTAAGGAGGAGACTTGCGAAGCTTTTTGGCATAAAAGTATGCATGTAAATGCTTAAACCTCGGTTCTAATCTCTTACTGATATATTCCGCGCGACATCCGGAAGTGCATGTGAACAGAATGGCGGGAAGACCGAAGCGAAATGTGCGTCAGCCCCCAAACGTCTCGAAGACGGTTTGGAGTTTGCAGAGATTACCCCTTCGGTTAAACTGACTGTTTAAAAAACCAAGAAAGGACAATAATATCTATATGAAATTGAGATTACCGAGGTTGATCGCGAGTGGAAAAATGTCCGTATTCATTATAAAGGTTATGATTCAAAGTTTGACGAGTGGCGACCTTATGGCAAAGATCAGGAATATTTCCCCTTTATTCGCTATGAAAAGCTATACTTCCCGACGGCGACATCCTTAGAATATAGAAGCAACTATTTTACGGATATGCTTTATCGGTCAATCTGCTAGCGCTGCACTGATCAAGCATGTAAACAGTACGAAAATACGGAGCATAATGCCTAAATTACAATATTTCGACCCCATCAGTCCGACGCGGGAAATTCATCAATATTTATGATTTTGATATCAAAATGACCGCGAAAACATGTACTTTCCAAATATGGTGGTACCTCGACGTCACAATAAATTTGGAGCTTTATACTTCCGCTTTTAACTGACTTCCGTTCAATTTTTGGCATATTTTGTAGGCAGAAATGAAATTTCAACCCCATAAGTCCGACTTCGCAAAAAGATAAATTTCGTTTAAATCCCTTGTAAAACATTACACATGTGACGTATTTTCGAATTCCGCAGGTACCTCTGTCACAAGTTTTATGCTGCGAGTGTATAAAGCAAAAAACTACAAAATTTCGGAAAATTTTTGTTGCGTCTCAACCGGAAGTGAGCGCGCCCGTGTAATGCGATAGACCTTTTGTCCTGAGTGAGTTTGATCGGTCAAATTTGTGGAAACGTCAAACCGCTAACCTGAAACCGCGGTTTGCCGAAAACGCAAATCTAAGTCCTATTAGCATAATACGACACGATAAATTGGAATCCAAAGTCAGTTTTATTTTTCAACGAGATACCCTAATTAGGTCTGCTTGCTTTGTTATACCCCAGCTGACATTCGAATATAATCAATTACAGTAGCAGCACGCAGGGTTTAGTCAGTATGGACGGGGCTTCAA